TTCCTGAAAAATCAGCATTCGCCGAGGAATACAGCCCCCACAGTGTTGAACTTGGATCGGACGAGACGCGTGAAAGGCAGGTAGAGCCGTGGAGAAAATAAGGCGGTACCACGATCGGCAATATGAGATTCCGATGGGAGACAATTAGGAAGCGGAGGACGAAATGCGCGACTCGATATATAGATCCAAAATATTGTGATATAAAAAGGTCGTAGTCGCTGATGTATTAGACGGTGTTGAATGGGGTAAATTTGGTAGACGGGGGATGTGTAAGTGTGTTGGTCGCAAAGGGATCGTCGCAACAGAGGAAACAAGGCGTTCGGGCACCAGAGTCAAATCACGGCCAGTTCGCTGGCAGAGGCGGGCGAGTGGCTTTTGGGGGGGAGACGGCCTCAAGATTGCACCGGCGGCGAGGGTTGGATTACTCGCAGGGATGTTTGCAGTTACACGGAACCCAAGTGGCTGCAGAACGATTCGAATCGACGTAAAGCGTCACGAACGACGGGGATTTATCGATGGGTGGAGGTGTCGAGACGAGTTTCAGGAACCAGAAGGCAGGAAAAAACAAAACCGAGAAAGACTCAGATTCCAAAGAGCTAAGTGTAGAGCAAGCGTCAGGATGATCGTAATATGAAGAAGGGGAAGGTTTGAAACGGGCTCGGCGGGAGGACGGTGGAATTGGACGCAACAAAAAAAGGAAATAAGAAACTCGAGGCCGGAAGGAAACAAAAAGTGTTGGGGCCGGTCGGAGGAAGCTTAAAATGGGATGAGGAGAGGGGAGGGCGATGGCGAGGCAGGAAAGGATAATGAGCCTACCGAAAAAGACGGCAATGGTAAAACAAGTTGCTGCCCAGTGGTGTGGCGGGCGGGCAACGATAGTCAGCTGGGCGAAGGACGATGGCCTGCGAAGACGAAGACGAAGACGAAGACGAAGATGAAGAGAGAGGGACGGGGGAAAAGAGGGCAGAAACTTGAAAGAAGAACAGGGCGGTTCTGGGATAATTAACAGCGCAGCTGTGCCCAAGGTTCACCAGCGAGAAAGCTGTTAGGGAGGGTGGTGATGGTTGTGAGTTCAGAGGATGGGAAGAGAGGAGAGGAGGGCGAGTGGTGCGGAACTAACATGAACTAGACTTTGGGGACAGGACCATGTTTTGCTCGTTTTGGGTCGAAGTCAGGAAGCTTTAGTCGCTCTAGTGCCTGTAGTGACAGCAGCAGGCGGTCCCCTCGAAGCCGGCACTAGCAGATCGGCCTGCGACTGAACTTCTGAAGAATGGAGATCGGAAGCGTTCACCCTCACCAGGTCAGTCGGATGGATGATTTGACTGGTTACTGGTGGAGAGACGCAAGGTCTGACGGCCAAGCCTTGTGTAGCAGTCTCCAGTGGCAGTCAGTGACTGTCCCGGTGCAGCCTGCTGCATGCTGGACCTGCGGATGGACGACGTGAAGAGCAGTCAGGCCAGTGTCTTGGGTTTGAGCTCTTTTCTAACCCACCGCTGTTTGAGCGGCTTCGCGACGTCTGCTACAATCGAGTCCCGTCCGGGGGCACTCCGTAGATCACTACGTCCTACGTCCGGAGTGAAAGAATGAGTTTGTTGCTAAGTGGTACAAGCATCCCGATACTAGTCTCGCCGGTCTGCAACCGGACTCGGTCGGCATCGAAATACCGTTATTATTACAATCAGAACCAAGGTACCTGAAGTTCCCCAACAAGGCACAAAATACAAATAGCTCCCTCCCTCTGTGCTACTCTCAGCAAATGCTCCAAATTTGGGCCATGTTCCAACTTGGAACTTCCAATGGTTCAAGTGCCAGGTCGTACAGTCGCCGCGAGCCAATTAGAGCCGCGTTGATTTCCGGAAACAGCCAGGTCACGTTTGGGCACGTGACCACGAGCGTCCGCTGTCGTCACTTGCCAGTTGCCTCGTTATATTGTGATTGGCACTCCCAGTTCCCTTCAATCGTCGTCAGCTTCAGCGGAGGGTCTGGATCGATCCCGTTTTAGGCTTCCATTTTCTCTCCCCTTGCGCTTTCGCCCCGCGCTCTCTTTCTGTCCTGTTCCTCACAACCTTATCCTCTCCCACAGACCCTTGCCCAGTGAACAGCGCTTTTCCGGTTCCTGGTCAATAGTCTCGCTCCTTTAGTCCAGTTGGCCGACCCGACATGGTCAATTATTGTTGATCGATCAAATCAAGACCTCTCTCCCTTCGTTGCTCCATACATGTGTCGCCGTTACTCAACGTCCCTGGCACCATGATCTCGATAGCCGCCATATCGGTGGGCTCAAGCATCTTCTTCACCTTTGCCCTCCTCATAATCTCCGTTATTGTCCTGATCCTCCTCCGGCGATTTCTGACTCTGCGAGCTACACCGGCATATCTATCCATTCCGGTCTTTCTCGCACTTGCTCTTCCTGCCAGCGTAGTACTTCTAGTCCCCATTGACCTAGCGTCGAGCTCGCGCGATGGCGGCGGTCCCAAAGCAATATGGCTTCCTGAGCGCCTTCTGCTGGTCTCGTGGCGCATCACTTACTGGTTGATATTCGTCCTCACGTGGTATGTATCCAATGGCATAACACAACTCTTGATATCCAAATTCAAATCTCATTCTCTTTTTTTAACCCCAGGGCGATTCTTCCTCTACTCGGTGAATATATCGATTCCGGATACCGCGATGCGAGGTCCCGTATCCAATATTCTATCCGGTCCAATGCCCGATACCAAATGATCATTCTTGGGTGTGCGACAGTGGGCCTAATTTATATCTCCATCCAAAATGGGTTCGAGTTTTCTACCATCAAAACCCTTGCCATGGCCCTTGCCTACGTCTGGGGTTTAGTCCTTGCAATCTTCTTGATGGGCCACGGCTTGGTATCTATCCCTCGCACTTTATTCCGCAATGCCAGTGCCAGTGGAAGATTGCGGAGGCTTCAGGCTCAGGCCCCGTTGCTGCATGACCGACTGGTGGATGCCGTCAATGACTTGGAAAGTTTGGAGGCTCAGGTAGCCCAGCTACAACATCGAAAGACCGGCACCGCGCGCGATTTCCAGGACTGGATAGAAGAACTCGCCGAAACATCAACTCCTCCTGAACATCGACTTGGAATAATAGACCCCTCGACTAGCTCCACAGTCCCTGCTGTGATTACTGAGCGCTACCTGGCTGACTTAACACGGCGCCTCCAACGGGCTCGGCACCAAAAGGCTCGCTTTGTTGATGCCTGGGATCGTTTAATTTTGACTGCAGCCGACTTACAGGCAGTCATCAATTCGTCCGCATCAAAAAAGCTCGAGTTCAATCATCACGCGCAACGCTCTACCTCCCCGCAATGGAAAGTCCTCACACCCTATATGCGCTACCAAGTGTATACAAATGTCTATCCGAATCTGCGACTTGCATTGGGAGCTGTTTTTGCGGCGGCCTCGGTATGTGTGGTCTGGTCTGAGTTGATCAAGTCGATAGCACCGCGGCTTTCTGTGGTAACCCTGTCGATCGTATCATATCATGAGACACCAGCGCCAGTTGGCTTTGGAAAGCAAATTATTGCCTCCATGTGGCTACTATATATGTGCTCCGCAGCGTTGGTTGGCGTCGGTGAAGCGAAGGTCTGGGGAAACCGAGCTTTAGTCCGGCGCAACACTTATGGTGAGAGCGCATGCTGGTATGCAAGTTTGGTGGCGAGGCTTACTGTCCCGATTGCGTATAACTTCTTGACGTTTCTACCGAAAAATGTCCGGGAAGCCACTACGTTCTACCATTTCCTTGGCCAGTGGATTGATTTGACGCCACTCGGGAAAGGGTTCGATTACTTCTTCCCAGTTTCTATTCTAATTCCTATTGGGGCTACCCTTTTCAACCTCTACGGCCGAGTTAGGAACATTTGTGGCTTTGGTCTTATCGAAGAGGACGAGGACGATCTCGAAAATAACCCCAGTGGGTATGGAATAGGTGGCTGGCGAGAAGGCCGTGAACTAATTGAGCGAGAGTTAAATGGTCTTGGCTCGCTCGGGCTCTCTACACGGAGCGAGCGGTCTCCTCGGCATTCAACACACGTGGATGGGAGCACGCAGGCGTACTCATCCTCCCGCACGCCCCTGACCGAATCAACGCGACCATTTAGGTCTACTCGAGGTGCTGTTGCCACTTCTTCCGCGGCACCGGAAGAGGAAGATGAAGAAAACTTTTTTCAGTCTTTCGCGCACCGTGTGAAAAACACCATTGAGACTGCCAGCCGGCCGCAGTGGCTTCAAAATGATTCGTTCCAATTGCCACGATGGATGGGCAATGACGGCGGAAATGATGGTGGCAGCGGCCTGGCGAGGTGGTTCGGTGGCCGTCCTACCAATGGCACAGTAAGGCTCTAGGCACGAGGCTCCAGGCTGTATTTTATTAGTGCATTGCAGCGGCGTTTATTTAGATATGATTCGGTTGTATGATAATTTTTAATAATATATAGATTTGTTACGACTCTGGCTCGACGGTGATTAAGTAGACAGCCCTTCTTTAGTACGGATCGGAATACAAGTGCTTGGACTTGTCACATATAAATAGCTCTGATGGTGGGGATACGAGTTGGCGGAAAAAATTATCGATTTACGGAATGTCAACTATTCGACTGGAAAAATATCAATTGACCTTTAGCCGCTCTTCTATATTGTTTTATATGTCACGCCGCAAGATGACCACAAATAAGACCGTGGAGAAGATCTTCTGATTCCTTCCAAAGTCCTTGAAGGATTGCCTCAGGTGTGGCTGGACCGTGGCTGGAGTGCCGTGCCACAATTACCTCAGCCACATCCACAGCCCCAGAATCTCTTCTGCTTTTGCTGCAAAGTCACGATCGGAGATTCACTCATTTGCTCCTGTAGCCGAAATCTCCTGACAGTCCAGAGCACCGTTTCTCAAGGCTGAGGCTGTCTCCGCCTTGGAGAGAAACAAAAATATCTGGAGCCCAGCTTCCATGACCCCGACTCCAAGTGGCTCTTCCGGTTTATAATAAATCCATGACCCAGCTGCTTCCACACGTTTCCCAGACCTCTCTGGGTGAGACGTGTGCTTTCTATCTGGATTACATCACCGCCGGCGTGCCCTCTTCGTTACACTCTCTCCACCATAAATTCGTCCTGCCCCTCATCTCAGGTCCCGCATTATCAACTCCCTTATTGCGCGCCCTCATTTCCCCGCCAGACTGGGCTTCCCATTACCGTGACGACACCTACAAAGCAGCGGCCGCCGTCACCCTCGTCGCTTGTGCGATTGCCCTTGTGGTAATGTCTTGGCGTAACTTCTGGCGACGTCCTTCCCCCTCCTACCACCCGCCGAATACCAGCGAGCGACCCTACACTTATCTCACAGCTGATGACATCGTTGACCCACCTGCGCGGACGTACGATGGCAGCGCCTACGCGAGAGGGGAGGACGATGACTCCGAGCCCGACAAGCTCGTCCTGAACCACCGCAAGGTGACATATGAGCTTCATTTCCCGCCTTACTCTATCAATGACGGCACGTTAAGCGTCGGCAAGCTGAGACAGAGTGCTGCAGAGGTCACACACACCGCCGACCCTAATCGCATCCGGCTGCTCTACAAGGGCAAGCTGCTAGATGATGATTCGCTGCCCTGCCGCCTGGAGGGCCTCAAGCAACAGTCCGAGATCCTGTGCGTTGTATCGGAGGTGCAGTCGGGCGCAAGAACACCTAGCGACATATCTGAGGCTGAGCGGACGAGCAGTGAAGCCCGTCGCCCACCTCATCAACACATCCCCGAAATCGCACCTAAGGGCAAACGAAAGAATAAGGGCAAAAACAAAAAGAAGAAACCTCCATCAGCCTCAGCTGACTCTCCCGACGAATTGCCTGCCCCTCCCCCGCGACCTGTTCCCTCGACTAGCAGTTCCGCACTTCCACCTCCAGCCCCTAATCTAAAGAACTTCCCAGACCCTCTCGATCAAGTTTACGCCCTAAAAGCATACTTCCGCAAGGAGCTTCTCCCGCTCTGTGAACAGTATATCGTGGACACACCACAAGAAGAGAAAGTGCGCGACTTCGAGCACAAGAAGCTCGGCGAGACTATTCTAGCACAGATAATTCTCAAGGCAGACGGCATCGAGCCCGCAAACGATGAGACCCGGATCGCACGAAGGGCTCTGATCAAGGAGGCGCAATCTACTCTTAATACGGTTGATGCCGCGGCGAAGGCTGATTAAACCTAACTGACTGATATCCATCTATCGCTTGACTTTTACTCTTTTGAATCTACACATACCATACTTCTCATCTCTTGCATCTCACCTACTTTTTCATCATCTATATTTCTATGCCCTGGTCGATATAAGATATCATTTCTTTTACGTCCATGAAACAACAAGGCGTTTTTATAGGTTGCACGTGGTAAGGAAGATAGATCGGATCGTTCAATACTAGACCTTACTTGCATTTTGCGATGCCACTGATTCACGACTCAAAAACTTGAATACCGTATACACCTTACAGTCAACCTCACACCCTTCTGTTAAAGATCCGTGAGACATACCATGGTCTCCATTAGCCCTCGAAAGAGTGGGTTTCCAATTTAAAACAGTTTGGCCAGGCTTACTTCCAACAAATTAGTCTTACAAATGAGAGTGTACGCGTTTAGCTAAGAAAAGTCGCGGCCATTATATACATTAAATTAGCTATTGATCAAATATGATCTAGTTATCGGTGACTAGACCAGAAGAAGGATCTAACTCCCATTCTTGATAGCGTCTGCAATCTTCTCCGCGATCATATAACACGTACTCTGCGGATGGCCTGGAGGCAGCGTAGGGAAAATACTCGCATCAACAACACGCAAGTTCTGGACGCCGATAACCTTAGCATTCGAGTCGACGACTGCATCAGGGTTCGTGGACTCGCCCATCGCGCAGGTCCCCGCGGCATGCCAAACCGGCACGATAGTGGAGCGGATAAACTCAAGGATTTCCTCATCCGTCTGTACATCCGGACCGGGGCGATGTTCCTCACCGATGATGATGCCCGTGGCGTTGAAGGCCTCCCGCGCGCGCTTGAGCGCCGCAACCGCGACTTCCTGGTCGGCTGGGTGGGTTAGATAGCCGAGGTCGATGACGGGGGTGGCACTGATATCTGTACTATTGATTGTGACGGAGCCGCGAGAGAGAGGAGCGACGAGGGCTGGCGCGATGGTGCCATACTCGTACCCGTCACCGAGGTCTTGATCGTCGGCGCTGTGCCAGCCATCTAGGATACCGTCGAGACTGATGTATTCGACTTCGGGCCAGTCGGCCGGGAAGTTGTCTAGGGCTTTGCGAGTGCTGTTGGTGAAGTGCTTGCGGACGTTGTTAGGGAGTTTCTCCCAACCGAGGATGCCGAAGCCTGGGGCTGTAAGAGGGCCTTGTTTGAGGGCGTATTGGCCGAGTGCCTCCGTGGCGGCAGTTTGGTCATTTACTAGCCGGCTTGCTGTTTCCACGTTCACTCTGTTAACGACACCGAAAAGGGCGTGGTCCCACAGATTTTGTCCCACGCCTGGAAGGTCTTTCACGACTTTGATTCCAAGCTTTTCTAATGCTGACCTGGGTCCAACACCAGATACCATTAGAAGTTGAGGGGATTGGAAGGACCCAGCAGATATAATGATTTCCTTTTTTGCTGTTAGGGTATACGGGATACCAAGGGTCTCGACATTGATGCTCTTGGCTTTGGTCCCACTGAAGTTGATTTTCTTTGCCAGGGTATTAGCATAGACGTTGAAGTTTAGCTTCAACAGAGACTGTTTCAGGAAGCTTGTTTTCGAAGAGCTTCGTGTTTCATCTTTTGGGTCAATTGTTGTAGGTGCCCAGGACGAGCCATTGAGGTAACCGCTGTTGAGATCTTGTCCTGAAAGGATACCTATTGCTTCGAGCCCGGCCTCCACATGCGTTGCGAATGGAGAGCCATAATTAGGCCAAGAAACTTGGAGAGGGCCCTTCATATTGTTGTCAAACGCGTCTGCACTATACGTCACACTCGAATTTGCATTACGCTTGGACATGTCTGGTGCCGTGAGGGTACAGCTCTTCTTGAAGTATGGCAACACTGACTCCCACTCCCACGTGTAGTCACCGGTGATGTCTGCCCATTGATCATAAGAATCCTTGGTTCCGCTGTCAAGTGTTGGTTTCATAATGAGGTAGAATACTGCAATCAGGGCCAAAGAACATACCGATGGTAGACCATAAGGTTGCGAGCAGACGTGCCACCCAGACATTTTCCTCTAGAATAGCGGAGAACTCGATCATCTGCAGCCTAAAAGAGTCATATCAGATTTGTCCCAAAGGGCAGTCATATTAAGAATCCTTGTAATTTGCGCACCGATAGAGGTAGAGCATCGAAATTCCAATCAATAAGCAGCGAATCATCAGATGGGTCGGTGCCGGTGTTCGCTGCAGCGGCGAAGCCAGGAATAATGCTGTTAATACCACCATCGATCTCATAGTGTCCACCAGCCTCAACAACAGCGACGCTCACTCCGGAGTCCTCAGCCAATCTCGTAGCGACAGCGAGGCCGGAAGTACCGCCACCGACAATTACATAGTCGTAGGACCAACTGATCCCAGGAGCGCCTTGATTAGACAAACCCAGACATGGCGAAGTAATATAAGCGAGAGACAGAACAGCGATCTTGGTAAAAGTCATTTTTAGAGACAGGGAATCTAAATAAGCAAGAGCACAACAATAGACAATCGTCGACTGAAAAACGAGCAACGAGGATAGTGTCAAAAGAGTGGCAGGCTTAACTAAGCCGTTTGCATGAAAAATCCGAAAGAAAGTATGGAAAGAAATTCTAAAAATCAAAAATGAGCGTCGAGCTTTCAGACAAAAGTGATTAAGGAGGAAAGAACAACATAAAATATATGGTAGGCCCTGTGGTTATATGTCGTGCGGTATAACCGGCCCTGCCCTTCCGGAGGACTCAGCAATCTCGAGAAGGATAAGGATGGGACTTGGCTGTCCCTGCCCTCATGGCAGAGTCTCGGTTCTCCATTCTTTCCGCGGCCATCCATAATCCCAGGCTATGAGCAGTCCCCACTTCAAAATTCTAATGGAATGATGCCCCATGTCCAAAACTGGAGCGTTTTCCGGCTTGCCGTCGGGCTATACCATTCGTAACCTAGTATATCTGTCAAAAACCCTAGACTCCGTCGTTCACAGCCAAGGTGGCAGTACCCGGACCAGTCACAATGACAGAATACCATCCCGGCACAAAGAGTTGTCTCAGAAGTCACGGGTAGCTGGCTACTTTCCTTAGCAACTGGTGCGGGGTTATGCTGATCGTATCATCGTATGTATAGAAGGGCTTCCCTAGGTTCTAGGTTTTGGGGAGAGTGGCGACTTTGGTGTTTGTTGCAATCTGCGAAACTCATGGGAGGATTGAGACATTCGTGCTCAGCTCACGAAAGGATTGATATTGGCGCAGCCAATTGGTTTTCATGATTCACTAGGGCATCCTTCCCAAGGGTTGACGACAAACCTGGAATTTAGCACAGAGAAGCGACCAGCCCATATGTTGTCTGTCATCAGCTGCTTCGCATTGTGCTCCAATTCCAGGTCCGTGGTGGCGCAGGCACTATCTCTCGGGGGAGGCTACTGTTCAAGAAAGACCGTGTCGAATCGACTGACTCTCGAGATGATGCCCCTCAAGGCTTGACACGACATGAAGCTGAGATTAAGAATCCTACGGGGTTTTGGCAGAGGATAGATGGAACGCCCTCGTTGTGGTCAAGAAGCCTGAGTCAGACTCCCCCAGGTTGGGCTCAAAGGATCATCCGCCGCCACACGAGACAAACGACCCCAGCAATTGTCGAGTCATGTCCGCGGGTTCGGCATGAAGAAAATGAGGGGTTGCCCTAAGCTGAAACGGCTTCATAGAGCTAATTCTAGTTGCAGAATTAGTGTACTCGAATCTTTCGACATCATTGATGCATGACATTGAAGATTGTCACCAAGGAAGCCATTGATGTGGAGGTAAGAAACCGGTACTGATGTTGTGATGGATATTCGCACGGTTAGTGTGGAGGTTGCCCTCCGTTTCTCCTCCGAATTAGGGCCAAGCGATAGAACGTGGTCAGTGTCCCCGAATAAACTTTTGCTCCAATAGCGTATTGTTGAAGTATTTTTGGTCTCTCCTTGTTCCAGGGTTCAATGGCCGAGGCGCGATTTGAGGAACGCCTTCATGATTTATTTGCCTGGGTTTTGCGTTCCTGCCGCGACCCTCAGGGGCCTTGTATGCTCCGACTAAACCCGCTAGAGTATGCTTGGGCGAGTTGAGACTTGAAACAGGTAGGATTTGATGTGCATGGCAGTCATGCATCCTGACCGTTCGTTCCCCGCAACTCAGAAGTAGGTCGCCTTTTCTTGTTTTATATTTTGTTAGTCTCGGCCATTCCTACTTAGTCTCGGCCATTCCCATGATGCGGATCGGTCCAAAGATGCTTGATATCACTCTCGTCTGTGTCACCCATCCACAAGAGCATTGGGCACTAATATGTCGACTCCGAGTATAGATGTTATAGCGAGTTGGCCGACACCTAACTATGACAACCCCCACGAGCCCTTGGACGCCGTCATCTATGCTGTCAATATTCCTCTGATGGCCCTAATGACAGTTTTTGTTGCGGGCCGGTTCGTATCACGGACATTCCTTGTGCGTAATGCACTCGGAATAGATGATTGGATGATGCTTATTGCATACGTACGTATGGACCTTGGTATTTTTCCGTATAGCTCTGCTAACCCTAACTTTAGGTGCTAGCCATGGCGATGTCGGCATGTCAGTTAGTTGAGCCTAGGTATGGCATAGGCCGGCACCTATATGACGTGAGGTATGCATGGTACCCTTCATTAGGAAAAGTTGGTCGCCCTCGTTCTATCCGAAGTGTGATTCAGAAAGCGCTAACCCATGCAAAGTTGACCATTGCGATCCAAGCCGTCTTTGCGCCTTGCTCCGCCATAACGAAAATCTCGATATGTTTGACATATCTTCGCCTCTTTCCTTCGAGGACAAATAAATGGTTCAACTATATCACGATGACAATCCTGGCAGGGTTCGGAATATCGACCACGGTCACAATGATGTTGCAATGCATGTATGTAGTGACAGGTGCTTCTGGAGTGCGATGTGCTAACACAGGTTCAGACCTCTATCTGATATTTGGGCGGTTCTCAAGCCGATGGATCAAAAACAGTGTATCGATTCGGAGAAATTCTTCATTGCCGCTGCCGCCATCAACAGCATAACTGACTTCATGGTTTATCTTTGGCCGATCCACTATCTCTGGAAAGTGAAGCTTAGCCTGGCGAAGAGAATCGGACTAATAGTTTGTTTTGGTGTTGGAGTCCTGTAAGACAGCGAAGTTTCGGATATAAGGGTGGTGCTAATATCATGCCTAGGATTTGCATTGCAGGCGTGGTTCGTATAACCTGGCAGGTTAAGTTTGCTCAGTCCTGGGATCAGACTTGTGAGATTTGATATGGTTTAGGCCTCATCTGTGCACACTGCTGACTCGATAGCTAGACAATGGCGCCATTATATTCATAATTGTGGCTGTGGAATGTAACCTCGGTGTGGTTTGTGGTTGTCTCCCAGGTGTCAGGCCACTGATGGCGAAGATATTCCCCAGCCTGGCCAGCTCAACCTACAATTCAGGCCGAGCAAAGATCAGCCATGGACACCACAGCTCCAGCCTGAAATCGGGGCCGGAGTACCAGGACATGCACTCAATCCATGTCAGGAAGGATGTCGAACTATCAGTTGTAAACAGGTCTGCCAATGAACGATGGGACAGACCGGCGATCCCAACTGGGAGGAGCGATAGTGAAGAATGGATCTTCCGGCCATAACCACCTCCTGGTAGTCTGAAATGTGCTTCCTTGACAGAATATAGTTTTCGTGTTTATACCCTGAGGGAGGTTTTTGTTTTGAGTATTTGTTAATCGGTACTTTGGGTTTCCATATTTACAGAACGATTGCCCTGGTTGGGCATTTCCACAAGCAACCGCATTTTATCTATCAGAGTAAACTTGGATATTGGATAATTTCCCGATAATAGAAAATTGGAGCAACGGGTGCCTGCCCCTTACACCGAGATTAGTGAGGATGTGCCTCGCTCCGGCGAATCGAAGTGATAAACCTGTCAAGACTCAAGAGTCGTGGCTAAGGTATCGTTTAGCGAGTTGATATGCAGACTAATGTGAAATTGGCGAATTTGAAAGTCCAATGCCCAGACCACATGTCTCGCCTGATTTGACTTGGGCTAGTATGGATAGCTTGTCAAGTTGATTCGGGCTGAGGCGAGATATGGAGTTGCATTCAAAGTCTCCGGGGGTAGAGCTATGAAGCGCGAACGAAGCGCGAGGAAGATGCTCAAAATGACGGACCGCGAGAGCACATTCCAGACACTTGTATAGCGATCATTTCGGGCTCGTTTGCAAATATAGATCGCGTATAGAGCCACAGTGTCGTGGGCCTGGGATCGGTGGGGCACGCGATCAAGAGAGTTCGCTATGGAGAAACCGTGGGGACACTACGTACTTGTATGTTCCACTGCTGTTCCAACAATCTGGGCAGAAGGATTTAGTAATCCAATTTTATGCATATCGTATAGAGTACGCACCCTAATATTGGCGAATTCCCTTGGAGACTGCCCCGCCAGGCGCGGTGACTGCCAACTTCCGAGGTCTTTCTAAAGAGAATCCGACGAGCTGGGAAGAAGAAGTAATAAAAGGAGCAGACAGAAGTCGAGGTATCAGAGCGAAATCATTGGGTGCCGGACTACCAATGGTCGCGTTAGCCATACCGAACGGGGTTTAATTCGACCCGTTGCTTGTCGGTAGGCGCGGCTCCCAAGAAGGACGATGGGAGAACTACAGCTTACAGTGTTGAGATGGTGCGGGTGCACGTGATGTTACACCAGCTTCAACAAACCAAACAACAAAATTATGGATTGAATTTACTTTTGCCGGCGAGTTCGAAATTCCACACCAGGGTCCAGAAGATCTGGCGGTTCTGAGGCTTTTGAGCCCCTGGGCGCTTGAAGCTGAAGATATGAAGGATTCTTGTTAGTGCGCCTGCAGATCATCATTCGTCCATAACGGTCTGGTCTTGCGCTCTGCCCATCCTCATAAAGTGACCCAGCTACTGACACCAGCCACAGGCAAGAAGGTCTTGATCTGTCACATCAGGCACTTGCCGATTGACATCCTGACATAGCAGGCTTTGTCCTTGCTGCAACATTGGTTTGTGAGATATCGCTCAGCCAATACTGTGCTGCACATGGCTGTCCAGATGGTCCCAAGCCAGTGGGCATCTGATCTGCCTTGACTGCCATCTGCTATTGGCTCCCTGAAGCCTGGAAGTTCGAGACTGTTGCGGCCCGGGGAAGAGAGATGGTAGGGACTAGCTGCTCGCTAAGCTTAACTCAGTAACGGGTGTGAATTAGTTTGTGATAGTCTTTGTGAAGCCAAGTGTTGAAGTGAGTGCTTCTCCCCCGTGCTGCTGCTGTGCTCCGCCAGCTTTTCTCTCCTCCCTGCCTCCTCCTCCTTTGTGCTGGTCAACCACAGGACCATCGAATATTTTCCTGTCAACCGTATCTGATCCACTTCCTGTGAACTTTTTTTTCTCAGTCTTTCTTTCAACCTCTTTTGACACTGACCTCCCAGCGAACCCGACCAGACCAAGCCAGGCCCGTCCCGCCTTCAGCTTCTCTCCCTCACTCCTTTTCCGCATCTTCTTTTTCTTCCCCCCTCTTCTTCTCTTTCGCATCGTCCGACCATCTTACTCTTCCTATAAGCTCTCCGTTTTCCGATTTCGTTCTCGGCTTCTTCAGCATAGTATTTCCTGTTTTACTGCGTGGTCTTTTCGTTTTCGCCGTTCGCCTATAATATTCCTTCGCCCGAGGCATTCCCACGGTACGATCCGTCGGTCCTGAACCAAACCACACAGCAGTTTGAGAAGCTCCAAACCAAAGGAACTCGAAGTCCCACATTTCCCTCCTATTTACAATTACCTGTTTCTGGCGACCTTGTTTTCGGTTCGCCACACCTTTTCCCCTGCCGCACATTTTCCCCCAACAGTTCCGGAGAGAGCGTGTACGGCCTCCTTAATTCACCCCGCCCTCGCATAATACATACCCAACCTCAACCTCCCAGGTCCACGAATCTTGGTTGGGAACGCCCACTGTAGTCTTTGTTGGCATTGTTTCATTGACTAGGATGGACTGATTACCGAGAAGGGGACCCAGGGGCAACCGCGCTTTTATTATTTTCTCGACTTTCAACCTATACTCACACCTCATTCCCGAATAGGGACCAGCTGGTCTGGCCTCAATTTATTAACACTACGTACTTATATTACCTACTGGGATGGCGGGCACAGCTACTGCAACGTACTCCGCAGATGTTTGGTCATCGGCTAGCACCATAGACGGGGGCCAGCAGCAATGGGAATACTCTGTTCCAGTCAACAATGAGGTATGTACATTAGGTTGGATTGAGTTCCCAATATATGATTTGTCTATATGATTTCGCCTTCCGAGGAACAGCCTAGTTAATAACTAACCTCCTGTTTAATAGAACAACAGGCGTCGCTCCAAATCCCGAACAAGAACCTCCCGCGATGCAAAGTCTCGAGACCGCGGCTCCAAAGGTTCACGTAGCTCCTCGTTATCCAAACACGCATACGCCCACGAACAGTCCCACTATGCATCTCGAGGACGCCGGGATGCAAGCACCAGCCGCCGAGAAAGTGAGAGTGGAGGCGTGCAGGACGTTTTAAGCCGACCACATAGCAATGGACCGACTAGGAAAAGTGTTTCAAAGGACGGCGATGACGAACAGAATGGGGAAAACGAGGAGAAGTGGATTCACCGTGATAAACTAGCCCGCATTGAGAGCGAAGAGTTACAGCAAGCCGCCATTCTATTTCATCGTCGACCCGGGACTGGGAGCACTAGAGCTGGACGCGGAAGAAGTCGAGATCAACATATTGTCAACGGAAGTACTGTAGCTACATCGCCGCCCACCGAACAAACGGAACCTTGGCCAGATCTCCAAGAAGATCAGCGCAACAATGGTGTTTCTTCAAACCTAGCGGATGATGACGACGTTCCAGATGAAGAACGGAAATTCTGGGATCTCCGACGTCCTGAGGAAATTGCGGCAGACAGGGAATCCGGTGCGTCGAGTATATACCGCAATCCTGCACTGCGGAAAAGTTCCTCTCGAATTCCAATTCCAATGTCGAGCCCTGCACCTCTATCATCCGACCAAATCGACCGGGATTACTTCACCCCACGCTCACGGGCGCCGACAGACGAAGAAGAGAATCGTCCTTCGATCGCAATGCCTCGAAGAGCTAGTGAACCTCTCACCTTGGATTCTGCTTCAACTTCTAGCCCCGCGCCTGAGAGCAGGCCCGGGAGCAGGGGGGTCCAGGCGCCTCAAAACGCAACTTCCAAAAAGTCTTCTGGCAAACCTGGCGCAACTAAGAGAAACACTTCGGCTCCGCACCAGAAGAAGTCGACGCCACGAAGCCGGGCAACTTCGAGTAATAACGCCCAGCGTCCCACGACTAGATCTGGGGAACCTCGTCCTCCAACAGCAGTCAACCGTCCAGAGGGAGACCCACCATGGCTGGCAACCATGTACAAGCCTGATCCACGGCTACCTCCAGATCAACAAATACTACCCACCCACGCGCGCAAACTGCAACAAGAGCAATGGGCCAAGGAAGGCAAGACGCCAACCACGTATGATCGTGAATTTGCACCGCTTGCAATTGCACCTGATGCAGCCCGTCCTCAGGACAAGCCCAAGGAGACAGAGAAGCCGGACCAGCTGAAGACGGAGGGCTTGGGTCTGCATGCAATGTCCAGGAGTCCCGAACCGGGAACCCGGCCCGGCACAAGCACGGGCTATAGCCCGATGCCGAAGCTGCAGGACACACCCCCAACCCAATTGACACCAAGATTCAACAGTCAAACCGTTACAACAGCTCAAGGGCCACCCCCAGAAGACGAAAAGGTAGAGAAGGGGTGCGGATGTTGCATCGTGATGTGATTTCAGAGTACCGTATAAAAAGCGCACCCATCTCTTCTTAACTTCATCTATATCCCTTCTCTTTTTACTCTTTTCCTTTTTTCCAGTTGTTTATTCAGCGTTTAGGGACGGTCGGTGTTTTGTATTCGACAGCTATTTTTTTGCGTCCTAGATCATTTCCCATCTCGTCATATTCTGCCCTCTTTTGCCATCTCCTATTTGATCTACGTATGGTGTTGTGGCCATAACCCTTCCTTGTATGATTTCTTGCATTTGATACCTTCTCGTTGCTCGACCTCCAGAATGTTTGAGCGACATGTTTCCGGGGCGAAGATCTGAAATTTCGCATTCGGGGGGTCCCTGATGACTTCACGATGCGTATTTTTACTGTCTCATCCATTCAATTTGTCTAGTTTAGGCTATTGATAGTTATCTGTTCAGGTTGTCTCGTACGTCGAATAGTGTACGTAGGATAGTTGTCACGTGAGTATTTGTAATCGGTGTCTGCGGCCGGTGACTATCGGTGTTCTGGGCGTCGCCGAGGTCGGATTTCTTGTCCTCTTCGCCGCCAAACTCCTCCGTCTCCCATTGGAACTACTGAACCAACTTGCTCTGGAACAATCCATTGCGTGCTCCTCATCGATTACCAACCCCTCTTTCGTCATAACCGCCCAACTCAATAAATCCCCTCTCTATTCCCCTCATCCAACCTTTTCTTGTTTGATTTCTGGGATTCCCAGATACCAGTTGCCCACCATCGCTTCCATATTCCGCCGTCTTTTCGGGTCTTTTACACCCACATCACCAGCCACAATGTCCGCCGCGAAGGTTAAGGCCCAGAGCATCATCGATGAGAATGGCGTTGGTATGTCTCTCTCGTCCCTGTGTTCTTTTTTATATACTTCGCTTTTACTTTTTATCGACCATGATGTCAAGAACCGATGCTAACCGACGTATAATGAATTCTAGTCGTCTTCTCCAAGTCCTACTGCCCCTACTGCAAGGCCAGCAAGAGCCTCCTCTCTGAACTAGGCGCAAAGTACTACGCGCTGGAGCTCGACCAGATTGGTACGTCCTTTACTTATTACCCATCGCGCCCTTATGAAGAAAGACCATACTCGGATTGTGACTGGTATACTAACGATGCCACCTACGGTTATAGATGAAGGAAGTGCCATCCAAGACGCCCTTCAAGAACTCAGCGGCCAGCGCACCGTGCCCAACGTCTACATCGCGAAGGAGCACATTGGCGGAAACTCCGATCTGCAGGGCCTCAAGGACAAGCTGCCCGCGCTCCTGAAGGAGGCCGGCGCATTGTAAATGCGACTTTGATGATTAAAGGATGTATGGCCTCGCTTTGTACCTAGTTTAGAATGGGGATTGCGAGGTAGAGATTAGAACTATATGAATACCTATATTGCTCTTTTCTTTTCTAGTCCACTGAATACAACGCTCTCCGATTTTGGTGGGTGTGTACAGGGGTTGACGTCATTCCTTGCCCGTCCGCGGTTATAAAACGTAGTCGCAGTAAGGGATTCTGGTAAAATTGGTATGCTTTGTACAGAGGTTTAGACACTGTAGGGGAGATCGACTACTAATACACGGGCAATAACGCCATTACACAATCTTCTGAACAATTGTCCCAATCGGCCGCTCAACGATTCCCATAACACCATCCACGACGCTCCGTCGAGCGTCCTCACTTGACACGTTCTTTCCAGCCAGGTAGTTCAACCAAACCAGCCGCCCGATCCGCTCATCGGAAACCCGACCCATGAATCGGAACGGCTTCGCGGCATCAGGCTGGAACAGCGCATCCAGCTCCCCATGGGCACTGCGCATCAGTACGAGTGTCTGTCCCTTGGGCACATTCTTGCGCTGACCACCACCGAACAAGCCCTTGAAGTCATTCATAGCCGAGCCGAACGATTCATCCTGGTATTCTCCGAGGGGAGCAGCCTCGCCTACTTGAGCGGCAGCCTTGGCCTTGAGGTTGGCCTTTTGCGCCCGCGCCGTGATTCCCCGCACCCAGCCATCTCGCAGATGCAGGAAATCTGTGTTACGTGTGGGCACAATCCGGAAAGCAGTGCGGAGTCCATCATCCTTCAAGATCGCATTCCAGACGTCCTCGCCCTTCTCCTCATCCAGTAGGAGTTCCTTCAAAAGCTGGCGCTCCGTAGAAACCAATGACGTAGCCGAAGTCGCGCCAACCGGGTTTGAGATCACTTGCTCCTCCGAAGGGGGGTTGACAGCAACCTGGACGAGACGCTGCTGTAGTTCCACGATGTCGGATTTAGCCACGTACAGTCCCACCACGTATACCTGGATCTTCAAAAAAGAGACGGTGCGGATACCAAGCCCAAGCAGCTGGTACTCCTCTTCCTCAGTGCCAATAACCTCATCCCCAGACTGGATATTGGAAGGGGTCGAGTTCCCCTGGTACTTGGGCAACTGAATTGTAGTCGGGAACAGGGGCACCGAGCTCGTCCCAGTCGGGACCTGCTCTACACCCTCCTGGCCCTGGATTCGGATGACGGACGGGTGACTCGTGAACCCATCCGGCCCTTCCGTCTTCATCGCCGATGCGTTCTTCTCGGCGTTCCCCTCTTCGGCTTTCTGTCCCTGCTGCTGTTCCAGCCCGAACACATCCAGCTTGATCACGCCGTACATGGCGACCGCACAAGCCGCTATTCCCGCCGCAGACATAATCATCGAGCGGCGGGATTTGGCGATTTCCTCCTCGCGCGACCGGACATTCGCGCGCGTCCGCAGCGGGTTATTGTTGGAGCCGGATGAGTGGAGGGGGCTGGTCGTGGATAGGTATCGAGCTGTCGCTGACGGGCGGAGGTATCGGTGGCGGATGCATTGGCCGCTATTGCGGAAGGGAATAGTGCCCTGGAATGAGAAGGGCACTTTCATCGCCATTTTGGACGAGGGGGTGCCGTGGGCGACGCTGTTTATAATCTTGAGGGGATTATGCAGGTGTGGATGGGGTTGATCGGAGTGACGCCAGAGCAGACCTGGGGTTTCACGTGACTTGGCTAACGGAGCCGTGTATTTGGCTGGAGAATGATGGGATGGGGATTGAATTTTTATTCAAATTTGATAATAGTAAATGGTAGATCATTCATATCTCTGGGCTCTAGACGGGTCGTTTGCTGACTCCATTCATGGTTGGCGCAATTAGTGTATACCTTGACCTATAGCCGCACAACAGTTAGTAATGGACAATGGCCAGTACTAGTTAGTGGGCATCAAGCCTATCCTTAACAAACATGCTTTAGAATATACTGGAATACGATAGCAGGTTGTAGACAGGTGGATTTTGTTAATCATCTCCATACCAATGGGTGGTAATTGTATGAGCGCGGTGAAGCGTACGGATGTCACAGGGCGCGCATCGCTCTCCACTGCAACGCTGCGGGTTGGAGACCAAAAGTGTGGGAATTCCACACGTTGTCCGCCACGAACATACATAACCAGCTTGGTATCCCACGAAACGATATTGTCGCGTACATTTTTCTCGTCTCTTCCAAGGACCCACAGATTCAAACATGGCCGTTATAGAGAAAAAGCCCTGGATTGAAACGCCTCTCATTGAGTCTGCATCCTTATCAAAGACCGCAGGATGGTAAGTGCCGCCACCCCAAGTTTCATTGACGCCGTCAATAACAATGTCGAATTAGCAGAATATTCCTCAAGCTAGATCTCCTGCAGCCGTCAGGATCATTCAAATCTAGGTATTGTAACCTAACTCTTCATTCCTCACAAAGGTGATATCGCAACTCACAGTCACCAGAGGAATTGGAAACTTCATTCGCACTGCCCTCCAAGATCCAGTCAACAAAGACCAAGAGCTGCATTTCTACATATCATCCGGCGGGAATGCCGGATTAGCCGCCGTAATTGCGGCGCGCGAGCTCAACTGCCAGTGCACAGTCGTCGTGCCGCATTCCACGAAACCTATGATTGTGCAGAAGTTACGGGATGTCGGTGCTGCGGACGTGTTCCAGCATGGAGATAATTGGTTTGAGGCCGATACACATCTCCGGAAGACATTTATCGAGAACCAAGATCCCAACTCTGATAAGCGCAATGTCTACGTCCCTCCCTTTGATCATCCGGATGTCTGGAAGGGAGCCGAGACTATGATTGATGAAATTGCAGCGCAAATGCCGCCAAGGGATAACGGGCCAAAGACCCCATTCCCTGTAGATGCTGTCGTCTGCAGTGTTGGAGGAGGCGGACTGTTCAATGGTGTAGTTCAGGGGCTGGGCCGGTATCAACAGTCTCAAACAGGCGAAGTAGCGGAAGGCAACCAGGTCCGTGTTCTGGCCGTTGAGACCGAGGGGGCCGATTCATTGGCCTTTTCCCTCCGAAACGGGTCCCTGCAATCGCTTCCGGGTATCAAATCTCTCGCCACGTCCTTGGGTGCAGTACGAGTTGCTCCACAGGCCCTAAAGAACGCTCAATCTCCTCCTACCGGAGTGAACGTTGTCAGTGCTGTCGGCACAGACGCAGAGGCTGCTAAGGGTGTGATTCGACTTGCAGACGAACAGCGGCTGCAAGTTGAATTAGCATGTGGGATCAGCGTTGAGCTAGGCACGGTGAAATTGAAAGAGTACTTCCCCGACTTGACGCCAGAGAGCCGGGTTGTCGTTGTTGTTTGCGGGGGAAGCAATGTCAGTGCAGAGATAATATCCGAGTACAGGCAGAAGATTCAGGACGGTTGGGAGTAGCGCATCCCGACGTTATATTGGCAACTAGACATATATAGAGCTGCCGTGTTATGTCACGTACGATTGTTCTGCATTCCAAACCCAACTTTCATTTTCATACGTAGAGTTAATTTTGATTGGCTTTCACGCTGATGGTGGCTAGCACTAGGAGGTTAAGGCTCCAAATGTAGTTTCAGTTGCATTGCCTTGGCGAGGGCCCATAACTTCAATTTGAAACGTATGTAGGCAGCAACTGTGACTTGACCAAGCAATCTCAGCTACCACAGGCCAGTTACTAGATAATCAATTCATCTACCGACGTTACAATGCATTTTTCGTCAAGACTCTGAAGTTCCCATTATAAATAGGACCTACTCTACACCTTCCTGACTCCTCCCTCCTCTCAAGTCTTCCACCTCCCGGGACCTCTTCTTGATGCGGGAACATGGACCACTTTCCTAATTCGCACCAGAGGTCGTGGTTGCACCTTGACGACATGGGAATTGCATGGTGCTGGGATACGCCCCCCACAGACAGAGCTTAACTTTGCACTTTCCTCAATCGGCATCTAAGGGCAAATTTGTTGCTCGTCTAGATGGGTAACTGCGCTCCGAGGCCGCCAAGGAAATACCAATGTTGATCGAAGTCAAGCAGGAGCAGAGTTGGGCTCCAGGTTTAAATGTGCTATCCTTGTAGCCAGAGGGAAGGCCTCGGACCCAGCAGACCTGACCGATTTTGACCCCAAATATCGTCACAATAAAAAGGTTTATCATGAAGTTCAACAATCCCTTCAAAACCACTTGTTGATCGAAGTGAAGCCGGAGGAGAGACTTCGGGAAGAGCTAAACGTCTCTATGCAGGAGACTTCTGAAATGGTATCTTGGCTGAAAGGAACAGGGCTTTAAAAGGCGTCAAATCGGTAGAGTTTCCTCGTTACCCCTGGTAGTATTATGTAGAATACTAATTCAGCGTGAAGGCCCGTCCTGCTAACATAAGATAGCTATGAGGTATATCAGGAATCTCGTTTTCGGCCGAATATCGCCGATACCTCGATGGTACCCGTCCTGGCCTACCTAGATAGCACCGAGTCTATGGTGGCCCAACACTTAGGAATTACCGAGGCCGCAAACATGGAGCATCTGGTCGTCATCTTTCCAGAAATGACCTCAAAGGCGCACAGTCTATGGATACGCGGCAAAGCGCAGGGTTGAAATTCCACGACTATCATCCCGAAGAATGGCATAGGAGCTGCATCTTCGTGTGATCGTTTCTTTGGGACACTTTCCGCTTGATTTCCCAAAGCTACTCTCCAGGCATACTCCATCTTCGAATCTCAACGCAACCATGTTCGATACTAAGCTGAGCATCTGATCATTGATGATTCATTTCTCTTGAAGCATGGGCCTTCCAACGTTGGATTTATCGCGGATGACTGCCCAGCAACCCAGTCGTACTCAGGTTGGGAGTTCATAATCATATGGATTGGCAAGCTGGTATGTATCGAAAGGGAGTAAAACTAGTAGCCAGGATTGGTCAGGGCACTGATGATAAAATTCGAGGGATAGCAGGGTAACACCGAGCCGTGCATGGTTCCTGGCGTGTTGGCCTAGCGTTCTCCGAGAAAAAGCTTCTATCACAAGGGGCACGCTGCAACAACCCCCATAAGAGACCCTCATGTATTTAGTCTACCTTCGAGAAGTAGCCAGAAGAGTCTGACTTATGAGCCACTCGTAACATCCCATTTAGACCCTAGCCGAGACTAGAATTGTGTCTAGCTTCAAACCACAGATTTGACGACAGGATAGATGGAGGGATAGACGTTGGATGCACCGTCGTGGAATGCCTTTTGTCTGTGAGAAGCCTGTGGTACCCGTGCTAGCAGTAGCACCGGATATGTGATGGGGTGAAGAAGATAAATAGCATGGGACTGGGTCATTCAGTGTGCTCAATAACATAGAATCTCCTCAGCCGCGGGTGGAGAGAAAAGTTTCGTATTAATGAACATGGGTTGTTGCCTTGCCTTGCTATGGTGTGTCTGTTTTGGGTAGATAGGTACGCAAAGGAGTCTCTGGTAGACAGTAAACTGGTCCGGAAGGAAGTGCCTTATTAGGCAATATCGAACCATTCCAATTCGGGTTTGAACGTGCTTCTCAAATCAAAGAGGATACAGAGACGAAATGAGAAAATGATAAACAAAATAGGCGAGGTTAAAAGATGCGAGTGAACGCAGAGGGACATAACCAAACACTGAACTTGCACATGATGGAAAGGTATTTTGTTTTTGTGAATGTTTTGAGACTGATTGTAATCTCCTCAACCAAGATGGCGAGGGCATGTCGATATAAAGCGGCTACCGTATAGGTAGGCAGTCTATACCGACGAAGTGGTAGTATTGGCCGTAGATGTAAGGACTCGGGCTAAGGAGGTGTTTTTTGACCTGAGCCGAGATATATTCTTTAGTAACATGTTAAAAAAGTCAAAAGGGAGAAATACCTTGATCTTCTTCAACTGGTTACTCATCATGTTGTACACGCTGAGAGGCGGACCAAGGGTCCCCCGAAGGGGCCCAGCACGGATTCGGTTGCAGGGGCAGCAATGCAGAACGTGAAAACAGCCTGTCAGGAATTGAAGATAGAAGGTAGAAGGGAAGAGAAGGAAGGAGGAGGAGGAGGGAAAGAGGGTGAGGAAAGGGGAGAAGGGAGAATGTGTTGTGAGAAAACAGCTCAAGTGACAGGAAAAGTGAAAAGACCGCATTACGGCTGAGACACCAAGTCAGCTCTGTGAAGAGAAACAATTTCTCACTTTGATCCTGGATTAAGAAAGGACATGGACATCAGACTGAGAGCTGAGAAACAGTTCACTAACCATTCATCTAAGCCATAAATGCCTTCGGCCTCGTCAAGGCTGAAATTCTGAACTCCACACTTCAGGCGTGCAATTATTCTGTATTCAAAACATTGCTAGCATATTGAAGAATACTCCTGCGCGACAGGAGTACTGAAGATAACCAGAATATGCTAAAGCGCCAATAAGATACGAGATAGGATCCGTTCCCTGCTTGGACAAGGAGCAAAACTTGGCTACATCTCAGATTCCTGGTTCCAGGCACCTTCAACAAACCGATGGAAGATGGCGTCAGCCCGCGAGTAGCGCCGACACCACTAGACAGGGGCCATCAGGCAACGTGCATGCATCAACCCCTCCATGACGTATGACGGCCAGAGCACTTGAATATACCAGGTTGCTGTTTCTGGCTTGCCTGTCACGAATGGGGCTTATGCAAGTCACTACTTAGTGTGAGGGGATGGACGATCTAGAGGTCTGGCCGGGAAGAACTGCACGGAGTGACGGGTGCAATTGGATGGACTAATCGACTCCTACAAACTTAGATGGGCATGGCGAGGTTGAGTGATTTAATATTGCTAATAGGGAGGAGTAATGAGAATACGTTGGGGGATACTTAAGCGCTAGGTGGACAGCAACTACCGCAACATACAATCCGCCTCACGAATATTATAGAAGATATTACTTTTAAACGACAACACTAAATCTTTCTCAAGATGGCATCAACGGCTATTGACAATACACTCCCCAGCGCTGGCATGGTCATCTCATCCAAGCTGGATAGTCAGCCTGCCAAACCCAGCATCATCGACATCCGCCAGGGTAAAGCAGAACTCTGCATGCATGATGAGATTATCCAAGGACTCCAAACAGACGAAGGAACCGAACGGACGCTTCCGACCATGCTGCTCTATGACGAGAAGGGGCTGCAGCTGTTCGAGGCCATAACTTTTCTTGACGAGGTTATACCAGACTCCAGCTGGACACAATAACACTTTTGACGCACTCCAAGAAGCCCACTCCTGACACTGTCCAGTACTACCTGACCAATGTCGAAATTGAGGTCCTAGAGACTTCCGCCATCGACATCGTGCGCCGGATCCAGCCAAACTCCATGCTCGTCGAACTGGGGAGCGGGTGCTTTTCCTTTCCTCATCCATGCAAGCCATTTGCCATAACGAGAGGCTGACAATAGATTTTATAGTAACCTGCGCAAGACCTGCATCCTTCTCAACGCCCTCGAGAGACTCGCCCGGCCATGTCGCTTCTTTGCTCTCGATCTCTCCCTTCCGGAACTGCAGCGCACCCTATCTGCCATTCCAGAATATCGACACGTCTCGGCTGTCGGTTTGCATGGTATGTCTCACTCGCATAACTGACTCGCTATGCGAAGTCTTAATACCACTCAAGGAACCTACGACGACGGCCTCACCTGGCTGAGGCGCTCTGAGAACTCCTCGACGCCCAAGTGCATCATGAGCTTGGGCTCATCCATCGGAAACTTTAGTCGTGCTGATGCAAGTAGCTTCCTGGGGCATTTTGCTAACATTCTTGATCCGGGCCGTGATTATTTGCTCATCGGACTTGACGGGTGTCAAGATTCCTCTAGGGTGTACGTAACTCCTCCTTTTCCCACTATGCGTGGACACACAGGACCACGTCCGTATTACAAGCTGAACTCTATCTTTTGGTATACCAGGTACAAAGCATACAACGACGAGCGCGGAACAACCAGACAATTCATCCTGAATGGGCTCGCGCATGCGAACAGAATCCTAGGGGAGGAGGTCTTCAAGGCTGAAGAGTGGGAGTACAGTATGCTACAATACTACCATCCGCCAATGAACGTGTTGATCTAGGCCATGGTCTTAAGAGCTAACACCAACTTCAGTGGGGGCCTACGACAAGTCCAAAGGCCGGCACCAGGCATTCTACGTGCCTAAGAAGGACGTCCAATACGGTCCAATTCTCATCAAAGCAGGCGAGAAAGTCCGCGTAGAGGAGAGCTACAAGTACTCGCCGTTGCAGCGGGCTGCACTGTGGACGGGGGCTGGCCTGCGTGAGTCCGCGAACTTTGGGACTGATGTGGGGGATATTCCCTACTGTGAGCTAAAACTCATTCATACCTGTTGCTTGTGTTGCGGGACTGAACAAGAATCTAATCGGGATCTAGCTATTCACTTGTTGACTTCGTCGCATGCTGGATCGAGTGGGCAGTAAACGGATCCATGATATTGGGCGAAGCTGGTTGAATACCACGGGTCAAGGCGAACATTTTTTATACTACATCATCATTGGCAACGTACACCAGAAGTAGGTTTTGGACCATAAAGCAGGTAATTTATTTAGGCTTATCGTTATAGAATACGTAGTGTTCAGAGAAGTACTTAACATAATCATTGTATTAAAACTAGGGTATCAAGAAGTGTTATCTGAATTTGAATCGAGAGTTTCCGCGAACCATTTACCGGCGTGCGAGAGTATTTCGTTAGAGTCTGACCCGAGCCCGATACTTGACTTTTCAGATTCCTCTGGAATAGAGATAGAGGAAAGGGTGACTCGATCTTTGCCGTACCCACTTTCCCTCCCCCAGAAGCACGCCCGGCGCATCACGTCTACCATATCAGCAGCCTGATTGGAGAGTACTGTGGTATTTTGATTTCTTCTGCGTTTCGGCAGTTTATGTTCGGGGTGATCAGCGGGTTCGCTCTGCGATACTGAGACCATAGACTCGTTTGTGCCCTGTTTTGAATGTTTATGGGTAAAGAGGCGGACCCAGGGCAAGGAAACTTCGAGGCGCTCGATAGGTTGGCGACTGTATCTGCCAGGCGGTCCACTGGAGCCATAATCCAGCCCGTACGGAGGCCACCGGGAGAGGGCTTTGCGGCGGCGAACTAGATGGTTATTATCGTGATTTGGGTGCTGAATGTTCAAAGCGCCTAGTTCATCATAGAGGTGATCATCCGGGATATAGGCATCCCATAAATCGCCGGGTTCTTCGTCGGGCTCGTTTGACACCCGTACAGGGATAGGATGTTCGGGGCCGGTGAGGTATTTCGGAAACACCTTTGGCACATACTTGCCTGCCGAGCGGAGGAATAGAATCGGTGACGCAAACGAATCAAAGTATCTTTCTTGTGTGGCGAAAAGCCTCTCCCGGGCTTCCAGCAGGGGAACCAGATCTTTTGGCACCCGACGTCGCCTGGGGGTGGCACGAGACGCGGTACAATACTCGTCTAGGGAAGTCCAATCGCAAACAGGGTCTAGGGCTGCCATTGCATGAACAGATCGGGGTTCCGAGAGTGCTAGCATCAGGGCTAGAGAGCCCCCGATATGCGTACCGAATAGACCGAGGCGTTTTGGTTGGAGGTTTTGCATGACCCAGTCGAATCCAGCTAACGTATCATGAACTGGTGTCGGGTAGCGGTAATATAAATTCTTTGGTTGTGTATCACTGCCGACTCTTAATTGTAGCGGGACTTGGTCCTCGTCATATGGTATTTCACCTAGACGGTAATCGATGGTAACCACCGTAGAAGACGTGACGTCCGCCAGCACCCGCGCGGCAACAGTGTCGTCTGCCGTATGGTTGGAGGAAACATTCTCAGATCCATCATTCAGCGCAGAGACAGATGAAACATTCCCAGTTTCGGCTCTCGGCAAGCTCTGGAAGAGTGGCCCTTGAGGAAGTCGAATAATCACATTCGCAGAGGCCACATTCGCAGGCTTTGGTTGAGTCACACTGTCAATCATTAGTATCATTATTCTTGTTATTAAATAGATAGAAGAATATATACCTTAAGGAGACATATCCGTTTCCCCCAACAGGGACTTTGTAGACATCCTGAGTGTACGAGGACGCGAATCTCGCAGACCCAAAGAATTGGTGGCAACGGAAACTCGGTGGGTTGTGAGGCTTCCGATATGATATTTGGGACAATCTACAAAGCCGCAGTCGCGGAAGCGATATAAGCATTGATGGACCTAAATGTCGCATATCACCGTATCGTCATGATGCTGGGCCAGATAGTTGGAAGGAGATGAGGCGCAGGTAAACAGCATGAGTGATATGGATATACACTAAACTACTTTCGGAATGCGCTAACCACTTGAATCATTAGCCCAGCCATAGCTCTTTATATTTTTGCAAAATGAAAAAGATGATGGTTTTGAATCAAATAGTTGTATATTGAAAAAATTATATAGGCTGTCAAATTAAATAGGAAAGTGTTACACGCTATATGCAAATTTTGAACGCCGACCCGCAAGGACAACTAAAAAACTAGGCCTATACATGGCGCTCTAAACAAGCCGTAGTAAATAATATAGCATTTTTGCACGCTCATTCGAATTGCATAGCGAATAGTCGGGTCCCTTTCTCTGAAGTCGCACTGACTGCTGGATCATCCATGTCAAGCGCTGCCTCGGGCTCAAAATCCGGAACAGGACGGACGACCTCAAGTGACAGCATCTCGTCTTTTGAGTACACGCGCATCCCAACCACACAGACCGCATTCCACGGGTCAGTTTGGGAGGCGAGAGCATCGCAGAACGATGTCTGCGTACTGGGAGCTCTTGCCACTGGATCCTCAGGAGGCATGTCGATATCCGAGTCGAACTCGAATCCTTCTAGCAGTTCGGAGTCACGGTTGCGGGTGTGGCGGCGATGACGGCTAATGGAGTTCGTTGAGCGATGGCGACTGGTATGCATGGAGAATGTATCGCGCGAAGAGTTGGGTGTAGGTAGTGCATGAGTTTCATCGAATTTGATGCTCGGGACCGAGCCATTCTTCTGCGGCCTGGTGTCAACGCCGTTTGTGTAACCGTTCAAGTCTGATGGTGACTCCACCGGACTGTCCTCAAGTACACGTTCGGCCTCAAGCTCAGGGTTCTTGCCGTTTATATGGAGTCTGGATGCTTTTGCGGCCAGTCGCTCCTCAGCTCTCATTCTGCGAGCCATGATCTTTTGTTCGCGAATCCACTCGCGTTGCAGCCTCTTCTTTGTCTCGTCGCGCAGTCTCTTTCGCTCAGCCGCTTTTCGCTGGCGTTCGTGCTCCTCACGTTCTTCCCTTTCCGCTTCAGTTTCGACGACAATACCCTTGGCGTGGGCTAGGTCATATGAGAGGCCAATTTGCACTAGCTTCTCACGTCGCGTAGGTGCTAGTTCTCTGACTGCGTACTCCGTGGACACAGCATCATGTTGCCGATAAGCCGTGATTTTCATGAGAATGTGATAGGCCCCAGGTTCGAGATCAACTTCTGCATTGGTGGACCGAGAAATAAGGCAGTTGTTAACACTTCGTACAATGTAGTCGTTTTCTCCCTCTCGCTGGAGGCGGAACTTCAGGACAAAGTTATATTCGCCGATGAGGCCCTTAAAATAGCGCGTGTCCAGCTTTTCTCAGGTTAGTTATGTTTAGAGCGTAGTGCAGTATTGAAACTAACCTGAGATAAAACGAGAATAACGGGACCAGGCCTGGTCACGTTCAACTTGAACTTGGTAGTATGGTAGTCTGCGGACCAGGGAACGTTCAGGCTGGTCCACTGTTGCGTAATTGTCCATTCAGGTCCAAACAAACGCGTACGATCAAGGTGTTGATACCTCTTCAGTAGGTCATCGTACGATATCCAGAAGAACTATAGTCTCAGAATCAGTATAGGTAAACATTTTGCAGGGAGAGAGACGTACACCATCATTGCCGAACTTGTGGTCAAGTTTCTCCATCCACTGAGGAGTCCATTGCTCGGACCCATCGCTCCAGGGCCCACTCCATTCCTTCTTTCCCCACGGATTCCTGACATTGTTAGCAATGTTGGCTACAGTGAATATTTGGTTTTCCATACCGTAACTTCACCAAGCGCTCTCCGTCAATCTCCCTGACATCCATGATTGAGTAGGAGTGATTTTCGGAAATACCCTTCCTGTCCTTTGGAGGGCTGGGATGGTTCGGGGTAAGCCAATCCGAGTATAAGCCTGTGCCGCAACCAAACAAGAACTCCTTGTTGACCTGCATGAGCTCCTCGTTCCAGAACCTATCCTTGTCTAAGATATTGTTGGTGAGGATATCAGATGTTACTCCCCCAGTCAAATCTTCCACCGCCTCGCTAGGAAAAGGTCAGCAGAGTCATAATCTCCAATCCACGAGGAATCTTACCCAACGAAGCCACCCTCGATGGCTGAATAGTCACCATGCGCTTTGGCGTACGCCTTCTCCAGTAAAGGAAGCCAGGTCTCGTTTTCGTCCACGCATTGGGCGAAGTAAAGCGCACGCGAGCCGGTTTGAAAAACCTTGCGGTATTCCTCCTCGGTGTCCTTTCGGATGATGTCGTCCCAAATGGGCCGTTCATCAACAGACTCGTCGTAATCCGCAGCGCGTAGATAGAGCTTGTCATCCACAATACATTGCTGCCAGTCGCCGTCTAGAAGACTATATTAGATAACTGCACCAGCGGCTCAGTAACCTTTACTCACCTCTGTAGAATACAAAACCATAGACCCCGACCTGCTCATCTCTGTGAACACAGATCTTGTCTATCAGTTCCTCTTTATTGCCCATTGTGCAAAGCGCAGCCATGAACCAACAGTCACCGTCACGCCCTTGGCGTACATCTGAAGCGGTCGGCCCATTAACATAGAACTGAGGGTTTTCAAAAATCTCCTATAATCGCGGATAGTATATTAGCTTTGTCGTTTCTGTATCTATTCTGTGACGGCTTACAGTAACTCTCTTCACACCCTTAGGATGCATATACATATTATCGTTGTCAAGACCGTTCAAACAGTTCCGCGGCCCGTTTTTGAGGTCCATCTCAATATCGAAATGTGGATCGGAATATCGCTGATTGAGACGCCTGCATTCTTTTGCGATCCGGTCGACGGCCCGGTAACATTCTTTGCTAGCTTGCTCATAGGATTTCCCCGCACCCTGCGCCTTGACGACCCCCTTGGGGATCCGCGCGGCCTTGGAACGAGCATACGGGTTGTCCGGCAAAACAGTGTAGATTTTACCTGGGAACCTGGAGTTGAACTGCTCCCAGAACTGTTTCAAATTTTCCTGGGGAGGCTGTCTAGGTCGCATTCTGCTACCGGAGCGAGACGACAGCGGCGGAGTGAAGACCGTGTCTGGATAATCGTCTTCAACATCCAAGTTCGCCATAGTCGCGAAAGGTAGTTGAATACGAGAAAGGAACTAGCAGCTGTTGCTATGGAAAAAGAAGATTGGAGAATGGTATATGAGAGAGGGAGTAAAAAAAAAGTTGGAGAGAATAGTTGGTAGAGAAATGAAGATGAACAGCGTGAGCTCCGTGCTCAAATAAGCTGGTATCGCCCGTTGTAGCCCCGCATGCTTTGGCGGCTGAGTAAAAATGGTTCGAGCGAACATCGATCTACTCAGGATTCCAATATCACGGCCAGCCAATCGGCATGACTGACTTCATTCTGGACTCTCAGCGCGGACTGGACAACTGACAGGCTGGTCGCTCGGTGTTTCAGATGCAGACGATGCTTGGCTTGACGAGCCTATGGCCCGCAAGGGAACCCACGTTGATCAGCCGGGGCTGAGCATGGATGAGAAAAAATAGCACCGCACGGTTGCAATTATTAAACACGAATACGTCGAATTCTTAGAAATCCACCTTCTACTTTCCCATTATGACCACGCTGACGGGCTGTGATGTCTCAAAAACCAAGGGGCCAAAACTCTGTGACCCGGGTATCTGGCCAAAGGCTGGATAATTGCGTCTCCAAGGTTGGACTGCATGAGGGGACAGACGACCTGACTGGTCGCCGAAAGGAAGGCATGATTTCAGTGTGCCCCGACGACGGATGCAGTGAGCGATTGAGGCGTCCACAATTGAAACGTTGACTGGTTCCCAGCCGGAGGAGAGTTTCCGAAGTTGTTAAACTCGCATGATTTAGCGCAATCCTCGTGAAGACCTTGCCTGAAAATTGTTAGTCGCCTGAGGCTGTGCTCGTGGTCGAGCTGAAGGCCGGACGGGCTTGGCAGGGCTGAACGGGCGTCAGCCAATAATCAGCCCCCGAATGTGAAATGTCGCAAGGACGGTCGGCGTTGCCCGAGCCGTTTCTGCCCCTCGTATTGTGTCAAAGGAGCGTTAGAGTCGCCCGGAGATCCCAGCGATCAAGATATGGAGCGGTCAGTGCTGCAGGACAATGCGTGATATCGACAACTTGAGGTTGAGAGATGGAAGTAGAGCCTTCAGAAACCCGGTACGCAGTGGGCGGAGCGGGAGACCCAGACAGTGGACACACGTGCCGAGATGGAGTCATTACCGTATTGGCGCACGGGCGAAAAGACAAAAAAAGCCCTCCATGTCGGACTGCAGGACTGCAGGTGGTCCTGGGCAATCTTGAAGCACCTAATCGGTTCCCATCATCCTCCGTCACTTCCCAGGCTGCTTATGAACTTATTGGAATGGGTATATACTGTAGCAACTAGGAACATATTTTGAAAAGAAAATATAAAGTCCTTGGAGTATCCATAGCCTAATTTCTTTCCTACCAAATCACTCCATAACAAACGCCCCGAACAAAAGAAATAAAAGAACGAATGAACAAGGCACGGTACAGTGTAACAAGACGTCGGGATCAAGGGGTGAAGTCGGTCGGCCCAAGAACGTATGTCAGCCGCATCGTCACCACCTGCAAGAATCCCGGTTCAACCCCTGTCGGCCACAGCCATTGGTATACGAACGTAGATTACATATAAACGAAACTCATGAATCATCCAATCAATGAAAGCCATTGCGTCTGGTGCGACCAGAATAGTACGAGCTGCCGTTCTGGAAGTAGGGGTGCATGCAAGCCTGTTTGGCCGAGAGGCGCCGGGCTGGGTCATATTCAAGTAGGGCCTCCAGCAGGTCAAGGCCATCGTCTTCGAGGCCAGGTACCAGATTGTGAGTTTCTTCACGTTTCCACTTGGGGAAGGTTGGCTTGTAATCAGGGAAGGAGGTAACTCCTGGCCAGAGGACCTCATCTGGAGTACCGAGTAGTCTAAAGTTTAAAGATTAGACTGTGTATTTGTGAGCTGAACTGGGGAAAGCGATCATACCGGAAGATCTTGAAGATCTCATCGATTTCAGAATCTCCGGGGAACAGCGGCTTGCGAGTACACATTTCAGCAAAAATGGCACCGCAAGACCACATGTCGACACCGGTGGAGTACTGGCGGCCACCCAGAAGGATTTCAGGGGATCGGTACCATAGCGTCACCACCTAGGGAGAGCGTTAATGGCCAGCTCCTACTATCATGGAGCAGGGGTAAATACCTCGTGTGTGTAGGTTCTCAGAGGAACACCGAATGCCCTTGCCAGTCCAAAATCCGCCAGTTTCAGGTTACCGTCACGGTCGATCAGGAGGTTCTGAGGTTTCAAGTCACGGTGCAGGACTCTGTGACTGTGACAGTAACGGATGCCCTCAATCAATTGTGCCATGAATTTCTTGACCATCGCATCTCCCAGGCCCAAGTTCCTGCTGAGGGAGGAACCATCTGGCAAAGCCCTACCGCGTCCACCCTCACTAACCGGCAGTGCCTCCATGTACTTCTTGAGATCGAGGTCCAGGAATTCGAAAACAAGATATAGTTTATGCCCATCTGCATGCACGATGTTGAGTAGTCGAACAATGTTCGGGTCATTCATTTCCTTAAGCAGAGAGATCTCACGGATTGCCGTGCTTGGTACGCCTTCATCTTCAGCTTCGAGTCGGATTTTCTTCAACGCAACAATGCGGTTCGGGTGGGTGAGTTCACGAGCCTTGTAAACAACACCGTAGGTTCCTAGAGGCGCACAACGGTCAGTACAAATGATACATTGGATAGAAAGTGACCGTTTCCCATATACGGCTGTGCTAGAGCCGCAACGAATTGGAATTGTCACGTACCCTCGCCGATTTTCTCAATCTTCTGATAATTCTCCATGTTGATCGCTTAACAGCCGCCGCTTATCGAAATGACGCGGTACGATCGTATTTTGCCAGCTCCGATAGAATTAAAACGAGCGCAATGTGAGGCAGAGTCCACCGGCGTCGTGGGGTGCAGGACACAAGTCACAAGTTTGACTGCAGGGCAACAATGAATGCCGTGATGTTGCCCGGGGACAAAGGCGCAGAAAAACAACCGCCGCAGAGGGCAGGGTTCGATCGGTCTGCGAGGGATGGCGGTATATCGAGCGCGCGAGTAAGGGGAGAGACCCAGTTCCCAATCAAGGGCTAGCTATATCCGACGATAGCTAAATTTACTTACCTGGTCGGTCGAGTCGGGGAATTCCTGTTCAATTGAGGGAGAGTGGTTTTCGTTTTGGCCCTCCTGGTGGGGGGAACGAAACGAAGGCGGTCAACTAATTGCGGTTGTAAATAAACAAACCCGCGTTTTGGGAAGGCGGTGGGACGTAGCAGCTTGACTAAGAAAGACTCAAGCTTCATCGTATTTAGTGTCTGGTTTCACATTAATACCAGAGGGACCAATAATCCCGTTCTGAAAGAAAGTGGGATCCGTCGCATAGGCACTCAACGTTTTCCAGGCTCCGTCTATCTAACCTAAGACTGGTCTCGTGTCAAAATTCGAAATAACCGAGGCAGCGAGGCTGTGCTGTTGCATTGTCCCTGATGGATCACGGCAAAGGCCAACCTGTGTCCATTCATACCACTCACCAAGGGAGAAGTCAACACGCCCGATGAGGCGCAAACTGGGAAAACCGGTTGGCCAAATGCCCATTCTAAGAAGCGAAATACCCGCTCATACATAGGTCGTGCCTCGTCATTGGCGTCAAGGTGTATACAGTTAGCATGGTGAAGTTTTGACCAGGGTCGCGAGATCAGCTTCATAGCGGGATGCGTTTATTACTGGCGAGGATCGTGATTCCTAGGTGAAGGAGCTACTGTAACATTAGCCTAGGTACTATCCAGGCTTACACTTAGCTACGAGCAGTGCATTTAGGTCAAATAAATCTCACATTCTATTTTCTATGCCGAGTGAAACCACCGATTTGAAGATACATGATAAAAGTGGCTAGCTAGGATGATACAACTTGGATGACGCAGTGACAATTGTTAAAGGATTATGGCAAAGGAAGGGCTTTATTCCTGCGCCGTAGTAGCTGTCTCGAATAGCCAAAGACTGATTATTAGACATGTGATCAGTACACTTCAGCTTTTTTAGTATTATCGACAACCTACCATTTGGTTTGGAAATAGAATGAGCGGTAGAGACCTAACCAAAGTGTTTGCCTGCTCACTGTCTACCTGCTTGGACCATGTACCATCCGCACATCGCGGCGCTATGCCTCCCTCAACTGCTGTTCCAGGTCACTAAGCGCCTCCATGCCATTGAATCGCTCCTCCAGGCGCTTGAACTGCTCTTCAAGCCGCCCCAAAAGGCTCTTCCACATATCTCCGTAGATCTGTTTGGAAGCGGGAATGTGCTATCCCCATAGTGTTCAATGATTTCAGAATCGTTGACGCGGACAGCCAAGGAGCCCCAATCTTCGCAAAACCCGCTGGACAGACACTCGGCGGCTGTGTGGGCGTCCACCAGCTAGGAAGCACGCCGGGTCTACTTTCTGCAAGGCTCAGGAATCGACGAAAGTCATCACGGCTGTTAGGAACCTCTCCGTATATATTGTTGGGGTCGGATTCTCTGGTGATCGTAGACCTGTCGTCGCGGTAGAGACGATAGGCATCAATGAGGAGCTTGTAGACATCCTCCTTGTCTCGGTCATGCAGTCAGGCACGGTTGAGGAGCTTCCGGATATGGGAGTGGATTGAAGCAGAGAGGCCTTTGAGAGGGAGGTTGGATGAGACGGAACTAGAATCGTCGCTCACGGAACAGATTTTCTTGTGGTTTGCCCAGTTTGTTTCTAAGCACTCGCGAGAGCAGTAATGCTCGATCTTGCATTTTGCACAACATATGAAGATGGTGTGGTGGGACTCTTTTTTCGCGCAGACGGCACAGGAAATATCAAGCATTGTGGGTGGGTTTGAGGGTGCAACTGTTTCTCGGAAGATGTTCGTAGATGATTCAATAATTTAAAGCCACCTCTAGAATAGGGAGTATGGAAGAAGGAAAAGAAGAAGGTCTGGAAAGGAGAGTGGGATGATAAATATAATGAGAAGAGGAATTCCGTTCGTTAGAGACCGGCGGATGAAGCAATGGGTATAAAGCGAAGAGCACACCAACGCAGGCGAGTTGAAGTTTTGTTTGCGTGGGATCTCCATTGACTGCCGTGTTTGTCAATGCTGCTTTTGTTCAGCTGTGGCCCTCAGGAGGTTGACTTGATTTTCTGAATTTAGCAACTATCGAAAGGACTGATGTTTAGAGATCTTCTCCTATTCAGATACACTTGGATGAAGAACGCTTCCGGTGGGCCTCAAGGGTAATCCCGCTTTCTCATATGCCAGGTCAATCATTTTTGCCTGCTTAAGACTATCCTCGTTGCTGAGCCAGAGGCCAGAGCCCTCCCTATCTCGAACACGGTTGACGAACTGCTCTAGCTCATGGCGCCACGAGCTCCAAGATGGCTCTCCAGGTTGATCAAGTCCAGCATCTTTGAACGTATATATCTTTCTAGACTCCTTGTTTGACCATCGCTTTATGACTTTGTTGGTCTCTCCATCGACCTTCTTGATGATAAATTCATCTTCGATATCGATGCGATGCCAGGCAGCTGCCATCAGAAAGTTGTTCAGGGTAACTTTGCGAACACGAAACTTCTTTTGACCCCGGGGGAGTTTGTCATCTTCTACCAGCACTTCCTTGTGAACAACTGTGGTGATGAATGTCGGGAGGATGAAAACACTTGCGCGCATATCCGTTACGATCTCGCCAACAAGGCCATGCGGGAACCGGAAGGTGGCTTCGGCCGCTTCGTCACAGAGCTCATCAAGCGGTGTCCTTCGAACGGTGCATTTGGTACACTCTTCAGGTTCAGCACCTATGATCTCCCGCAAGACGCACATTCCGTATGTTCCTAGGTTGAGGAGATTACCACCACCGGTCTCATACCCAAGCTGAACGCTGGTCTTCGGGATGATATACGATGGCAGCTTTCCAATACTGACCACGCGGTCTAGGCTCGATCGATCGACCAAGGAAATGAAGTATTGCCATGATGGTTGGAAACGATGGTGCATTGCTTCGAGCAGGATGGGGGCTTTGGGCTTTTGAAGCACCGGTGACCGAAATAGTGTTTCGGCCTCAATAGCGTTGACAACTGCAGGCTTTTCCACGAGAACATGCTTGCCCTTGTTTAGTGCTTTCAAGGCCCATTCGAAATGCAAGCTAGGTGGAAGCGGGATATAAACAACGTCGATGGATGGGTCATCGAGGATCGCTGGATATAGCAGCAGTTAGCTTGAGAGCTCACCGACCCAAGGATGGAACGGAGGGGCCTACCTTCGTAGCTCTCATGCACTTGGGGTATACCGTGTTTTCTGGCATATGCCACTGCCCTATGCTTGTCGCGAGCGGCAACAGCCTGGACCTTTACCTCAGGGTGTGTTTTCGCCGGGTTGATCAAGACGCTTTTTCTGGGCAAAAGTTAATATTGTGGCCATTGAATATACCACCAAAGGTAAGCTGTGCGACCAACTCACGCAATATTAGCAGCACCAAGAATGCCAAACTTCAGGGCATTAGGTGTCTTTGGAACCTCCGAGGGGGAGGACATCTGCCAATTTCGGGCAACGAAACCAAGAAGCGAAGCCATTTGCAAACAATGCCCTGTCAAACCGTCAATTGTCGATTTTTGACCTTCCATTTGTGCATGGGAAATCGGCGTGTTTTATATTTTGAGGCCATGGGCGGTTTGACTGGTACTCCCGGCCATTTTGCACGGTTGCACCGAGTTGGCCATTCAGACGATCACACTCTTTCCTTGCTATTCTCAATGTCAACACCTTCGCCTTATATTATTTCCCTCTTGAGAGATACCTGTTCCTGCACAATTACATTTTTGCCGTTTACGGCCTAGCTCAACAACAGTGAGAAATCAGCACGATGCTCCGCTGACAAATGCCTCCTATTAGCTACGAAGTCGCAATCCATCTTTGAATCTTCAACTCATCTCGCTACTCTAGGGAAAATAAGGTCATGACGCTATTGAGGATGGCCTCTGAATCTACATGCGCCAACGAAACAGCCGGGGAAGCCAAGCGACGACGAAAAAGATTGCAGAATCGATTGAATCAAAGAGCCTTCAGTATGTGTTCTTGATATCCAATCTCATATCTGTACCGGATGCCGTGTTTCAAAGTTCCTGCGCATTATGAACTGACTGATATCCCAGGATCTCGTAATCAAAACAAAGAGGGTTTCAACGGCAAAAAGCCCAGGAAAAATAGTCAATATAAAATAAATCGCTGGCGCCTCGATGAGCAAGTTGATGTATCAGCAGAAACACTGTCAAAGGCGGCAGATGCCGGGGACAATGACCATGTCCGAGACAGTTCATCAGATCGCTTATCTAGGACAACCTGGTTACCTCTACCAGTAGATCATCGCTTACTCCATCTCGTACAGTTCAACGTGTTCAGGGGGCTAAGTAAGAATAAAAGCATCCTCCAGCAGTTGACAATGCAATATTGTATAAATAACGACAGTCAGACCGAGCCTTTATCCGACTATAAGACATTTCCCAACTACTCGGTGATTCTACCAACGACATCGCTGGAGAGTGTTTCCCTTGGCTCACTCGCGCCGACAACTTCTCAGAGAAACATTGCCCACTCGTCATGGATCAACTCTATTCCATTTCCAACAATGAGAGAAAATTTCATCAAGTGGGAATTTGCTTTCGATCATTCTGAGTTGGTCAAGGATTTGGTTGGTGACCTGATCAACTCGCATATCTTTCTATCGATCCCATCGGCCTTTTCGGAGCAGCCAAGGCTTGTTGACAAGCGAACTCTCGTACAAGAAGAGGCCAATAGTGGAGCCAATTTTGCGGCACAAACAGGCCTCATTGTATGGGGAGAACCCTATCAAGCGGAGAACTGGGAGGCAACGCCTGACTTCCTTCGGAAATGGGCATGGGCCGTGGTCGGTTGTCAAGAGTTGATTAACTCGACAAATTACTGGCGGAGAACAAGAGGCGAACGCACCTTGCGTTTGGCTCCTGCTGATGGCGTTTCGGCCCCGTGAGCGACCTAGATGAGTGTAACGGTTATGCCTGTCTTCACGCTCGTATGGGCTTAGTGTAGAACTCCATGCTATGTACTGTAACTAAGATAGAAGATCCATTAACACTGAGGCAACAAAACCACGCTAGGCGAGCTATACGACTGATTACAGGGGTCGAGACTGTTGGCTGCCCCAGCATTTTCCGCTTTTGGACGCTTCTCAGCCTCTCATTCTCAGCATTGTGTTCTGGCAGTCCCTATGTTGGTCGGCACATTTGTTTTTAGGGAGAATGTTTATAAATCAAGGCTGTCTCACATAGTTTCCTCAGACTTCAAGCCTTTTTGTTTTCGGATTCCCCGTGGATTATCTTGGCGTGTTGTTCAATCTACTCTGCCCATTTTATCAACCCTTTTCAGGCTTCCAAACTCTCTCTGGCTCAACACAATTCACGGCCACTACCATGAATCAGATTGCCGATCCTCGGGAGAGGCTGATGATACCTTTGTTCCTCGTGATCAAAATTATGTTGTGTTTTTTTGTCGCAGTGCTTCGCCTTGGGGCTCTATTCGCTGTCTCGGACACAAAGTTATGTCTTGACCTCTTCGGTAAGTAACACATCCTAGAAGGGTCCAGTTCTATATGCCCTGGCCTGTTTCCTCCCTCATGACAACAGTTCCTGTTAATAGATGTTGAGTAGCTAACGTCTAAGCCTGATGGCACTGTTTTGGTTTAGTCAGCTCAAGCCGTTTTGGAGATAAGCAGTGGAGGGGAATTTGACCCCTAACGATGTCCAACTCCACCTCCTCGACCAGGGCCGAACCGAACGCCAGATGCAACCCAAGTCGCATCCCCGAAAACCTAGATCTCGCGCCAAAGGTGGGCCGGCCTTTGTTTTCGTCGACACTACCGAGTGCGTTGTTGGTGGGCCACATAACGAAGATGCGAGAGTTCTCATCAGACGGCAGGCTGCAAGGTCAGGTCGCAAACACCAGCGGACGCAAACTGTGGACCGGCACCAGAATGATACCCAGGGAGGATCTGGGGCATTGGTGGTCTCAGGAGTCGCTTTGAAGCGTGTAGTCCCCGCAGAAGACGAGGGCAGTGTTGATCACTCCATTGCCCCGCAGCCCTCAGTCACTGGGTATGAGGCATTGAGGGGGAAGTTTAATTTTGACATTACCTATCTCGCGAGCTTTACACATGTCGATTTAGGGAAAACGGCGGCCCTTCCTCTACAGAAAGAGCCAACTCTGCTTTCGAGCCTTCTCCGGCAACGATCGTCCTCGTTCCTTAGCTTCCTCCCCAGCCGATATGGCTCCAGCCAGTGCCTTGACGATGCTATGAACTGCCTTGCTGCGCAGGCCGGTAATTTGTTTGGCTATACGACAAGAACACCTACGATATCTGCCCTCTACGGAAAGGCTTTGAGAAGCTTACAGCATGCAATTACTGACACCAACCTGTGCAAGGAGGCTGATGTTTACTGCGCAACGCGGCTCTTGACACTTTATGAGGTAGACCCTATTTTTGTACCGTTTTGGAGCTGGTTATAACAGGGTGTTAGTTGATCAGTCCGCCTGAATCGAATCATTGGGCTCTTCATAACCGCGGAGGAATAAAATTGCTTGAGTTGAGAGGCCCTGAAAATCATAAAACGACATTTGACCGAATGCTTCTCAAAAGTGTGGCCCCATCTATCGTAAGTTTACAAGACCCGTTTGAACACTAGTTTGTTCCATCAACTGGTACAGTCTTTATTTACCTACAGACTAACTTTTTATAGCTCTTAGATGAAATGTATCAAATGCGAGACTCCAGCATGTTCGAACTCCCTGCATGGCAGTCCGTTTTCGAATATGCATCAGCATGCGAAGCAGACCATGACGCAAGTCTTTGGTGGGAGTTTTTCCGACTCGTTTGCTTCGTTACGGGTGTTGTAACAGAAATGAGAAACATTTTCACGGCCTCACTTACCCAGTCCGAGTATTCAGAAAGGTCCTCAAAAGTCCTCAACCGAGCAAGATGGGTACGGGAAATGTTCCACGCCGCTCATGTCCGTTACCAAACCAGAGAGCCATACCCCTTATCCCTCTTCGACCTCCCCCTTGCACCGGAGTCACCAGACCGCATTAGACTTCGTGGGTTTTATTTTCACCCAACGATGCAAATTTGCCGGGCAATTACAACACTTTCACCGGACGAGATGGAGCGCACTGCGGCAGAAGTCGAGGCACAAACTTTAGCAGCGCAGGCGTTGTTGATTCAAGACGCGACTGTTCAGCTGGACCCTGCCATGTCATGGTATTTCACGCAGAAGAATCCATTTGCTCATTCCATTATAAGGACGAGGGTGGAATGGGCATCTCCTAGCAAACTGCCGTGGGAACAGCTACGGGATGACCTGGCGCAGCGCTGGCTGAAGTGGCATTATTCTTGGAGGGTGACACATCTTTCTGAGTCGCTGGAAGCTGAGTCTGATTAAGTATACCCCAGTACCAATATAGTAAGTTTATCGTAAGTACTACATCATTTGTAGAAGACCATCTACTGGTTACCCCTGACAGGTGCTCCATCTGAAACGGAATACCCAGTGTTTCCCCTCGCTCGTCGTTGGTATTAGGAGATTGATTGCCTCTGACGCCTCGCCTTTCGGATTATTGTGGTTCTTTTGTGTTCGCTCCATGCATATACCCCTCTATTGTTTTTCTTTCTCTTACTGGATGCCTGAACATACAGAGTACACTGGGAGACGTTTCTCATGGAGCACAAACCCTCTGATCGATGGTCAAGCTAGTAAGCTATGTCTGGAAGAAGCCAATCAAGGAGGTCACTCGACTTGACTTGCGCAATGAAGAGCCAAAAGGAGTATCATCTCCCTGTAATATGCGGGTCCGCTTATCGATTTTCAGCGAGCGTGAGATCGAGTGGTGTACCCAGCTTCAAGTCGAGCATATCGACCATCTGCCGCGACTTGTAGAAGATTGGTGAGGGTCTCGGTCCGACGTTCACACTCGAGAGCATCTTCCAAATACTGAGACCCATTTGTCCTTCTCACGGGTTAACTGATGGCGAGGCCGTATCGGTATAAAGCGGCCACCATGCAGGTGGGCAGTCTATACTGACAAAGCGAATAAACCGACAGCAGTAGATAAACCGGCTGCGGTAGCTGGTCTGATAAAGCAGCCACCGACAAAGTAGATAGACCGACAGCGACAGCTAGGCTAGATTACTGCGTATCAACTCAGTTATCCAGCACGCCCCTAATCTTGGGCTAAGGTGAGAGAGCAACAAGCACATCGGATAAAGCGGCTACCATATAGGTAGACAGCTTATACCGACGAAGTAGATAAACCGACAGCAGTAGCTAGTCTGATAAAGCGGCTACCATATAGGTAGCCAGCTTATACCGACGAAGTGGTAAGGTGGCCGTAGACGTTCCAAGAACTCGGGCTAGGAAGGTGACTTTTGAAGTCAGTGTAATGCACACTGGGTGACGGAAGAAATTGTGGTCACACCGCATGGTGATCTATGTTGAATAGTTTGAGAATGGCATCCCAAATCCATATCAATTGGCCAGTACTATGCTTTTGAATTGCTGTCAACCAACTGTAAAGTACCCACGGCATTATAGACAACACTCACGATGAAATTTCCATTGTAAGAGAAAGCGGCGCGACCAATCGATTATGATTGAGAATCGAGGCAGGAGCCGTAAGTTGCTTGGTGGCTGATGTATTCCTGGTCGTTTGGAAATGAGTACAATGGCTCTCCGATATCCACATAATGTCCGTACGTACCAATTTCTGACGTCGCGAAGGCCGATTGTTGAACTTCTTGTTCCTCTTCAGTCCGTAGCTCGGAACATCTGTCTTGGGGTCTAATTCTGCTGTTGATCGCTGAGCCAATACTCGTGGTCAGGGTCCCGACCTTCCTGCAGTGCCCTTGCGAGGCTCGTGCAATTGATAAAAAAAGTCCGTGGAAATACCAGGCAGTCTCCTTGCACGGACAAATGCTATCCGACGTATCCAGACTATCCCGGCCCTCGGCATTGCTCGACCTCTTGTTCGTCAGGTGAGCGGTGACTTTGGAGGTGTTGAGTTTGTTCCCCCTGGAAATCCAAACATGTCGATGTAGATCGCATGGGGACTCTTAACTCAAAAGGCGCATATATCAGCAAAGTGAAAATCCATAAGCCCCAGTGATACAAGTCACTCGAAGGACCTGTTATAAACAGTCCGGAAGGCATTCGCCGCGAATACCAAAACCAGTGAGGATGGCTGTCTCCTCAACGTTCCTCACCTACTGCTCCCATTCGTGCTGCCGCCGATGCCAGCAGCTCATTAACCCTACCGAGCGGTTGCTCAGTTTTTCGCACACCGCTGGCGAATTTCCGTACCCGATTTCTCATTGCACTGTCTGTGGCCTCATAGGTATTCAATGATTGTTGAATCTGAGCAGGGACCATGCTATCGGAGTGGTTCCGGTTCCGTCGTTCAAGCGATCAGTTGAATCTAGACAAAGCAAAAATCGGGGTTAATACAGTTGGAAATGTGTGGGACTTCATGGCTTCCAGCTCACGTTTGTTGTCATCTTGGAGGCACGAATTACTATTGAAATTAGCAATCGTACAAGCGCGGCAGTAGAATAGACCTCACCCTATAGATGTCCTCATTGTTCACGTGTTCTGGAAGCATTTATGATCCATTCTTCTCTCCTTCCTCGGCTTCCTTCTACCTCTCCACCATCCCATTACCTCCTCTCCGGGTCTCTCTAGACAGAGGACATCCTTCCTGGGGCCGACATGAATCCCTACTCGCCGGTATCCGTGCCTGGTAACTCCAGCCAGAAGGGTCAGGACAGATTGACCATTATAAACAATAGCACAATCACTCATCGTCAATTGCGATTTGCGCGTACGAATTATGCATGCTGATCGCTTCAATAAATGGGGTGAGACGCTTCCACAAAGTCAGTGACAGCTAACCATGAAACCAGACATCGAGTTAAGGTCATAATGGGTGAGTGGATGAATGGAAAACTTACTTGGACCTTCCATGTAGTGCTGGACGTCGGTGTTGTTACTGGACGGAATCGGAACGTAAGTTTCTTCAGGTGATGGTTCCATGTTTTTGGGTGATGAACTGCGGAGCCCGGCACGCAAGGCCTCACATCAAAGTCCCAAATCATTATCGCAGTCTTCAGCTTCATCGTCGTGGTAGGGTTCAATTTCGGACACGGTCCGCTGGCATATACAATCGCAAGAAAAAGTAAACCCACGACTACGGCGACCTCAGTTTCTACCAGAGGCCACAGGCTCATCACTCTTTGCATCTCCCCAGCAATATCCGCCGGCACTGGTATTCTCGGTTTGTTCAGCTCTCTGCGAGGTCCAACCACCCCCAGTGTTATTACCGTCGGCTTCGTCGACCATGTCTTTGGCAGCCCAAGCGTCGTTCTCGTCTGCGATGGAAGGAAGTTCGGAGGGTAGTAGAGGGTCTGTCACAACATTAGCTTTTGGCATCTAGAAGGGGATAACGTTCTGACCATGGTCGTCTCCTAAAATGGGCATACTAGAACAGTAAATTAAAGCCTCTCGCTATCTTCATTCTGTAGCAATATCAGTAGACCTCTGGTAACAACACCAATCCATGAATCCCTCACTTCAGTGGGTCTGGCAATGTCACAATTCACTGTGGCTCCTATTGTCAGGCCTTCATTGTCGCTTTCCTATTCACCCATTCTTTATTGTGTTTCTTCAATTGCAACCCTACTCGCGCCCCACTACGAGCATCCCTTTTGAGACTTAGAGTTACTCTCTGATAAACACAAACACCCCTCTCTCACTAACACATCTCAAGCTGTGTTACATTCTCACCTTATCGGACAAAATTCGCCGATATTACGAAGCAAACTCGACACTGGTCTTCTTCATCACTGCGTTTGAGCCATTGACAGCGTTCGAAAGGCTCCAGGGGTTTTTCGACGACGAGAGAAAAACAAACCCTTTACGATGCATGGTATCCACAACACCCTAGGGTCCATTACATTCAAGTGGGCGGTTATCCAAAGGCAGATAAACGCCCAGAGGTCGAGAGAGAAACGAAGACCAGTTTCACATCTTGGAGTGACTATGTCACTGTGTTGGGGTACGCTACTATCTTTGAACATGAACTTCATATTCAGATGGTTTCTGTACTTGAGAGCCAGGACATACCACTCGTCACGATGGCCATCCCACATGCAGACAATAGGCGTTTTTTGGGGTTTATTGTACCACCTCTGCGTGATGATTCCGGATTCCCATCTATTGAGTTATATGCAGGGGATCGACTGCAGGAAGATACCAGACGCTACTGGGCTGCCGAAGTTCTGGCACCGAATCCCCTAACACCATCGGGTTATGTTCCCATCATGTTGACCAGACCTTATGACAAGGAAACTTCGACCCACCAGGAGCTCACTCCCGAACTCACTCCGCTTGATTGTACCGAATTCCCGAGTCCACGATGCCATTACTGATTCCTTATTAGAGCCGACAACTGCCATCACAGGGTATGAGGAGCAAAAACGTAGTGTGTAAATTGTATGATTTGGCGAAGAAGTACATATATTGACTCAACCTAGATACGGGCACGCCTGCCGGCTCCTGAGGCAAACTCTGCAGGCAATTGCCCCACGGACATAAGTTTCCTCGCGGACGTGGTTCCCGATGGCAAGTACTCCGTGGATAATAGGAAATCTGGTAAATCGATGGCTGGTCGATTCTAATTTGGGATGAACAAATAGAACAGGAAACAGGCGGATAATAGAACTAAGTCTTAACGACTTTAAGGGCTTTGATAAAATAATTGACTGTGAATCCTGGATTCAAAGAGATGCCGCATACAACGCCAGTTTGATGGTTGGCAGAAGATATGGCTCTCTCAACCACCCCGAGTCTCGACACCTTATGTTGTAGCAACTGTTGGCCCAGCGGTCAGAATTAGAAGCTACTCTTACGATGTGTGAAGCTTTGTATCAAATAAACTTATATTGTTATTTCGTCTTGTCAGATCCATCAATATGAGGGAAAACCATTCTCCAACGGGGAAAACCTCATTGCTTGATCGGTCCAATTGCAACAATACAGCCAGTGTGCATTTTCCATCGGAAATTCGATAATACATGTGTTTAGTGGCGAAGAAAAGAAACAAGAAAGTAAAACAAAAGTCATAGGGCACTACCAAAACTCCTCGTCGTCCATGTTACCAACCCACTTGTTTGTCCCGCCAGAATCGGCAGACCCAGAGTTGTCCGTTGCAGGAGTCTCGCTGGTAGATCCAGAGTTACCCACGTCCTCAGTTTCATTTGGCACGAGGGTATCTTTGATTCGATTGTATGCAAGATCTATGTTGGCCTGGAGAGAAGGGTGCATCTTGGGGGATGACAAGACATGCGCTTTTCTGACATAGTCCATCATACTGTACCAGCTCTTAAGTTTGCGTTTTTCACGAGGATGGGCGACCTTTGTCTTGGCTAGCTGAGTGAAGCCTCTAATGATCATTATACCTCCGCGCGCTTGACTAAGGGAAATACAGAGTCAGTTAACATCAGTAAAGAAGCTAAGCTTGTCTGATCCTGTGATATTGAATATTACAATGCCTGACTCTTCCCCGTGGAAGCTATCCACTGTCCTGACCCGAAGTCCTTGGAGAGTGTCGTACATGCTGATAATACTATTATAGAGGAACATCTGGCCCCTGTAAGAGATTAGAACAGTAACCTCCTTAAGACAGATAGTGTTCTGTGACACCATGCTCTGTAGGATTGTAATAGTCAATGCAGCATTATGGACATTGGCTGTTGAAACCTTACGAGCATCCGGTTCAGTCCCGGAGTCTTTCACGTCAACCCACCGAAGGGCACCCCCAAGTCAGAACGTATTGTTTTGGGAGTTGTGCTCGATAAAGCACCGATTCACATCAGCAACATACTGTCCAAGATTATTGGAAGTGCGCAGCTGCCCATCGTACCTTTTCCGGATTGTTTGCCGGCCATGTTCTCATCAATTGTGCCGAATGTTTATTGTATGCTTTCTTTTGTTCTAGTGTCATCGAGTCCAGCATCTGATAGTAGTTCTTGTAGTGCGCTGGGCGTTTCTTGTGGGCCTCTGGCGATTCCTTTTTAGTCGCAACCTTGGACCCCTTTCAAGTAGTAGTCTGGAGAAGGGGTTACAGGTCATCAAGGTCTCCACGGTGACTAAAATCGTCCGATCCATCGTTGTTTGTTGCGATAGGGTGGCCGTTGACGTTTTCAGTTTCGCTTGTCTTATGCGGACAACCTGAGTCATGTAGGGCTCCACGAATTTTTATCTGGCTGCCCTCGTAACCGTGCCGCCTGTGATTTTCGATAAGGAGATCAACTATGAACTTCCTGTTGAGGTCGTTGAATCTGTGCATCGTTCCCGGCTCGATCTCACAGGTCGAACCATCAACGCTCACGATGATTATGACCAAGGTCAAGACTGGTAGGAGACTGCTTGATTCCGAGAACTGCTTTGACTGCCTTGATGTAGTTGGCATTTGTTCTGATGCTCCTTGTTGACGGGTGAGACGTGAGCTGGCGAGAAAAGTCGATGATGTGACATGTGGTGCTGTGATGGCAATTCCTGCTGCAAGTTTCCTGTCCAAAGTGTCAAGGCGAATTCGACATCCGAATTGTGGTGTTTAAAGCCTATAAGGCTGAGGTGCAACTCGGCCAACCCCAGATTGGGTACAGGAGTATGCTTTTGCTTCCAAGGGGTCTTCACGTCTCCTAGAAACACCATTGAACTATCATACTCGTCCTGCGTAGGTTCGCTCGTTCAGCCAAGATACAAAGCACTGGCGGTACCGGAGCTGCTGTGTCAGGGTAATCGAGGGGTAATTCACCCCGAGTAATCGGCTGACGAACGGAACCTCAAGCTGGTTGGAGACCTCGTTGTAGCGCTTTCCACCCTGGTTGGATAGAACAGTCGGCGCCAACCGCTTTTCGTCGCCGGCGGTGTTATTCGTGCAGACAATGATGGTTGCTTCGTGGATAACCACCTTGCACACACGCTTCATTGCTTGATCGGTCCAATTGCAACAGTATAGTCAGTCTGCAGTTTCCCACGAAAACTCGATAATACAATGTGATTGGTGGCGGGGAAAAAGAAACAACAAATTTAAACAGAGTCATAGGCACTACCACATATCCTCGCTCCTCATATTACCATCAGGCGATTGGGTAGCCTGGTGCGCGAGAGCGTTCAGACGCCGCCGAAGCTGATCTTCAGTCCCCTGGTTGGGTAATGAAGCATCAGGGTTAGATACACCATTTCTCGAAGGGGCCTCGCGTCGACATTTTATGAATTCGATGTAAGCAAGAACGTCGATGATATCTGCATTGGTGAACGAATGAGACATTTCAATAGAAGAACTTTGACCTAACAAGTCACCATGATCTATCGTTTGCGACTTGTTCTCATTCATTTGTTTAGACTGAGAACCGGCAGCGACGGCATTTTCCACGACTTCGACAGGTTTAACGACGGGTGTGGTTATATCGTTGATCACGCCCTCCGTTGCAACCCACTCGTTTGTTCGACCGGCATTGGCAGACCAAGAGTTGCCCGAGTCCTCTGTTTCATCGTGCATGGTGGTGTCTCTTATTCGATGGCGTGCAAGGTCCATGTTCGCCTTGCCCCGCATGTTGGGGGGTTGACAAGGCACATGCTTTCCTGATAAAGTCCATCATGCTATACAGCTTTTTTCGTTTCTGACCAGAATGGGTCGATTTGGTCTTGGCTAGCTGAGTGAAGCCTCCGACAATTAGTATTCCTTCTTGCGCCCTACTAAGGGAAGCGCAGAGTTAATTAGCATCAGTGAAGAAGCTAAACTTGTTTGATCCTGTGACATCGAATATCACAATTCCTGACTCTTCCCCGTGGAAGCTATCCACAGTTCTAAGTCCTTGGAGAGTGTCATATGTGCTGATAATACTATTATAAAGGAGCATCTGGCTCCTATAAGAGGTCAGAGCCGTAATCTCCTCAAGGCGGATATTAAATTCTGGTACAATTGGTTGATAACATCTTGCATGAATACTGCAAGACGGTCGGCGACGTGGTTCGTCCTCTTTTGGGAAACTTGCCATCACAGTTCGGCCTTCCTTGTAAGCAAGCCGGAAGACGTGCGCCTCAAGGCTTTGGTCAGGCATGCGGTAACTGTTGGTTGCGTTGTGCTTCTTGAGTTCCTCGAGGAAGTTACTCATTGCCAATTGATCAGCCAATGGGATGGTCTGTGGCGTAAAGCCTTCATCTTCATCGATGTACCCGGCGTCGGCGTCGGTGTACTCTTCAGAAGCAGCGGGTGTGTGTTCGGGCTCCTCCTCGACAGCTGGCTCCTCGACTTCTTCCGCAGTTGGGATGGGGTCGTTTGCAAAAACGCTCACGACCCTGCCAAGAACATTTGACAAAGACCACTTGACCACGTTGGCCATAACAAACCTGACTCCAGGGGCTTCGTCGCACTCTTGTTCTTGAAACTCTTCATAGATCTTTCCATGCCGGCGGAATGCCTTCGTCTCCGAAACTTGTCGGTAGACGCGCACATAGCTGATGTGGTTGGTCTTGCCGACGGTGTTCATTTTTCAATGGCCTCGCAGATGGCATCCGCAGCATCGTGTGAGGGTGCAGTAATTAGGACATGGCCGCTGAAATCACGTATATTGACGCCATGGCAACGATTGTCGACGTCTTGCCAGTGCCAGGATAGCCCTGTATAAGCAGGAACAAACCGGAAAAGCTGTTCATGCTCTCGATGCACTTGGCCTGTGGTTCAGACCATTCCTGGATGGATAATGTTTCCTTGATAACGTTGAGGGCCTCGGCTTCGCCGGGTTGCAAGGGGGTGGCGCGCTTCAACCTTTTGGTTGAGTAGGTACTCCGAGAAACGCATGAGATGCGGCTCGGTACATAGGCGGTTTATAGCGTTGACCTGCCGCTGTACACCGTTGCGCGGTATCTCAATCAAAGCTTTGCGAAGAGGTATCTGGTCTTTCTCCGACATCCACTACGTACTTGAGATAGTACAGCGGGTTCGCGCGGGGAAGGTATAAAAGAGTGTCTCCGGAGTATGGCAGGCCGTAAATGTTCGGCGTGCAGATTGCCGTGCAGACGGTATCTCGGGTGAACCCTGAAGATAGACGACAAACTCGATGGCAAGCTCGCGTGCAGAATTGCCGCCCCGGACCTGGGCTCTCACATTAACACCGTTATCCTTGACGGCCCAAGTTGCAGGTAGGAGCCTTTTATCCCGAGGATCGTTGCCGCGAATCAAGCAGAATTGTGCATTGCGCCTTTGTGTACCACAGAAGTCTTTTACAGCGTCGGTCTTCTTATCAGCGAGGGCAATCAAGGTTGGCTTAAAGGCATCTCCCGCCACGAATTGCCCAGGAAACTTGATGAATGACGTTAGTATCACCGAAAGAGAGTGGGCTTCTATGCATAACTCACAAATTCGATCATTTCCTTGTCTGTGTCAAAGACACATCCTTCGACCATACGTACGGTTGGACCGGACGAGATTTCATGCATTAGAGCCTCGTCGGTTTCACGCCAATTGTAGCCGTGATCTGCGGTGTTTATATCCTGGGTGACACCATCTGGCTCTACAGGATTTTCCTCGACGTAGGCAGACCACTTATCAGGGCCATTGCTCGGCTCACTGATATCGGTGGGAGATATAAATTCTTCCATAGCTGCTTTGCCGTAATCGAATAATGTTAGACCAGATATCCACAAACGGGTGTCGCGGTAACACTACGACGGAAAACGTCGTCATCCGACGTGTGAACAGGAAACAGGTTATCACTTACTAGCAAAATACCCTTTCAGAAACCGCAAGGGGAAAAGTTGTAGGGAAGTCGATGAAGGGTATATTGACTTCGATAAATGGTGTCAATGGCGACGGTAAGGAGGAGGATAAGAATGTCAACGGAAAACAGGGTAACACTTTGTAGGACTGCCAAATAAAAGCATCAATCTCCACATCGACCCAAATAAGTGAATCGGCGCGTCAAAATGAGCTGTTTCGGCTGACGTGACCGAAAAAAAAAAAGACAGGGCCACATAAGGCAGCCCAAATGTGCAAATCCGGGACTTTTGAGAGATTCTAGTCAAAAGAGATCAACAACTCCCGGGGAAGGACATAGAAACCAAAGAAGGAACCAAAGACTGCTGAGGGTGAGAAGTATGGGTAGGGAAAAGAAAGAACGGAGGGGAAGGGCTCTATTTATGTTCCTCCAGATCCCAGGAAACTAGGCGACTGGGAAAGAGTATTTGATTAATTAAATATTATCGTCACAAGGATATAAGAAAGTTCGTTCACCATTCGCTTCTATGAGGCCCCAGCAAGATTTATGCAGTGATTCAAACGACAGTTCTCGGTATATGGTTGGATTGTTGGCGTTGGGCCATGGACCCTAACAAGGAATGTCAAATTGATACAATGCATTCTCCACGACTCATATCACAGATAATGATGAATACGGGCAGGAACAGATACTGTGCCTGTTATTGCGAGGGTACGACGCATAGATAGAGACAGTAGTAGTCACAATAACAGGGAAACCGGCGTCGGACACGTAGGAATGATGGCTCGAGCTTGGACTCCCATGATCCAGGCGAATCAACCCCAATCTCGCGCTCAGTAAAGCCTCCGCCTCCTAGAAGACATGCGACACCCTTCATTCGCACAGTCAACTTGAGAGAGAATCCCGTCTGCGCTTCAGATGGCTGAGATTGGTCACTTGGCACATTGCAGCTTCTATAGACAGAATAGGGAGTTCGCCTTTGCAATACTGGGTGCTTGAGGCATTCAATGGCCTGGTTAGTATTAAGGGGTCATGGCATTATCGCATCAACAGCCTTCAGGTTAATGCCCTGGTAACCTGTCCTTTAACCAAGCGTCATCATTGCACGCCTACTTGGGCTCGGAAAATGTTAATTGGCCGTGGTTTAATGATCATTGAATGAGACTGTACTAAAAGGTTTAATTTCAGTTTTCGTGGACCCATTACCAGGCACAGGGTGGAAACCTCGGTCTTCTTGACGCCTTTCAACCATCGCCATTCCATTGAGAAAATACGAGACGGAGATCCCAGGGTTGAAGTTGGGGGTGAAGATGTGAGTTTGGAGAAAAGCCGGTGGCGTTATGGATCCAGGGTTGTCTACAAGGGTGAAGCTTGCCGGTTTATTATCGCGCGCTGTGTGGAATTGCCCAGGATGTCCGCGGAATTGACAAGGAAAATTAAATTATACACTGGAATTATCTGGTAGCTCGGTTCCAACTGATTGTCATTGCTCGTTTACGCTGGAATGATTTATGGGAATCTGTACACATCAGCAGCAGAAGCGCGGGGAGGGTCCGCCAACCCTAACTTCTCAGAACGGGCCGCGTAACTTGGTATTTTTAGCAAGTCGTTCTCCAACGGTTATCACATCAAAATCTTATCCATGTAAATGCTCGGGCCTCGTACTTTGCATCATCGCGGCCCATCCGGAGATCGATCTTCCGCGCGTCCAAGTCTATGAAGCATCATGATGAATCTAGACCCCACGCGGCAAGATAAGCGGAAGTACGTGACAGGAGAGTAGTGAGTACTTCATGCGGTTTTCTGGAGCATCGGGCATGAACGTGCGAGATCTACACCGTGCATTTCCTGGAGGCTCGGAGCCATGTGCATCATACGGATGTGTTGGGTCGGGGCGACAGAAGTACACTGTTGGTGGTCGCAATCAAATACCCTCTTGAGCTATGGCCTTCGAAAATCTCGATCGTCGAGGACAAGTACATCGAGTGTGGCCTTAACGACGCCAGCCGTTGGCTATCAGGTAACGCTTGGGCCAACGAGGGGGTTGTGCTTAGACGACAAACGCCTAGGGAGCGAGCAGAGGGTGGCGTTTCGAACAATGCAAGTCGTAACTAGAAGGAGGCCCAGGCGCACCAGTAGTACACGGGAGATCAACTGAGGAATTTATATTAATGAAGATCCGAGAATCGGAAGAGCATGACGGCCCTGAGCCTCGAATTGACATTCGAGGCTGTCGGTGCGTTCTTTGCTGCGGTCTTGGCTGCCAGGTGCAGGTCAAGAACGGGCAATAGCATCATCCCTTAAAGAGGCAAGGAGCGGATACCCGATAGTCAAACCATCGGGGCCGGTTTCATACTGGTCGCCAAAAAAGGGGACATAATGGATGTTCCGAGAGCCCCCGTTATTGTTTCACTGAGCTCATGGATGATATGATGGATGGCGAAGATCCAACCAAGATTCGGAAACGTCTGGTACGGTTACGGCAGACCCGCAATCACATGCAGGTGTATTCAATGCTCTAGACCTTGAGCTAATTTAGTGTCAAAGCTATCAGGATTTGGACGGGCACCGGGAGTAACTTTCCACTGTTCATTATCCAACAAAGTCAGCAAGTCGATTCTAAACTCAATCCCGCAGCAAAGTTCCGATGGATCTCTCCCTCCAGCCTGTCATGTCGGGAACCCATTTGCCATCGCGCGTCCATTGCCACCCCGATAATCTCGCCATCATGCTTCGAAAGGGACATTCCGTATGATAATGACCGCAGGAATGTTGTGCTCAGTCCTCTTCGCCATCGCTATTTCACTCAGCGATTCCACGATGTTTAGAGCACCCCTGGTCGATTTAGATGCATGGTACCCGCCCGGAAGATAAATGAAACGAATTAGCGACGAGAGACTCCCTGCTTCCTTAGCCTTGATAAGGTGATGATGGTGACAAGTGAGGGAGGTGGAGGGGGTGCAGGCGAAAACGTGCTTGCAGCTTGCGACAGAACTGGCGACCCGCAATCACATGCCGCCAACAGCGCCAACACCAGCTTCAAGCATACGATGGCAGACGGCCTGGCCTGCGCTCGTAAGATATCGATCAGTCTCTCTAATCGCAGCTATTAGTTATTTATCGCCGGAAATCCTATTTTTTGACTTTGTTCGACCTGTCCTCATCTGTGGTTCACCTTGTCTGCCTTCACCGGATCCGTAGACCACTCCTCGCTACACTCACTCTTAGGTAGCATCTTTCCTTCCCAACAGCCCAAAGACTTTTTCCATAGTCCAAGCTTCCCTCAAGGTGCGAGCTCCCCAAACTACTTAACCTCCCATCCTTCTCCTTAATATACGCCACCTATCTGCCTTGCCTCTTATCAGCACACACCCTACTGACTCTGATAAGAAACCTATGCCTCATTTTGAAAACACAATGGGCGAAAACGCAGTCAACGGAGAGCGGGCTCAGTCCCAATTTTTGGAGGTAAGCTTTGTCTGCCCATCGCCCATCGGGTCTTATTTCCACGCTGCGCGACATCTACTAACAAGCTGGCCGTGAAGCATCTGACCTCCTACCCCGTTGTTTCGGACTCGATCACCTTCTACAAAGGAAACAAATACGGCGCCAAGTCATTGGAGTTCGCCGACCAAGGCTACGGAATTGCTAAACCCTACCTCACATACCTGTCGAAACCCTACGGATACGTTGCGCCGTACGTCAGCCGGGCAGACTCCCTTGGAGACAAGGGATTGCAGAGGGTAGATGCGACCTTCCCTTTTATCAAGGAAGATACCGGCACACTCAAGAACACCGTCTATGACACCGTTCTCTTCCCAGTGCGACTTGTTGGAGATGTGAAGGGCCATCTCTTTAGCACCTATGGTGACGAGTATAAGAAATGCGGCGGAAGTGGAATTGTGGCAAGCGGCAAGGCTATCATCACCACCAGCCTTGTCCTTTCTCAGGAGTCGCTGGGTTTTGTCAGCTCCCTGCTCCAGCAGAAGAAGGCCCAAGTCAAAGACCTCGTGAATGAGCAAACCCAAAACTAAAACTTGTTGCTTTATAATTAATTGGCTTGTGGTTGTGGTTTCTAGACTCTGATAGCGTTTCCCATTCCTTTGTTAACCGGGATGTTTCATTGTCCACTCTTTTGTTCAATTTTTTTTTCCCCCTTTGCAAGCTGTGGTTGGATATGCATCATCAAGTTCATCACACCTCAGTTCTTCCTCACTTTCTTTGTTCCCCTGACAAACCCGTGAATGGCTCTATGCCAGTGTGCTTAAGTAGCAGCTATCCAAAATGCAAATGATGTCCATGACAGTTCCACGATACTTGGAAAATCTTCCTAAAAAATTGTTTGATTTTCTGTAGGGCTGACATGTGATACTACAGGCATGTGATTACCCGATTCGGATAGATTGGCCCACCTCAGTTCTTATCGCGTCAGACGCGTCCACAGTCTCCACGCCAGAATATTATCTATACTATACCAAAACCACTTTTGACATCACCAGTTATAGCTCTTGAACTGCGAAGATGCCTCTGATTCGCAAACGACGTGCGGTTTGTTCCCTTTATTCCCCGTTATCGACCCCAAATCCTAACCAAATTGCGCGCCCAGGTTCCCGAACCCCAATCCAGCGACGAAGAAGCCAGCTCATTCCAAGAACCCCCAACCCAATTAAACAGCCATGCAGACCGCCGCGCCCGTACGAAACCAACGACCCCCGATGATAGCGAGTATGACAGCGGTAATGGACCGGGTTTTCGCGAAACCAGTAGCACAGACGTGATGGTGAAGAAGCTTGTGCGACTCGCGCTTTCGAGTGAATATTCGCGCCAGCCGATCCGGAGAGTCGATATTAGCAATAAAGTTCTTGGCGAGCAAGGATCGCGGCAGTTCAAAGTTGTTTTTGAGGAGGCGCAGAGAGTTCTGGCGGATACATTTGGGATGCAGTTGGCTGAATTGCCCGGGAAGGAGAAGGTTACTATTCAGCAGCGGAGGGGTGAGTATTTCAAATTCCGGTTAAGAGTTTTTCAGAATAGATGGCATAAGGTTAACACAATGCAACAGCCGCGCAGAAAGTTGAAAGACCGTCATCAACAAATAAATCGTGGATTCTTACGAGTACGCTACCGTCCAAATACCGGAAGCAGGATATCCTACAACCGACGCGGGGGCCGATGGAAAGTGCCTACACAGGATTGTATACGTTTATCATCGGATTAATCCTGTTAAACGGGGGTTCGCTCCAGGAGCAGAAACTTGATCGGTACCTCAGCCGCGTAAACGCCGAAACGTACACGCCTATCGACCGAACGGACCGATTTCTGCAACGCCTCTGCAAGGAAGGATATCTGCTCCGGAATCGGGAAATGGATGGTGGGGACGAGATCATCGAGTACATGGTCGGACCGCGGGGCAAGGTCGAGGTTGGAGCGAGGGGTGTGGCTGGCCTCGTGAGAGAGGTTTATGGACGGCAGGCTTTGGCCGAAGATGATGATGTGACTCCTGCGGAGCGGGAGAAGATGGCAGATTTCGAGTTCCGATTGGGTAGGAGCCTAGGGATGAGGAAGGTGGATAATACGAATACGCAAAAACGAGAGGAGGATGCTGGAGAGGGGAGGTCGACTCAACGGCGACGGCGGAGTTCTGAGTCTGGTTCTGGTTCTGGCGACCAAGATAGTGATTGACGTAGATTTCAATTGTATTCCTGTCAGCTTAGCTTGCGATTTCTTTGATACCAATGGGATTTCCTGTATGCTCGCTTCAATGCATTGGATAGCTACTCTAGAATACGAAAATCCCTAGTGCCCCTTACCGTATTATTGCTAATACTGGAATTTATAGATGTCGTTTTGGCGCATAAATATATATATATAAATCTAGTGCTTGCTATGTTTTCAGAAAACGAACAAAGCTCGTCAAATTTACCAACGTACCGAAAGAATAGAAAAATAAACCAGCTCCAATCATAAGTCATACGTATATGCATATCTATATAATGGCAAAACACAAAAACTTAAAGCCTTAGTCTTTCAACCCACCCTTCTATTCGCTGTCACTGGCACTTCCCTCACTATCATCAGCGATATCCTCGTTCCTCAATCCCTCCGCGAGCACATACTCGGCCTGCTGCAGCGTCGTCTTGATCTCCTGGTTATTGTAGACTAGCTCCGCCGGCTTTTGGCCATGTTTATTCCTTACTCGCGGGTCACACCCTGCCTCGCACATCATCTTGATCATTGCTGTGCCTATCTCGGCGTCTTTCTCGTTCGCGTACCGGACTGCCACATGTAGTGGAGTGTCATTGTCTAGCCGGGTGAGGGGGTCGCATTCGAAGAATTGGATATCGAAGAGGCCGTCCATTGTGTCATCTGCAGCGTGAAGGTAATTCTTGTTAGCCTGAGTTTTCTGAAAGGGAGTTAGAGTAGAGGGAAATGAGACTGGGCGTACAGCTTCCGTATTGCGCGCAGATGTGGAGAGCGTAGTTGCCCATTGCGTCTGTGATGCCGTTGAAGATCTCGGCTACCTCTTCATTTGACTTCCCTTCGAATGAGTCGAGGACTTGTTCTATCAGATGGGGCTGGTCGCGGCGACAGGCTTCGACAATGAGCTCGCGGGGTGAAGCGCCCTAGGATTGAGTCAGCTAACTAGATTGCTGTTGTAGTGGTATGGTAATCTGGCGGTGTACCTCGTCTGACATGATTGCTCACGGGTTAATCCTTGGGTTGCAAAAAGGAAACAGGTGACCGAAGAGCAGGCAGGATGTATGATATTGGATAGAGTTAAGTTTCCGCCCGGTTCGAGATGGCCTGTTATTGCTTTAGGACATGGTCGGTAAGGAAGTGGTATTGAGTGTTGACAAAGGAAACGCCGGGGTGGGTAGCATGTAGCTTCAAAGCCATCTAAACAACAGTAACGAGGGATGAGCATACCTGTATGATTGTTATTGAAGTTCAATCAGCTTGGGAGGTCATCTAATTGTAGGCCTCCTTATTGTTTGGTTGCCCCGCTGGCATGCCGCCCAACCTGCACCGCGGCGGAACAGTCGCCCGGAATATCTATTGTCCATCCCGCTTGACGTCCGAGTCCAATCGGCAAGCATCAAATGACCGGCAGATCTATAAATAATACTTTAAGCCTAAGGCACCCACAGCGGGAGGTCAGTGCTCAGTGGTCACTCGATAGGGCGGTGTAGATAATTTTCTCCCCGCCAACCGCGATAAGGCTTCTCACCCTTGCGGCGTACAGAACATTGCTGGCGGCGTCATTTGTGCTTTGTTGATAGAAGGCTGCAGTGGTGATTACGTGAAAACCTAAACTTTAATCATTTATCCGGCTGTTGATCCCACAGGTCAAGATGCCTCTGACTTGTATGCAACCCCGCATCGAGTTTGATGAGCCTCACTGACAAAGATGCTACCTAGTCTGCCCCAATTGCAGCAATGCGCTGACAATATCACGCGCGGATGCGACGCCAAAATACCCACTAGGAGTGAACCGGTTTGAATGCCGTACCTGCCCCTACCAATATGTCCTCGAGCAGTCCTGGTTCGAAAAGACGCCCATGAAGCAAAAAGAGGTGGAGGCAGTATTTGGAGGCAAGGCCGAATTCGAGAATGCGGATAGGATGGCCAGTAAGTCCAAGACAGAAAACCCCCCTTTTTTCTTTGTTCTGGCGCTGCAATGGGATTGATGGATGCTGATCTTGATGTCTTGCAGCACAATGCCCCGCGGAAGGCTGCGATGGCGACCGTGCGTACTTCTTCCAGCTGCAGATTAGAAGTGCAGACGAACCGATGACTACATTCTTGAAGGTGGGTGCCTGTCTGGACGGATACCTTGCATGTTGCGTCCTGTACTGACGGGGTCGATAGTGTACTACATGTGGTGCTCGGTGGAGAGAAAACTGAGCAGGCGCGCGCTGCCCCGATCGCTATTTAGACGGGTTATTTGAATTTATTTTGATTGGGCTATGCATTGCGTTCAATATTCAAGCGAGGCGAATATGGGATACGAAACGGTTGATGTTTGGTGTTTTGATATGCGGTTCTAGCGCCTTTCTTCATCAGTGCGCGTCACGGAGAGATACCCCTCACTATTGGAGTTAACAGGATTATGCCTAGTCGACTTGGATAGCATCTACAGAGCTTATATTGGTCCTTGAGTTTAAGGAGAGATGAAAATCATGTTCCCGTGGTAGGCTGATATCGTCTAGCTAAAAATGGATGGCTCGGATTTTAGACTTTTTTTTTACTTTGTTCAGTCAAGCATTTTGCGGACGTGCTCGCGGGCACCGAACTGGGCCAAACTCGGGAAAAAGCAAAGAGGCGGCTAATAATGAGGGGCAGCCGACTGAGTCGCACATCCCACCTGGGTTCCTAGGCAACGCAGGAGGGGCGCAAGAACAGGAAAAATTTTCGCACGTTCATATCAAAAATTTTGTGTTAATAAAACATCATCATCGCGGTCTATCTAGCTACGGATGTTGATCTCCATGACGCAGTGGATCGAACAGCGCCACCTGGTTGCTTCATCGTCGTTTGCTCGCGGACAAATAGAAAGGCGGCAACTTGGACAGCGGGGTTGTGCTCGACAGAGAGATAAAGCCGCCATCCCACCACTGCGTTGATGCCCAGCATTTCAGTCCGAGAACCCACCTACAGGCAATAGCAAGGTAGAGAACGAGCAAAACATTTTTTTTTCTTCCGCTAGACCATGAAATTGAGGGAGGAAGTGGAGTAGAACCAAGAAAATCATCGTCGCTGGGTTGTCTTGCCGGCCGGTCTGGTAGCTACAGAGCCCAAAGGAGCGAGAAGAATTTGCAGCGGTAGTGGGGCAGATTACCCCTCCATGACCAATGGCAAAGGCAGCCAGCCAAGGGTTTGAGCCCGCCCGCTTAGTCGTCGTCCTCGCTTGCCCCTCCATAAAAGGATTTCCCCTCCCCCTCCCACAAAATTTTCCTCTCCCTTCCTCTGCTTGTCCGCTTCAGTACGTATATCTTCCCCTTCCTCGCCTCTTCTGTCCTTTTTTCTTCCATCCTCCTTGCTAACTTCTCTGCTCAGCACCTCTACGCATTAATTAGCCGTAGTATCTGAGCATCCTCCTATCTTCATAAAACACACTTCACACAACCTTCAAAATGGGGTAAGTTGCACAAACTCCGCGTCCACCATATCGTCGTCTTGTTGAGCAGCTTCGCTAATCTGGTTTTCTCATCTACAGTAAGGAAGACAAGACTCACATCAACATCGTCGTTATCGGCCACGTCGATTCCGGCAAGTCCACCACTACTGGTAAGACGCCTACTGCCTCCTCGACCGTCCTTGACCCAAGGCTTACATTCTCTTCCAGGTCACTTGATCTACAAGTGCGGTGGTATTGACCAGCGTACCATTGAGAAGTTCGAGAAGGAAGCCGCCGAACTCGGTAAGGGTTCCTTCAAGTACGCTTGGGTTCTTGACAAGCTCAAGTCCGAGCGTGAGCGTGGTATCACCATCGATATCGCTCTCTGGAAGTTCCAGACCCCTAAGTATGAGGTCACCGTCATTGGTATGTTGTCCCTGTTGCTCTTGTGTTACAAAGTTGTGTCTAACATGCAACTGCAGACGCCCCCGGTCACCGTGACTTCATCAAGAACATGATCACTGGTACCTCCCAGGCCGATTGCGCTATTCTCATCATTGCTTCCGGTACTGGTGAATTCGAGGCTGGTATCTCCAAGGATGGCCAGACCCGTGAGCACGCTCTGCTCGCTTTCACCCTCGGTGTCCGTCAGCTCATCGTTGCCCTCAACAAGATGGACACTGCTGGCTGGGCTGAGGCTCGTTACAACGAAATCGTCAAGGAAACTTCCGGTTTCATCAAGAAGGTCGGCTACAACCCCAAGTCGGTTCCCTTCGTCCCCATCTCCGGTTTCAACGGTGACAACATGCTTGAGCCCTCCACCAACTGCCCCTGGTACAAGGGTTGGGAGAAGGAGACCAAGGCTGGCAAGTCCACTGGTAAGACTCTCCTCGAGGCCATCGACGCCATTGAGCCTCCCGTCCGTCCCTCCAACAAGCCCCTCCGTCTTCCTCTCCAGGATGTCTACAAGATCTCTGGTATTGGAACTGTCCCTGTCGGCCGTGTCGAGACCGGTGTCATCACCCCCGGTATGGTCGTCACCTTCGCTCCCGCCAACGTCACCACTGAAGTCAAGTCCGTTGAGATGCACCACCAGCAGCTCAAGGAGGGTGTTCCCGGTGACAACGTTGGTTTCAACGTGAAGAACGTTTCCGTCAAGGAAGTCCGCCGTGGTAACGTCGCTGGTGACTCCAAGAACGACCCCCCTGCCGGTGCTGCCTCTTTCACCGCCCAGGTCATCGTCCTCAACCACCCCGGTCAGGTCGGCGCTGGTTACGCTCCCGTCCTCGACTGCCACACCGCTCACATTGCCTGCAAGTTCGCTGAGCTCCAGGAGAAGATCGACCGCCGTACCGGAAAGTCTGTCGAATCCGCCCCCAAGTTCATCAAGTCTGGTGACGCCGCTATCGTCAAGATGATTCCCTCCAAGCCCATGTGTGTCGAGTCTTTCACCGACTACCCTCCTCTCGGCCGTTTCGCCGTCCGTGATGTAAGTTCTTTCCCCACCTCTTCTGTCTCCAAGTCACGTGTCAAGTCTTGGCACCCGCCCATCACATGACCCCTTCCCGAACCCAACCCTAACCCCGCCACACCCTTCATACAACCTCCCCCAGCCTCTCCCATCAACCCCCAACGTCCCTGAGTGTTCTAAATGCTGATAAACGTCAAAAAAAAGATGAGACAAACCGTCGCAGTCGGCGTTGTTAAAAGCGTTGAGAAATCGGCTGGTGGCGCTGGTAAGGTCACCAAGGCTGCCCAGAAGGCTGGCAAGAAATAAGCGGTTAATTCATTTTCTATGCCGTTATGACTTCCAAAAAGCCTTTATGAATGAAAGAAATGGAATTAGACTTGTTATGTAGTTGATTCTACAATGGAATATGGTTCCTGAATTTAATAAAACCTTGCTTCGTATCGTAAGATCAAACCCTTATATTAGTTTACTGAGGTTATATGGATAATCTAAAGACCATTGGAACCACGCGATTCCCCGACCATGTCCATGTCCAAATCCTTTCCAATGATTTCGCTTTTGGTGACCCGGTCAGAGCTTCCACTGGCGAAGAGCCTTGTCATTTTCTCTATCCATCTGACATATGTAGCATGTTGCCGTTTGGCCCTGAGTCGCTTTGTGATCATGGCTGGATCCTCGATACGAGTAAATGTTTTTAGTTGTATTTGAGATAATGCTGTAATCTCGATTTGGTCAATATTAGGATCTGTAATAGTTTGGATATTGTCGATATCATGAAGGTTATCAGCATCCTTAATCTCATCAGGATTGTCGGAATCTTTAACTTTGCAGGTTGCAGGGTCATCTTTAGCATTACTGTTATATCTAATTAGCAGTGCATCTTTAAAGATAGTTTGTTCATCATCATTATTGTTACCATGAACAACTTCTATTAGTAAAGGTACTTACCTGATAACCGTTTCATCCATATTATCTGTGACCAACTTCATGTACTTGAACATGGTGTCAATCAAGTGTTGGCCCTTGATAGTGATGTTTTTCAAGCCACGGACACCTTCAAGTAAACAGAAATGACTGCAGGCCCCATGCCATGAAAAGACCTTGCGGGAATCTCCATATACTGTTTGGTGAAGGCTCTTATCCTTGATATGATCAGAGTATGCACCAAATATATCTGCATATACCGCCTCTGCAACAATACTCATCTGTCGAATTGTGATGAATTCTTTGTGATTATGTCCAGAAGTTGGGATGCTGAATAGGACACCGAGTTTGCTAGTCCGTTTAATGTCTCCATGAACAAGATAGGAATTGAATGACTTTTGCTCCTGCTTGGATGGGTTGTCATGTGTATATCTTCGGGTTGATAATCCTCCATTTCTGTTTGTTGCGGATCCAATATATATAAAGTGAGACTTGTCCAGTCGAGGGCTACAAGATCTTGGAAAGACGGGTGGTCATCTCTGTCGAGCAACTCGCGAATATTGTCTGGAGTATAAATGTGGAGGGTATTGAGGATAAAGTCTTTCTGTCTGACGAAATGGTGCATCACTTGACGACGTTTGTCGCTCGCTGATGTGTTCGAAAGGTGTTTTGATTCGATGAGCGAATTTTGGATAAGCGCTTCGAATGTAGCCTCCTCTTCGACTTTCTGGGTGTTCCATCTATTGAGACACACATTCACAGACACTGCTATTCTCGCTCCCATTTTTGGAGAATGACAAGGTGAAATCATTGGAAAGGGAGCAAGGCTTAGTTAGTTTTGTAGGCATAAAGCCATCAATTGAATTTATTAGCACTTGTGAACGATGAGACAAGAACCTCTACGAGTACACATAACACAAGCATTGTAAGGTGAATTATTGATTGAAACGTAATTATTTCGATTTTATATTTTATATACACCGAATACGCCTCCAAATAAGACTCTCTTTCAGTCCGACAAAACACAGTCACCAAAGAGCTATTAGATCAAACTTTGGCAAGACGTGGAATCGTATATGAACCGGCAATCTACCAAGGCAAAAATCAAAAACCATTCACCCTAAAGAATGACACAGACATACCTCAAGCACGGCCCATTCATAAGCCTCTAAGGCTCACAGCGAGGCGACAGCTCACCAGCCGGCCAGATGCAGAATTTTTCCCCGCAAGTGGCAGCAACCTGCCAGGTTGCGCCGTTGCATACAGCGATGCTGTGGTATGTGTCTGCACAGTCGTATGAGTTACCAGAGCACTGGCCACCAATCGAGGCATAGGCTGCAGAGAGAGCAGGGAGGGAGGCGAGGACGGGGATGATGCTGAAGATCTTCATGGTGATGTAGAGCTGAGTAGTTTTGAATTGGATTATTGAATTGGATTGGATTGATGGAGCTGTGTTTCTATTCCCACAAGTTTGAGTGGGAAAGGACGCCTTTATATAGCTTTTACTTCCGGCCCTTCTCCTTCTGCATAGCCCTTCGACCTCTGTTGCTGCGGTATTCAGCTGAGCCTTGCACCTGAGTAGCGTCCAGCCCTCAATGGCTGGATCGTATCGTTTATCCCCGGACCAAGGCCGAGCCGATACCTAGATTGAACTATTTCTTCTGCACTCCAAGCTTCTGCGTCCATGTGGAGATGGGGCTGAGTGGCCGCAGCCACTCATCGTGTGGTGAGACAAGCCTTGCCCTAATCCCTGTCAGTCGTCGGGCTTCAGGCCTCCCGCGGTCTATTAGGCGTTAGGCGTTTGTGCAGAACATCTGACTGGAACGGATCGTTGACAGCCTGCAGCGAGTTGAATTATTGAACTGGCCCCTTAAAAATCTCACGACCGTGGTCGAGAACGGTGAATAATTCTGGAATTGTCTCGGTTTTGTTGGTGGGACTTCAGCCGTAAATCCACCCCGCCAGGCTCGAGTTGGCATTCGTGCCGGTGTCTAAGCCGGACTTTGGGATCTATTCGGATAGCCGCTGTTCTTGCAGACTGGCAGTCCAATCTATCGAGTTTGGAGAGCCGTTGGTGTCATATTTTAGTCCGGCCATATCGTCGTCACCTTTTCTGCCCCGTCAGCATTCCCATTTGGCTCTCCAATACGCATACGGACTGAATGCTCGTGGTTAGCGTATCAATCTGACTTCCGCCGCGGACGTATTTAGCTACATACTATAAGATCGGCAAATAACTTGCCGAAAATGAGGCTTATCACTCTGAACCGTGCATGAAGCAAAGAGTAAATCAGCGAGTAGATTTCCTTCACTACCAGCCATCGAATATTGTGCACTTATTGAAGGCTAGAATTGGGAAGAGTATTCTGTGCCAGGACAACATTACAATCTTGAAATCGCGAGTCAACGGCTTGTGCCTTGCAGATGTGCATGCAAAGCTGCAACATCGGCGACCATGACCGTCACCAACATTGCAAGATTCCTCACTCTAAAATCTGACTGTACGGTAGGGGGGCTGAGTACGCTGTACCGGGTGTTTTCGACTTACCCGACACTCATTCATATCTGTAGTTTGCTCTTGGTTCCTCGCTTCTTTAATCTAACCCCGCAGCATATCAACGGCGAGGCACATAAACCAGACACGGCGGAGTGCTGGAATGTCCCTCAGCCATGTTATAGGTCGGATACTATATCCTGAGTCTTAGGGTTGATTCATCACGTGGACTGCAGTCTGCTGTAAGAAGATAGGAGCGTCCTGGCAGCTGTTCCGTTGAGTTGACTGATGTTTAAAGATATCATAAGATGAACTTTGCTCTGGCAAGGAGTATGGTAGCGTTTTGAGTCTACTTTATTCCCGAGCCTATCCAGTCGATAGCCTTCATGTCAAGGAGGTTAATTATTAAATTAAACTATGATTAAGTTGGATCCAACCCGATGGATCCAACCCGAGAATAGCCGCCCTTATCTAGCGGCCGGTGGATGCTATAACTCCATGGTAACTTCTCAAAAACCGTTAATAATAAGATTGATCCAAATCAATATCCCAAGCCGATGTCTCCGAAAAATGCAGTCCTGATGTATCAGCTGTCCCGGGAAGAGGCTCTGCTACCAGTTCCTGATCAATCATTACCAAGAGAGCCTGCTCCGTAGCAGGATCGGTGTCATCTTCTGCTATTGAGGTCGGGTTCAGGGAGAATGCAAATCGCCGAGCGTGGTGCTCATGGAAGTCACGAAGGTGAGCTGTCTGTTCAAACGTTTAGTATTTGTCTATCAACTAAAGTAGGCTAAACATACCGTGTTAACAGCGTGCGGCCAGACCTCTCCAAGTTGTTCAAGAAGTTCGAGACTCCTGTCGAGATATCGTGAGGACCCCGATCCCTTCATAGGACGCGCTATTGATGCTTCAAAGTGTGATGTCACAGACACTACGCTTCCAGCTACAGCAATCCAGTACGGGAAAACAGATGACTGGCTTGTGACGGCTCCAGACTTGCAAGCGTCACTTATGAGATCCAAGAATTGCCGGGCATGATCGTTGGCAGTGCACAACAGACCCAAAATAAAACTAGAGCACGCAGAATTTGATCGGAACGGCTTCAACCGCTGTCGCGCAAGGAATGGGTGGTTTAACAAACAATGGCATAGATGGAATAGCATGTGTGTGACGATGATATATCCGGCTTCTGATCGTGGGAGGCCGTCGATATCGCTGCGCAATCTTCCAACGGATACGATTTCAAAGTAGGCTGCCGCGCGGGACAGCAGCGAGGTCAGGTTGGAGAATTCGGAATTTGCATCCCAAAGGGGGACATGTTCTTGATATTCTTCGCAGCGGACATACCGCACGCAGCGACCAAAGACGGAAATCATGAGCATGGCGATACAACAAGCATTCGGGCTTTGATAATCCTGGAAATCCCAAGATTTAAGCTCGTCAAGAGTGACCATGTTCTGCCACTCTCCTGCGCGAAACGTATCTTCGTCGGCAGGAAGCTGTAGCGTGCATTCATCGTCTTCCAAGCTCGGGAGTGGTCGCGACTTGCCACAAGAAAAAAGTTTGTCTATGAAATACACGCACCAGAAAACACGGCGCTGCTCTTCTTGCTCCTCGAATGGCAGCGAGCTAGAAGGCTCAATCATCAATCGCGAAGCTTGGCAAATGCGAGTGAGGAGGCCGGTTTTCACGAGCGCAGACCCCACTCGGCCAGCGGCATAGTCTAGCATGACGTGAAGATGCACCGTCTGCGCAACCTCAATGCCGGGGTTCTCGATGGGCGAGTGTTCATTTGCCGTGAGATGCTCTGCCGAAACTAGCGTCCATGACTCCTTCGCGTATGCTTCAGCGGCCTCATTCCTTGTTCGTGCGTAATAAGGATCTGACGAAAAGGGAACTGCAGAGGCGAGCACAGCCAGGAGCAAGTGGGTTGGTACTGTTCCCTCCTCGAACTTCCTTCTGAACGATGTCTCATGCAGAGTACTCGACGAAAGATCGTGCGCCTGAAGGAAAAAGGTGTCGACTGTGGATTGCAAGACTGAGGGAGGCGGAAGAGAGGGGTCCATGGTCAGAACATTGGATGAAAGATCGAAGCAGAAACAGACAGGAAAGAAAAGGACGGCAGCGGAGCTTTAACCAGCAAGAAATGCTCACTTCGCGAAACACCAAGTGATGTGTAGATTCCCCGATACGGGGGAGCCGCCACCGATACGGAGTGCTTTCCATGGATTGGACGCCATGAGCCCCCCGTATTTCACACAAAGAACGTTGAAAGCATAATCGGCTGATCAATGGAGAGCTCGAGCGCGGGTCCAGCTGCTGATTTGCGGCAGTCGAGTCCGTTCTTTGTGAGGGGCCGAGTCCAGACATTCCTTTGTCCGCGGAAGAATGGCCTCAGCTCTTGGTGGCGCGTACTTTTGTCGGGAGCTTTATCTGGACTCAACTGCGTAATTGGATTGCATCCTGAGGTCATTGCACCGAACATCTCCGATTTATTTACATCACTATATACATGCTATATACAAGGCTGGTTCTGCACCAACCCCTACCAAACAATCTCCTTCCCATTCAGCCCTTCCACAGCTGGAATCAACGGCTTCAGCGCAACGCCATAATCCCCCGCATTCGGCGTCCTCAGGAGCGTATGAATATGAAATTTCCTCGGCTCTTCATTTGTCAAAAACACACCCGAGTGGTGGTCAAACTCGACGAGAACCACCGGGCTCTGAATCCGGAAGTAGAACGGGTCGGTGTCTGCAAACCCTCCAATCCAGGAGAAGTATGTCTCGGATTCATACCTTTGGACTTGGCTGATTTTGAGCGCTCGTGAGTACGCAGGAAGATAGAGCAGGTATTGCTCCAAGATCCCGTAGAGCGTCGACTTTTGTTCCGCGGTGAAGAGCGACACAGGGACACCCTCGTTGGGAACGATGCGGTTGTCGCGGTACGCACCGCAGAGGTGTCGCTGGTCGTCGCGGTTCCAACGACCCGGCGGCATGGCCGGGTCTTTCATCTGAGTGTACGTTTGCGCTTTTGATTGTAGATGGTTGGGGAGTGATTGCATGAGTTTGAGACCGAGGGCTTCCTCAATGTGGAGGATGCGCGTGCCTCTGTAGGGGCCCGAGTCAATTTCATTCGGCTCGGCACCTGTGAACCACGGGGAGGCGATAATTTGGTTCTTGTAGAGGAAGATATTGAGGCAGAGGTGGTGGCCGTAGAAAGACCAACCCCAGGGTCTTGTGGTGGAGGGATTGCCGAAGAGGACGAAGTTGTAGGAAAACTCATTCATGACGCGCGGAGACTCGACGAGTTCGCCGAGGAAGTGGTTTATTCGCATCGCTTTAAGCGCCTTGTCGTAGCCTTCTGGGGAGAGGGTGGATTGGAGGATGGCGAGAATGGCGGAGCGTATTGAGCTATTGACTTCGTCCAGGCGAAGGCCCTTGTCGCTGAGAAGGAACTCCGGGTTCGACCATGTCCGCCATTCTGGTGAATCGATATGGTAGCAGAGCTTCTGCTTTTGATCGTTGCTGAGAAGCGAGAAGAGATGTGTTGTTGCGGCGACGATGTTGTCGATAGGGATTTGTTCGTCTTGAAGCTCGAATAGATTTGGGCGGACGTTTCCTGAAATTGTCAGCTCATGTTCACACTAAAATTGTTTTCTATTACCATCAATTGTTACACCCTTGAAAGGCTCCTGGAGCAGGTCCCTCCAGTGCATATAAAGGGCATGCAGCCATGGGGGAATCCGGCCGGTCTTGAAGGCTTCTGCGTATTCGTGCGCATCCTGAGTGCGCATCACCTGAAAGCGGGGAATGCTTAGATCGGGAAGATACTCTCGATACGACATTTTGAATATTTAGAGAACTGATACTCAGCTGATGAAGGGAAGTTGGGGGAAGTCCGGAGTGGTTTTATAGAACGGGCGACAGTTCTCCCCACAATCCCCACGTGGAGAGCGGCAAACGGAATATCCGACTTGGAGTGAGATTATCAGGTTATACTGTTATATACCAACATTGCCACTATATACTAGGCTATATCTTTAATTATGCTTAGCGATTTCGCGCTCCGTCCACTCCCAAAGCGACTTGGCCATCTCCACATCCCCCTCGTACTGTGATACCCCCTTCGCTGCGATCGGAACATAGTATCCGCCATTGACCAAATTCTCCCTTGGTGCACTTGCAGCCCAGATCTGCGTCAAAGCTCCTGTACGAGGACTACGAAGAAATATCGACATTAGAGCAACACTGAGGTTGTAAAGAGGGCCAGCCTGTTTAGAGTGCTGATATAGATCGGTCCCCACTGTCCCAGGATGGACGGAGACGGACATAATCTCCGGGTACCGCCGAGCCAACTCCGCAGCAAAGAGCGCGTTTGCTGCCTTGGACGCACCATACCGCGTTGACCAGCCGTGAGCCATCAGGCCAGAAGTTGAGGTTATAACATCGTATGATGGCGCGCTGTTCCCTGCTAGCGAGCCTAGCGTGATCACTCGGACATCCGGGGAGCGGGACAGCGTGTGTTGGAGAGTGGGGAGGAGCAGCTTGGTGAGGAGAAAGTGGCCAATGTGGTTCGTCCCGATATGGATCTCGTAGCCCTCTTCCGTGAGAGATGGCGGATTCCCCATTGTACCGGCATTGAGAATCAGAGTATCTAGGCGATCGCACTCGGAGTGGAATTGTTCTGCAGCCGCGCGGATGGACGCGAAGGACGCGAGGTCCAAGGGTATGTGTCGAATGTCTGCGGGGGAGGGGAGGGCTTCCTGGATCGAGGTGATTGCATCTTGGGCCTTAGTCGCGGTTCGTGCGGCGAGGTATATACGTTCTGGGCGATGCCGCGCCAGTTGGAGGACTGTTTCTTTTCCGAGGCCAGTGTTTCCTAGAGTTGGGGGAAATGATGGTTAGGCGATGTGGGGGAGGCTCTTTTCCGGTTTGGACGACTGACCTCCGGTGACAAAGATGATCTTTCCTGATTGATCGGGAGTATCACGCTCTGGATCGAAGGATGGCCCTAGAAGACCACCCGTGAGCTCGTTGAGCGAGGGGCCAACGCTGTGGTGAAAGTCCAAGGGGTGCCGAATCGCGTGCGAAGCGAGGGCGCCGAGCCCGACGACATCTTGGAAGCACTGGATAGGGTGAGACATTATAAGTGACCAAAAATAGACAATAATGATAAATATGAGGATAAGGATAGTATTCCAACGTCTCCTATGGAAACGGTGGTGTTGAGGAGGCCATGTTTCAATGGCGAGAGAAGTTATGTCGATCCGCGGTTACGATGGGATCACGCTCACCACCAAACTATACTGTAGAGCTACGTGAATTCTGGCCACAACTCTAACTGCCAAACTGTGTCCTGTATTCTATAGCTTCTAGATACAGCTTAAAGTCTATATAAGGCGCTATACAATGATGAATATGGTGGAGGGTGTCTCGCCCAACATCCCACCATCTATCTAAAATGTCTTCGTCGCGATATATTTGACCTTCCCCTGCCCGCGACATGGCCTTCACGCAGTCATATCCTGTTTTATTGCCTCTTCAGCCATGTCTCGAAGCGCCAAGAGCTGCATTTCCCAAGTCTCCCGCGGCGCATAGTAGACCCCCGACTTCCAGCTATACGATGAGATGAAAAAGCTGCTTGTTCAATGTGAAAGTGCAAATTGCGCTTTCGCAGCGAAAATTTCAAATTGCCCGTAAAAGGTTCAAGCGTGGATCTCCCTGAAATCCCGTGGGCACATGCGGATCGCGGGTTTTCTGATCTCTTTGGCTGACCAACGCATCAGCCTTGGGCCCAAAGCGATTAGCCATGAGTTGTTGTTTTGCCTAGATCGTCATCCTGCCAGTGGAAAACTATGCCAGTCGTCCATCCAATTCCCTGTATTTGACGGCCAAAGCTCTCGAAAGACCTCTTCGTATTCGCGTAACTGAGTGGACTTGTTGACTTGCATTCTTCGCTTTCGATTCTTTGCTCCCAGCTCTTGCACAATGACTTTGTCTTCCTCAGGACACATCATAGATACTCTAGAGCACTTCCATTTCCGTTTCATAACTTGACAAATGTCCAAAAAACTCTCTGGGACATCCGTCCCTAAACTAAGCCTTAGGCTTTCTATGGGAGACCCCTTGGCAATCAAAGAGAATATTCCCCCAGCTAATTGGCGATCGAGCGCCATGTTGATAAGGATGTCCCGGTTATAGCGGCTTTCCACTTGCCAAGGGTATGCCCGATTTGCGAATTTCATTGCATTATACACATCCAGTCGGAGCGATAACTGCCGGAGTTGCGGTAGCTCTCCAAGTGCCTTATATATTGCCTGCTCTTCGTGGTCACCCGCGCTTCGCTGCATTTGGAGTCTCAGATCATAAAGCTTCGTGCAGTGTTGTTTTATTTCCCTAATTTGAGTGGGCGTGATGACGAACCGCGCGACTAGCCGGTCCTCTGATGGATACAGAGAAAGCGTCCGCAGTGATTTGCCGTGGTGGTCGAGGATGGCTTTGAACGACTTCTTTAGGAATGGACCGGACATATGGATAGCCTCAAGCGGCCGAAGACTAGCAATGAAGGCGCCCGCGGCTCGATCCAAGGGGGAAACGTCATATTCGTTTCTGAAATTAAATATACCCAATGTTAGTCTTTTCAAAGCAGTAAACTCGCAGTTTGCGGCTTTTTGAAGCATGTCTTTGCGGACCCTCCAAAGCTGTAGGCTACGAAGGCGTGAGAAATTGACCGTCTTTTCCCACAATTCCAAGCGAGCCAAATTGGCGGGATCCAAGCTTAGGCCCTCAAGCTGTCCATATCCTTCCAAGCCCTGATCGCGGATATCTTGAAGTAGGCGCTTTCGGGGAAGTAAGCCTTCTTTTGACAAACCTCGAGTCATCGGCCGGTACTTGAACCCGGGCCCGCTGTCAATTACATACAAATACTTCAAACTCGGCGTGAGGCCTCGAGCCATCAATCGTGCTGCTTCCTCGTTATGTTTCCGATAGTCGTCATCGTATGCGACGGGTACAACAGCAGTAGACAGGCTGGAAGACCTCATAAGACTGTAGTCGTACTCATCAACGTAGTCGTCTTCGTCTTCGTCTTCCACATCATATTCGTCTTGTTCTTCCTGTTCTTCCTGTTCTTCCTCCGTCAAAAATGGCGGGTCGAGAGCTTTAATATGAAGACGGCATCGGGGGATGTGGAGATGCAGGGCCTTCAAAAGACACTCTGGCAGACGTCGCTCACACGCATAAGCCAGGTCCTTGAGGCCGGTCAACTTGGCCAATAACCTAGCCAGTGGCATCCAAGCGGCCTCATTTTGATCCTCTTGTACACCGAGGTGATAGAAAGGGCCTCGGAGGATATGGTCATATCGTTCTCCCGGATTCGTAAATTCATCTTCAGAGTCCTGTTCTGCGTATGAATTCTCCAGAAGAGCGGCCGGTGCAGATGTCTTCGCGTTCTCCCAAAACGGAGCAACTCGGCCTTCAACGCTAAGATGTCGCACAGAGCCAAGTGCAGAGTTCCTTGCTAGAATTTTGTGCCATGTCTTGACGTCGTCCTCGAGGCCTTGACGCGTTTTGACCCTTAGGCGGATTTGTTGGAAGCGCGTCTTGTTTGATGCCGATTGGCATTGTTTGTTTGTTTGAGAAAATGCGTAGATGCTAGGTTTGTATTCCACCGCGACATAATCACATATTAGACTGAGAGTCTCCAAGGGGAGCGTGTTGAGTGTGGTGGTGGACATGTTGGGAGAGGCAGTGTCGGTTGTTGACGATGACGTTGCGGCATGCTCACGGTCATCATCAAACCCCGCAGGCATTCACTGCGTTTCGCATCGTCGCATCTTATCACCAACCCAATGTGTCAAAACATGCCAGTCAGGAGAACAGGACTCTGAATCTGAGCTGGTGCAGGATGTCAAGTAGGACAGATCCGATCGCCGCCAGTCTAGACCACAGCGAGCTTCCTCGGCACCGGCCCGACTCCTCCACTATGACCTAGCAACCGTGGTGTGGATGCACCGCATCCAAGATCATGGCATTCTTCATCGAATTTCTTTATGTCTCGGTGGCATTCGTCAATGGCTGGGCTATCCGGATGATCCGGGTTTGAGGGGATCCGGTGTTTTCACTCGCTGCTTTTTACCGTGACACCATACACACGTTTCCCAGGACATATATATATCCCCTTCTTTGGGGGTTTGGAGTTTCGACAAATTCGGTGCAGTTTTAGTCTAAATTATATCGGAAATGGCTTCCGCAATTGTAACTGGTGATACAGGTATTTCTACTTTCTTTCACATTAGATTCCTGCTAATCGTCGCAGGCATCACTGGTAGTGCGATTGTACATCCGAACTGCCCTTCCCGGGCTGCAAAGCAAATTTCTTTGCCTTTAATACATGGACCTCAGCAAACTTGCACGCACAAGTCTGCCTCTGGGCCGCAGCGACCCCCAAGGCCGGGAATAATATTTTCAACGTGACGAACGGCGACACAGAATCATGGCAGAATCTCTGGCCACGTCTTGCAGCCCGTTTTGGATGCAGAACCCCCAACCCTATGTTCCCGAACGGCGGAGCGGCGGATACAAAGGGGTATAAAGACTACGAATCATCTATCGCCAGGATGCCAAACAAGCACCCCCTATCCGCCCGCGCAGCAAATATCGGCGTATCGTCCGACCCATCAAAAGAAGATTCGCCCACGCTATTTTCCCAAATTGACCCGCAGAAATGTTCTGCGTGGGCTGACGTGAATAATGCTTGGGGGAAGGTTCGCGATAAGTACGGTCTTGACCAGACGACATGGGACAAGGACACCTGTGACTTTATTGCCTTTGCACTTGGGAGAGACTGGAGTTGTGTGGGAAGTATGAGCAAGGCCAGAAAGCTTTGTTGGAACGGATACGCGGATACTTGGGATGAATTGGTCGAGGTGTTTGAAGCCTTGGAGAAAGAAGACATTCTGCCGCCTGCTGAGCGATTGAAGGCTGATTTTTAAGATGCGGAAAATGTTCAACTGAAATTTATTCATGTAGATGTTGCAAGCAAATAGCCATTTGACGCACAATGTCTTGAATACGGACGGCTCCATCATGACTGTGTATCATTCGGAGTATCAGTCTCCGGGATCATTTATTCATAATATGTACTATTCATGACGACTTGCGCAATTTCGAGTATAATGTCATTTAAATATGAGTAAGGTGAATGATATTCCCAATGCCTGTCAAGATGTATTGGAAGGTCTTCCTTGTATACTGCCCTATTCGCCAATCAGCGAGCGGCGTTTCCAAGCAGATCGATCTGACTCTGACTGCAAACAGAGCAAACATCCCCACAAGCTCAAAATTCCACGATCAACCCAGCAACTCTGCTGCCACAACACAGAGACAGCAAGGTAGATTCCTCTCGTCTCTTGTATGTTCCGACAATTTCTCAAAATGGCCTCCGAATCCGTCAGCAAGAAGCCTCGCATTGACTCCCCGTCCATTGGGACTCACAAGTACATCTCCCTGCCTCCCCCTCTTCACCCCACCGCCCACCGACACTAACTGATCGATATAGCGGCCACTTCCATGCTGATGAAGCTCTCGCCGTCTACCTCCTCCGTCTCCTCCCCGCCTACTCCCAGTCACCCCTAATTCGCACCCGCGACCCCGCCCTCCTCGCTACCTGCCACACAGTCGTCGACGTCGGCGGTGAATACGACGTCTCCGCAAACCGTTACGACCACCACCAGCGCACCTTCAACACCACGTTCCCAGGGTACAAGACGAAGCTCTCCTCCGCGGGCCTGGTGTACATGCACTTCGGGCAAAACATCATCGCCAACCACGCCTCCCTCCCGGCCGAGCACAGCAACGTAAACCTGATCTTCAACAAGCTGTACGCGGACTTCATCGAAGCAATTGACGCCAACGATAACGGTATCGCGGCGTACGACCCCGAGAGTATTTCGCAGGCCGGCATCGAGAAGAAATTCAAGGATGGCGGCGTCACGATCGCAAGCATTGTCAATGACATGAACTACCCCACGCCCGAGGACGAGGCCGCGCAACTCGACGAGGACGGTCTGTTTATCCAGGCGAGCCAGTTCGTGGGCTCGGTGTTCTCTCGCAAACTCCGCGGGGCCGTGTCGTCCTGGTTACCTGCCCGCGAAACGGTGAAGAGCGCCTACGAGAGCCGCAAGGATGTTCACGGTAGCGGAAAGATCATGGTTCTCCCGCAGGGCGGGGTTCCGTGGAAGGAGCATTTGTACAACTTCGAAAAGGAGGCGAAGGCTGCCGGTGCTGGAGAGGAGGCCGAAGTGGCTTACGTTCTCTACCCTGAGAGTGCTACGGAGGGTTCTAAATGGCGTGTCCAGGCTGTCTCTGTAAACGAGGGAAGCTTTGTCTCGAGGAAGCCCCTGCCCGAGAAGTGGCGTGGGGTTCGGGATGCGGATCTGGATGGTGTTCTTGCTGCTGAGGGTGGTGAGCCTGCTATCCCCGAGGGAGCGGTCTTTGTCCACGCGAGCGGGTTCATTGGTGGGCACAAGACACGCGAGGGAGCGTATGCTATGGCTGTCAAGGGTTTGCAGTAATCGTTGCATAAAAGTTTCTTTTTTTCAATCTAACTAGCTAGACTAGCTAGACCAGGATAAGAAAATCTAATCGGCATAGAACAGAGTAAACCGTGCCAATCTTCTATATACATGAATAATTTCAATATACGCATCTACTGGTTTACTGGTGTAGGTACTCGTTAACAACACCTGCAAATGCCTCCGGCTGCTCAGCCATAGGCAAATGCCCAGCACCAGGAACAATCTTGAGCTCCGCACCACCCTCAACCTTCAGGTCTACCGCCATTTGCGCCATCGTCTTGGGCAAGACGCCATCGCTGTCACCAGCCACAAATAGACCCTTTACGGTAGCCTTCTGCATGCGGTCGTGAACATCATATGCACAGAGCGCCTGCATAGCCTTCTTAAACCCGACCAAGCTGTTCGCACGCACAACGTCTGTAATTCTGGCAGGGACGTCAGGCTGTGTCTCGTATGACTGGGGCGTGAACCACCGCCGCACCGTAACCTCAGACAGCTCGTTGCCGATAATAGGCTCCTTGGTAGTTGCATCAGTGGCTCCTTCAGCCTCCGCCATGGCAGCGCGGTCGTTCCACGCCTTCCTGTTTGTTTCGGGGGCGGAGCTGTTGGTGTCGCACGAGATGAATGTCTTGACGCGGGTCGGGTGGAGCAGGGATGCGTTGAGGACTGTGACGCCGCCGAGACTCACGCCGATGAGGATTGCCTCGGGGATACGTAGGGCGTCGAGGAGCGCGATGATATCACCGGCCAGAACGTCAATGTTTACAGGCGCTTCGCCCGCCGCGGCGGACCGGCCGCGGGTGTTGTATCGGAGAATGCGGAACTTGCGGTTGCGCTCATCGGAGAGGAAGGTCTTTACGAAGGAGTCCCAGATGGTGTAGTCGACTAGGATGGAGTTGCTGAGGATAATGACGGGGGCTTCTGGGTTTGTAGATCCCTCGAGACGGTAGGGCAGGTCAACGCCGTCTGGGGTGGTGATGAACGATTCGACGGCGGGGTTGGCGGGGTCGGGGAGTGTGCGCGTGCGGCCATCGTTGGACGACCAGGGACCGATAGTGTCTGCGGATGCGAGGGAAGAGAGCTCGCGGGGTGCCGGGCCGAAGGTGTATGCCCAGTTGTAGATGCGGCGAGTCTTGGAGGTGAGGGTTTCGCCGATGCGGTTGCGCCAGGGCGTATCCATGGCGGCCTTGTGCTCGACTCCTCCAAGGCCATTCTGCGCGGCAAATTCGTGGAGGGCGACGAATTCCTTGCGAGCATTGGTGTCAATGGAGGCCGTTGTATAAAGCCGGCTGCGACGCCAGCCTGGCACGCGGGCAAGCATGGGAATGTGTTCTTCCTTGTACCAGCGCTTCAGGTCGTCTTCCTTGGCGGGGTCGGCGGGGAGGGTGGAGGTATTAGAGATCAGCACGTTGCCGGCGACAGTGGTGTCGGGTTGGTCCTCGAGCGGCTGGAAATCGGTGGCCTTTTCATCCTGGAGAAGGTCGTAGAGTTTGCGGTCCACGGCAATCTGGGCCATGGTTGCCTTCTCGCGCGGGGTCTTGATGCCATCCCCGCGAAGGGCCAGGTACGTCTCGCGCGTCAGCTCGTCCATGTCGGTGATGTCGTACAGCGCCACCCATTCTGGATCGACATCGTCAACGGCTCTATACCGGAAGCCATTGGTGACGAAGGGCAGACGCAGGCGCAGAGGGCCGTGTTCGGAGTTGTACCAGTCGTGGAACTGGGCAGCCGGAAGAGAGGGACGAGGCTGCATCGTCACGTACAGAAGGCCAGGAGTCGCCATTTTGGATAATATGTACTGATCGGGTATATTGTCCGCTCAAAGAAAGTATGATTTGGGAAGTAATGTTGTACCTCCATGGTCCTTAATATTGAAGTCATCGGAAGTGGTTGTGGCAACGACTGCCGACTCCTCAGCCGACAAAATTCCCGGATAAACGCTTACCATGCGGGGAGCAGTGCAGTATGCCACTATTCATGCTAGAATCCAGCTACCTCTACAAAAAAAACTGGAAAATTGGAAAATATATACATCGCTTGATTTGCCTACGCTAATATAACACTATCAATGAGTTAATCCACACGGTCCAATTTCTGTACAACAAGCGCCGTCGCAGCTCCACCACCGTTGCAAATAGCAGCAACTCCATACTCGCCGACCTGCAGCTGGTGCAATAGAGTCGTCAGAATACGAGAACCTGAGCTACCAAGAGCATGGCCGAGAGAAATGGCACCTCCAAGGGCGTTGACGGTGGCATTTTCGAGACCAAGAATCTAATGCGGTTAGTCATAATCCGAGCAAGTTTGTACAGGTAAGAGTAACGAACCTTCTTGTTGGCCTCAATAACAGCAGCGAACGCCTCGTTGAACTCCCAAACGGCAACCTGATCCTTGGTGATACCAGCCCGCTCAAGGGCGATGGGGACAGCCTTGGCCGGAGCGACTGGAAAGTCAACAGGGTCAACGGCAGCATCAGCAGATGAAACAATGCGAGCCAGAGCACGCTTTCCAGCACCAAACTCGCGAGCAAGGTCCCTGTTAGCCAGCACCAGAGCGGAGGCGCCGTCGTTCATAGTCGACGCATTGCCAGCAGTCACAGTGCCAGTGCCGTCTCTCAAGAACGCGGGCTTGAGAGTCTTCAGCTTATCAGCACGCAGATTCTCATAGCCCTCGTCACGCTCGATCACTGTCTCGCCCTTCCTGCTCTTAACAGTCACGGGCGTAATCTCATCCGCGAACTTGTTCTCGTTCCATGCTTTCTGCGCACGTTCGTACGAGCTGATAGCATACGCATCCTGGGCCTCTCGAGAAATATCAAACTTTTTCGCCGTGGTCTCAGCGCAGATACCCATATGGAACTGGTTGTAGACATCCCAGAGACCATCCTTGATAAGTCCATCCTCCAGTTTGATCTCGCCAAAAGGAGGCAGCTGGCTAGAGCGGGGGAGGTAGTATGGTACCCGTGTCATGTTCTCCATTCCACCAGCAATTTGGGCTTCAGCCAGGCCGAGCTGGATGTTCTGCGCTGCAAGCGCAACGGCCTTGAGACCTGACGCGCAAACCTTGTTGACGGTCATCGATTCGACGTTTGGCGACAGTCCTGCAAAAATAGAAGCCTGGCGAGCCGGGGCCTGCCCGACTGAGCCTTGGAGAACATTGCCCATGTACACATCGGTGACTTTCTCGACGGGAATACTGGACTTTTCAACCGCGGACTTGATGGCGACGGCGCCGAGCTGGGGGGCGGTTACCGAGGCGAACGAGCCGTTGAACTATAATAGTTAATAGGGATACAGAGTACTTGACGTGGTAATAGCTACCTTCGCCGTAGGTGTACGAGACGCGCTTAGAATATATGCATCCTGAATCTCCTTGAATGCCGGTCGAGCGGCGCTGAACTGTCTCCGCCACTGGTGAGAAGCGGGGAAGCTTGAGCGCTTGAGAAGGCGGGTAGTAAGCCCGGTTGTTGTTTGAATAGCCATGGATCTGAATCAATGTATACAGGGTATTATTCAAACAAGAGATGGCTTCATCAGTTGTCACGTAGATGAAGGAGAGATGTTGAAGAAGAAGCTCGTGGAATTGAAGATCCCCTTCCCCGGAAATGGCGCCGCCAATAACCGCCTCTCCCGCATCATGGACCGAGGCTGTTATCACATGACCAGGACAAAATCCCGATAAGTGTTTATGTAAGCATGAGGTCACTGAATTGACTTAATTAAACTAGATTGATCTCCTTGTGGTCTGTATTGCGATTTCTACACCGCACACCCATTTGTAGCCTCATTTCGGTCATAATACACAGTCCGAGCCTGAGCCAGGCTTCCTGCTTCTGAATTCGCTACCAGGAACGTAGGCCGAGCTGTACATTGTAAAACTTGGCGTTCTCGAAGTTGATTGACGGCACTTCGCACGTCCGATTTACCCAGCTTTATACTATCATCTTATAGGGTTTATCCGATCTAACCTCCGATAAAAACAAATGCAAGGCGGAGGTTATTTCACTGTCAGAGTATCAGCGAACGGCACGTCTATCGGAAGAGCAGAACAATTCCGACAGTTCATCGGACCTCCGACGGGGCCCGGTCCACAGTCCGTCCACTCCATACTTGGATCGTCACTAAAGTAGCAGATTTTGACCTTCTGGCCAAAAAGATCCAGGCGTCCACGTCAGCCAGTCAGGGCTGGACGAAAGAGAGCTAAGACTTCAACGCCAATAATGGGGCTTTCCTGGCCGTTATCTGTTGGAGACTTGGGATTGTGTCGGCACATACTCCGACGCATATACGGTGTAGTATTAGTGAAAAAATTCCATTCATAAAACATTGTCGCTGGCGCTGTTGTATTTCGCCTGCTTGAGTAATTTCTCTCGCCTGGGTCATGGCCATATATCTTTCTCTATTGCTCCGCTTTTGAAATTGTCTTTTGCCAGTTGGCTCTGAATTGTCCGATCAATTTTATGCCCTGGATCCCTTAGTTCAGTGGGTATGGCAGGGAGTCGACAACAAGCAGCAGAGAAATCTCTGCAGGACCAAACCAATATCCTACCTCGAGGCCAGCTCCTGGTAGTCTTTGCCGGCCTCGCAATTTCACTATTCATCTCCTTCGTTGACCAAAATGGTATCTCTGTCACGTTGCCAACAGTCGCAGAGGATTTGGATGGGAAGAACACGATATCATGGGCCGGAACCTCTTCGTTAATCGCGAATACAATGTTCAGTGTGCTCTATGGGCGGTTGTCAGATATATTTGGACGAAAGATCGTGTACCTGTGTGCATTGGCCCTTCTCTGCGTCGCTGACCTGCTCTGCGGTCTGTCCCAAAATGCAGCCATGTTCTATGTCTTTCGTGGCCTGGCAGGTGTTGCAGGGGGTGGGATCGGCTCACTAGCTATGATTATTGTCTCGGACGTGGTCACTCTCGAGCAAAGAGGGAAATATCAGGGTATCCTTGGAGCCGCGCTAGGCCTCGCCAATGTCGTGGGCCCGTTCGTTGCGGCTGCGTTTATCCTCCGAGCCACCTGGCGTGGATTTTTCTGGATGCTTGCACCGCTGGCGGCATGCTCGATTTTCGTTGGATACTTCCTCATCCCTGATTCTGCGCGCAAGGACAGTTTCCGGACAAGCCTGAAGCGCATTGATTATTTTGGCATTATTGCTTCCTCCATCGGGATTATCTTTCTATTGATTCCCATTTCAGGAGGAGGCTCATACTTTGAGTGGGATTCCCCCATGGTCATTAGTATGCTCGTGATTGGGGGGTTGTCCCTTGTAGCATTTCTTTTCATCGAGTGGAGGGTTGCTGCATTGCCAATGCTGCCGAGTATGTTTACCTGTATGCTGCATCTTAGTGCTTGTGACGCTAACTCATTAATAGTGGAATTCTTCAAAAATAAAGTCATCGTCGCGCTTTTCCTGCAGAGCTTCCTCCTGGGCGCTGTTTACCAGGCCTATCTCTATTACCTCCCGCTCTACTACCAAAATGCTCGGGGGTGGTCCCCAATCGTCTCGGCAGCACTTACTGCTCCCTTAGTATCCTGCCAATCCATAACATCTGTGCTCTCCGGTCAGTATATCTCGCGACAGAAACGATACGGCGAAGTAATATGGTTTGGTTTCGGCATATGGACATTGTAAGCACCCAAAGCACCCCTGGGATCAATAATCAAAGTGAGAAGACTGACCAACGAAACCAGAGGCGCGGGTCTTATGCTGCTCTTCAAAACAACAACCCACCCCGCCGTAATCGCGGTGATAGTCGGTATAGCAGGTATTGGAATCGGGTGTACCTTCCAACCAACCCTCGTCGCCTTCCAGGCACACTGCACGAAGCGGCAGCGCGCCGTCGTAATCTCAAACCGGAACTTCTTCCGCTGCCTGGGTGGTGCATGCGGCCTTGCCGTCTCCGGTGCTGTCCTCCAGGCAACCCTGCGCTCAAATCTGCCGCTGGGGTATAAGAATCTCTCGAACTCGACGTATTCGCTGCCGGCAAAGTCATCAGTGCCTGCGGATGTATGGGACGGAATTGTGAATGCGTATGCGCAGGCGAGCCGGGCAGTATTTATTTTACAGGTTCCTCTGATTGGGGTTGCGTTTCTGGCGTGTTTGTTGATTCGGGATCATGGGCTGGAGAGGCCAAAGGACCCCGGGGAAGAGGAGGCAGAAAAACAGCAGGCTGGACAGGACGGTGATGTTTCTGGAACACCGGGTCAGATTTTGACACCCATGCGGCGTTCTGTTGAGGTTGAGAGACGGAATGAAAAGGAGAATGGGAGGGAGCAGGTTTGAAACAAAACTGGATGATTATTTTTGTTTTATTGCATTGCATCTGCCTTTGAGGGATTTCATATTAGACCATCAGCATTGTCAGTTCACCGTGCATACATAGCATATGGCATAGCTTAATAATTTGACATTACTAAGATTTCAAGTACATATTCAAATGTCCCTCATCTTCCAACGAGATCGGCTCGGCTACGCCCTATCCGGGTGGCTGGTATCGCTGCCATTGTGTTGTGAGTGAATTTTCCCGCGACTGACAGTGCCAACATCCTTCTAGAACACTGGCCACCGTCCTCTCAGTTCCTCTTCTTACTCCTTCTGCTTCTTTCGCTTCTGGCATCTCCAACTACTTTATACCTGTCTTGACCTCCTAGTTTGCACCGTGATAGTTGCCCAAAACTACTTTCTGGTATCCATGGCGATGAAACTAACACAACCACACCGTTTATGTACAAAGTGTTTAAAAGAAGGTGGGCCTCCAGCAGATCTTCCATACTGTGGTTGCTTATTTTAATTAACACCCAGCAGATTTGACTTTCAACAGTTCCCTTCTAGGCGTCCCAGCCATAATGATTGTGCTCCTTCCAAACACCACCCACAATACCATGGTCGCTACAAATATGCTAGCTATGCCGTCTGGAACATCGGACTATAAGAACCCTACCAACCTTGGTATAAACTGCCCACCTACATGGCGGCCGCTTTATGCAGATATCCCTGGGCTCAGTTCCTTCCAGTGAATGATTACCCAAAGGCAGAAAACCGCCCAGAAGTTGAGAGAACAACCAAGACTACCTTCACGGCTCAAAGTGATTACACTACCATGTTAGGACACACTACCATATTTGAACAGGAACTTCATACTCAGATGGTTGGTCCACTCGAGGACCCGAACATACCACTAGTCACTATAACTATCCTGCATGTCATGATAGGCGCCTTTTTAGGTTCATCGAGCTTCTACTTTGGGGATCGAATTCAAGAAGATGCCAGGCGCGACTAGGCTGCCGAGGTTTTGGCACCAAATCCCCCTACACCCTCTGGTTATGTTCCAATTATCTTGACCAGACCTATCCATGGCGTCGTCGCCTTCTCGAAGCTGTGATCTAGTATGCAATCACCAACGTGTCTGAAGTTATGGGAACATGCCATCTGCCGCATGTGGCTCATATAGTTTGCATTGTGAGGCCTGCTTTTGGAAGGCAATGTCTAAAGGAAACAGTTTTACGAAGTTGGACAGGACGTTTCTACCTCAGCCTATTTACCCATACTAATCAAAAATCGAACCGGACCACGACTGCTCGGGTTGCGCATACCTCACTTTCCGAATCAAGTTGGTCGACTCGGATCGACCTTCCAAAGCTCCGCTCAACGCGCTTCGTGAAATAACTTCACCTGGTACTACTCCAGAAAAGAAGATTCATATGTCGAACAATGTTTCTTCCCTACCTAGAGGCGATATGTATCAAGACATCTCCAAAGATATTGTGGACAAAACGAGTGAATCAACACAGTTCAACGCCGAGCAGCTGACTCAATGACAACAGCTGGATTCATTGCTCGGCAACACGCAATAACAACACCCGGACCCGCCGGTGCCAATGATTCGCGTCACACCTCAATCTAAGGCCAGGTGATAATGGATGCTGAATGTATAATATAGTGCATGTATGTATAACGTAGCCTAACTGAACTAAAAGCACTAAAACTAAAACCCATCTAGTCCAAGTGTGACAGAAACCCTCTCCGGTACGCTCCCAGCCTCGCCTGGTGTTTTCTGACTCGGTTTGAAAAAGGGCTTCTCGCCGTAAACAGCTGTACGCTTTCCTTCTCTTTCCTCCGTATTGTATCCACCTGGAATGGCGCGGTGCGCAACAACCCTGTTATCCCACAGCGCGACGCTGCCGGCTTCCCAGTGCCACCGGACACTTAAATCATCAGCTGAATGGAGATGCTCGCGGAGAAAGTTGAGAACGTGTAATGCCTCGCTGCCTTTCAACTCTTTGATATTGATGACGAAGGCTGGATTGTAGAAGAGAGATTGCTCCCCGGTTACTGGGTGGGTGCGGATCTACAAACTGTTAGACGAGTTCGAAAATATTTGGATTTCGGTAGCGTACAAGTGGATGCTCCCTTCGCACCGGTGGTCTGAATGTAGTACCTCCACTGTTGATGGTATTGATATACGTGTGCTATTGAGTATTAGCGTTGATTCTCAGGTCTGCCAATATGGTCCGATGGCCATACCTCAGAACTATGAACGCCATGAAGCCCCTGCAATGTTGTCTTGAATGTAGGACTTAGTTTATCAAACAATGCAGTCTGACTAACAAAAACAGTGTCACCACCTAGACGTTGGTAAGCGAGTGCACGGTGGCCATGGTTGTGATTAGATAAATACCATATTCAGGAGCCTTGACCATTCTGAGCATTGTATAAGATGGAGGGTTAATTTCGAAGGAATGATCGGAATGGAACTCTGCAAAGGCACTACTGGAGTGCTCGAAGGAGCGGATATCGCTGGGGAGAAGGTTAGCGAAGTCAACTACCAGGGAATATACTCTTACCCTCCTCTACCGAGAATAGTTACATGGCGAGGATCAACCTGGTTCGGATCTCTATCTTGCTGATGAACGTCAGATAAGGTACAACACTAGAAGGCGTTTCGAGACTTACAATTCCATAGTGTTTGAAGAGCTCGTATTGCCCGTCGAGTGCGAGGTCTTGGTCTTTGAAGAAGACCACTCCTCTCTGGTCTCGAGTCAGCCAGACTATATTTGATTGGAAGCATTAGATGTACCTCAGCAACTAACAATGCCAGCTCATCTTTCTGTTTCTCATCAAGTTTGCTGATTTGAATGCCCTGCAACTCAGTGCCGATGTACGGAGTCAAGTGCTTCACTTTGGTGACAGCCGACAAGAGCGACTTCTTCTCGGGATCTGCGAAGAACGCGCGATCTCTGGGAGGTTGAATTTCTTCGACTGGAGGGTTGCTGGGCTTGTAGGAGAGGACTTTCTCAGTGAGGCCTGTGTGAGCTCCAATCATCTTGGCGCGCAGTAAGTATGTATCTTGATACCTGGATAATATTAATTATTATTAACAAATCGACATACCAAAATACAGTGAATACGATGTCTTTAAAATAAATTGTCAACTCTTTTCATTGCGCTTACAAATCCTAGCACTTCCCCTCTCCATGGTTGACTTGTAACTGGTCATCCTCTCTGCTATCCCAAACTCAAGGAGCACGAGCATCTCCCGTTTATGGCGTTATTCGGGAATCCCCGAGAGGCACCAGTGACAACAAAAGCAAAGTCTGTTTAAAGTTCAAGACGCCGTTTGTCAATTCACAGGGGACCCAGGGGCCCTGTCCTGGCCCCAGGTCTTCACTCTTGGTGGGAACTGCCGCGCCTTCGCCCGCGTCCACCGAGATGCAACTTGATCACAGATCCTCTTGGGCGCGGCTGGAACACAACATCCAATGATGATGTCGCTATTATGATATCATTTTAGCTCTGAATTGGTGACATCCAGGGTTGAACACTTGAGAATTCAGCCTAGACTCCTACGCCAGCGTTACATTGGGTGCCGGTATCACCTCATCATGAAGATAAAGCACGTTTTGTCGTCACCATCAGGATCAGAGTCGCCAAGTATAGTGAAGGATAAGAAGACACCATGGAAAGGAAGTGTGCCCATGCAGATCGATCTACGAGATGATTAAATTTATATGCGCGCCTCCCTTTTCTTTTCCCAGGCCATCCAGGCCATCCAGTCTTTCCCACATCTCACCATGTCTCTCTCCAAGGCCCCATCAACGAGTGAGACGAAGACGGACGGTGTCAGTGAGAGCAATAATGTCCCGGACACGGCCAATTCTACCGGCCTGCAAAAGGAGTTGGCCTCACTAGATCAGGTGCTGGTTCGGAAGATGGCGCTGGTGAACGGTGCGATTGACGAGATTGGAATGACGCGTTTTCAATGGAAACTGTTCTTCCTCAACGGGTTCGGATACGCTGTTGATTCGGTACGTACTTGGTCTCTGAAAACCGCTCTCGTGGAACCGATATGTTGACAATTTCTAGCTTCTCGTCGTTTGCCAGTCGATCGCCCAGCCCGCCGTCACCCAGGAATTCGGAAACCCAAGCAAGTATATCGCCGGTGTGTCTCTCGCATCGCAGATTGGCCTCCTAATCGGCGCTGCCGTCTGGGGATTCTCTGCCGATATTATCGGTCGCAAACTGGCGTTCAACTCGAGTCTCTTGATCTGTGCAACGTTCGTGCTCATTGCGGGCGGCATGCCCAACTATATCTCCTTTTGTGCTATGTTTGTCATAACCATCGTCCTTTTATTCCTATGATGTACTAACCAGTTCAGGGTTGCCATATATTCGGCTGGCGCAGGCGGGAATTATGTTCTGGACGCGACAAACTTCCTCGAGTTCCTTCCAGTGTCCCATGCCTGGCTCGTCACCTTCCTCGCCGTGTGGTGGGCTGTTGGATATACGATAACTGGTCTATTAGCATGGGCATTTATGAGCAATTTTAGCTGCGATCCTGATGCCACTGTTGCTGAATGCACCAAAGCAGATAACATGGGCTGGAGATACCTCCATATTGCCTGCGGGGGGTTGGTACTCCTTACGAGTATCCTGCGCCTTGTTGGCATTAAAATGGCAGAAACGCCCAGGTGGCTAGCCAGTCAGAACCGCGACGAAGAGCTATACAAGGTTCTTCTTGACTTATCAGAAAAATACAACCGCCCGATGACATTAAAGCTAGAGGATTTGCAATCCCAAGGCCGTGTCGGGGGAACAGAAAAATCCGTCTGGTCGGGTCTGCGACTTGCAAGCCATTTCACGGGTCTATTCAGCACAAAGAAACTGACTTACTCAACTATCATGATCATTATCAACTGGCTATTTATAGGGACAGTCTCTCCTCTGTACAGTGTTTTTCTACCATACTACCTCAAGTCCCGCGGAGCAGACACCGGAGACGACTCAAACTACACAACCTGGCGGAACTACGCCATTAATCAAGTCGCCGGCATAATCGGACCTATCATTGCCGCAGTCCTCGTTGAGACTCGACTAATCGGGCGCCGACGAACCCTCGCCATCGGTGCAGCAATCACAACGGCATTGCAGTTCGGGTACACCCAGGTTACAACTCCTGCACAGAATTTGGGCCTCTCGGCAGCCATCACTGCGGCGTCGAACATCTATTATGGGACTATCTATGCTTATACCCCAGAGATCCTGCCGAGTGCTCATCGAGCAACGGGATATGGTCTTTGTGTTGTATTAAACAGAGTGGGTGGGATTATTGGCGTTTTGGTGGGCAGTTATGCCGACGTCGAGACTACTGGGCCGTTGTTTGTGTGTGCTGGGTTATATGCAGCGTTGATAGTGACGAGTTTGTTATTGCCGTTTGAGAGTCAGGGGAAGCGCGCAGTTTAAACAAGGATTGAACTGCAAGTCAATAGTTGAGGTAATACCAATGACTTCGCTGTCCTATGCTTCTAGGCAAAGTTCCTTCTCCACTAGTTTACCAAATACTCGTCACGTAGCTGACCCACGGCACTGAGCGGCGAGTAGATTCCAATCTCTAGATTAGCCCACCTAGTTATTATTTGCTTTGCTAAAGATAGCATATGTGTAGTGCTGGGCACTGCCGAACATTCATCTACACTCGCTCTCCGTTTTAATTGACAGTGTATTGTTCCTAATCGATCACCAAGCCCAGGATACACCCATAGAAATATGCTGGCAGGACGTCTACAGTAATAACATCTATGCCAGTAGAGATACTCGTAGTAGTCATATCTATTACGTACAAAGACATTTCTATTTTATAACCAATCCTTTTGTTATCGTTCCGCATTCATATCTACAGCGAACTACCAAACGCCCCCGTCGCATTCCCGGCCTCTGAATCCCACCAAGGCTCGATATCCTCTAGACTCGGCAGCGCGACTTCGTCCCCGTCAACTTCTGCGTTTGGATTCGCATCACCCATGCGGAATGCAGAGGCCGCAGCAGTCGTACTATCCGTGATGTTATCGGGGAGAATACCTAGATCGGAGTCCCGGATCCATGAGTCAATGTCGCTGTGCTGTGCCGGGTTGAGGTTAAGGCCGGTCGTCGTTGTTGTTGGGAGATTATGGGGTCGGCCTTGAGTTTGAAGATTGGTGCGTTTAATGTCAAAGTCCGCAGATAATCCTCCTCCATTCGTGGTCTGTAGTTCTGGGGGGGTTGTGGGTAGGGAGAAAGAAGCTGAGTGGTTGTGTCCCTTTGCTGACGCGCTGACTCTGGTCTTCTTACAGGTGGCCGAGGAGTCTCGGTGGATTGCATTTCCTGCGGACTCTCTTGTATTAGAAGGTTGAGCTGGCCGGTGGCTACTAATCTGGCGCTTCATAGCTCCCGAGCGGCGCATCCTCGCCTGCCAGCGTCGCTGGAGACTAACAAGGAAATCGCGGGTGCGTTTGGCGTTTTCGAACGACTGGCCGAGCTCGTCTAGAGCGCGGAAACAGAGGTTCAGATAGGCGACCATTTCGGTGCTTTTGTCCATGAGTTGCTCAAGGCCTGTTCTGCTGGCGAGCGGGGTGGAAGAGATTGTGACGTAGAGGAGGATGAGAGCGGCGCTGAAGATCATGGAGACGACCTGGTTGTTCATGCGGCGGAATGTGTAGTGCTTCTCATAGATGTGGAGAAGCCGCGCAATTGCGATTGAGGACTCTATGCACATTTTACGCGCGTGGTGATAGCCTGGGCCTTGCCGAGGGCTGCGTGGTTGGATGTAGCTCTTCGAAACCCAGGGGCGGTGGGTGAAGATGACAATTTGGTGGTATTGGAGGCTGATTAGCGTTAGTTAGGTCTATTTGGAGCTATTTTATGACATACTGTAGCATGAGGAGGTGAGGCAGGATAGGCGTTGTGTCATCTGCAAGGTCGATGTCAAGGCGGGAGGGTAGGTTGGCTTTCCAGGCAAAGAGATCATCCGTCACTCTGTGGCAGAACCTTTGCAGTTCATGGCGCGGAATGTCGGAACATCCATATCTAGAAACGTAAGTCCTCTGCCAAACAGTTCCAATAGGTAGACATACAGAACATGTCCGAGAGGGGATATTATCTCCCAAAGCACGGCGAATTGCCGGCTAATCAGTTCATTAGGGTTCTTCAGCGCTCCATCAAATCCTTCTTGGTCTGTGGGTAGACCATAGGGACGCCATGTGTCTTCTTTTCCGACAGTTAAGCCCGATGCGGGCTTAGGGACGGTGATATCTCCGGCATTCATTCGGAACGGCCGTCCAAGGTAGAAGCCCCAGAAGCTATCCACCGTCAGAAACTGCATTTGAATATTAAGAACATTACTTACTGGTCTGCAGTGTAGCTTCCCCAGAAAGCTATTCGCCGCACATCGGCTTCGAAAGCACTCATGTCTCCTTTCTCTACATATGGTGTCATATCCAGATGTAGTCCGAGATCGAATGCAAGCCTCATAGACATGCCACTGTAGAGCCAACCTCGTGCATCACGGTTTGACGCACCTTCATGGCAGCTCATAATCACAAGCGCCTGCACTGTGGCGACACATGGAGAGTCCAGCTCAATTTCCAGCAGCGCCTTGGCTCTGTCCGCGAAGAATTCTGAGAGTGACTTTGGGAATGTAATAAACGTGGGGTGGTATCGAGCCTCAAAGGCACTTCCAACAGCACACCTGTTGTCGGGTTAGCGCCAGTTAAGGTGGGAGCTTCGAGCAGCATACATAGCGTTGGTTAGCACTTCAGAGTAAAACGGTGTATCGTCTAGCTCCTCTCTCCAATTCTGCCTGGCAGTGTAGTACATCTCCTTGTCAACAACATACGTACTGCAGTTCTGCCAAGTAAAATAGAGCTCCAAGAGATGGTCCTCGAGGGCCTGGTCTACCGACTGTCCAACGCGCAAGTGGTTTAGGATATCCTGCCCATCATAGCGAACAGTCCGAGCATCCGGACGCTGGCGCTGTTGCGTCGCAGACACATCGACAAGGTTGAGGTTTGATGTCGCGCCGTAAAATCGTAGATGTCCATCGCCTGCAATTTTCAACGTCCCGATCCGATGGGAAATCTGTTCAATAACATCTTTCTCCGCTTCGTTTTCCTCACCGCTGTCGCTGTCATCATCTCTGCTGTTCTGGGCCTGTTCGAGAAGAACACCCGGCTGCTGCGCTATGTCTTGAGACAAGTGCAGACTGTCCGGGCTGAACCCATTCTCAGGGGATGCCTGGTACCCGCCACTCATATTTGCGTATAGAGAGTCCAAGCTCTCTGCGGTCGGAAGGGCAAATTCCCAACTCGTCTGAGGAAACTGGAAACCAAACGGAATCATTGTCTCCTGGTTAGCTACGGTTGCATTCTCAGTAGGCAGGACATTTTGCGACGGCAAAGCTTCGGAAAGGTTCCCGTTCGCAGCATAATTCCTATTATACGCAGGTATGGGAAGCGGGCTGTCTGCAGGTGGCTGAGGCCCAGGCGTAGGTACAGCACTCAGAGGTTCTGACGTTGGAGAATACTTTCTCTTCGGCACTCCACGGGGTATTTGCAATGTGTCCAGAACCCGATTGATTCCCATTTCGTCCTCGGTCTTCATTGGCGGCGGCTCGAAGCCATTGTCGTAAATGAATTGAACAAGCTGGTCAATCCTAGCGGAGAACAGCTCTGTCGCTGCGCGTAATGAGACTCTGATTGCAGGAACGGTCAGCTCTGTGGCAAGCGCTCCAGATTTTTCTCGATAGGTCATCGAGGACCACACGGTCGGCCTCCCATGGAAGCTCTGAAAAGACAAATGCAGCTTTCTCGCATCGGGTTATGCCAGCAAGCAATAAGAACAAGATTGCGCGACGTACTTCCGTTTGTCGTCCCCATGCTGGTATTTACATTGTTTTCCTTTCCTCTGGCAGTTGTTGCAGTGTGGGGATGCGCCGTCGCACTAGGATCGCAGCAACTTCGTCAGTATTGAATTTTTTTTTCTCTCTTTATTTTTAAGTAAATCAATAGAGAGGCGTACCCTGATCTTGCTCTCCCGACAAGGAACACAGGCGGTGGTGACGTGCTTTCTAGGAGGACGCTTGGTCTTCTCCGACTCGGACGGCATGGTGAGAACCGAACTCGGGATGGATGAGCAAAGCAGAAAGAGAAGATAAAATCAATCAGCCAAAGTCAACAAAGCATTGATTGAAAGCAAGCATATCCGGGACAATATTCATGGGTATGACAATGGAAAGAATGCTGTTGGCGGACTAAATCGAGGCGGGGGGCGGACAATGTCCGGGGAAGAAATTATATATAGAAGATTGACAATCGGCGCGGGCTCCCTCAATTCAAAAGATCGGTCCGACTGGGGAATCTTGCCCCTCGTAGAGACGTCCCGCTGCGCCGTCCAATCATACGCTCCCCCACGCCTCCGCCAGCCTTGCGCAGGGTAAAAAACCCCGCCCCTCCATCACCTGACCTGGTCTTGTGCCTGCTGGGGCTGAAAATGCTTCACCTTGTGCTTGATAGGGGTAATACTCCTTCTAGAATGGAAGAAAGACAGGCAGACTATAGTCTGGACCATCTTATCTTATTTCGATCCCTGCTTTTAGTCTCTACTTTCGGTGTCAGGCCCTCCAGCTGGGGACGCCGACAACATGCCCGATTAGGTAGAATACTACATACGGCAATGAGCCCCTCGGGGGCCGAAAGTTGCAACTTCAAGCATAAACTTAACATTAAACAATCTTGGCCTCAGCTCAAAGTATAGATCTGAATACAAAATTACTGGGTCTTGAGGACACCATCCTCCTCGACGCGCTCAACGTGGGGGTGGCTGTCGAGAACCTGAGCGGACATGGCGGAGACTTCAGGGAGCTCGACTCTATTAAGGGTATCAGATTAGTTTACTCCTAGTCATCACTGTAAGTATAGAGGAGGCCTGGCACATACGCAATCGCCCTGATAAGAGTGTATTCGTGGGTGATGTTGCCTCCACTATCGCGGATCTGATCCTTGACCCTTCGATAATGTTAGCATACGCTCATCTCTAAAATGTGACCAAACCATACTGTTGAACGGTGTCCTCGGGCGAGTCACGCTTAAAAGAAACCTGATTTCAATATGAGTTTGGTTCTAGATGATTTCTCGAGAGGTTAGGAAACAAACGATGTATTTCGGCATTTTGTTTACGGCGGAGAACGCAAGTTTGGAACGCGAAGACTGGCGTGAGAGCGGATAGGATCAACAGTAGTCTGTATAATTAGGAACCAGGTTCTCGTGCAATCTCCTGGGCACTGGCGGCTTTTGTATTTTCTGGGCTGGTGGCGTGTAGGTTGCAGCTGAAACTTGTCCTGGCAACCCTCCAAGCCCCAAGCTGACGAGTTGCCCCTCATCGGATCCCAAGGTCGCCCATACGTCATCGCGATAATCCGGAGATGGCCCGAGATGGTGAGATCCTTCATGAAATTGGTTAAACTACGGATGCAATACTTCACCAAAATTGCTAATATTTTGCTAAAATATGGCCACTAATCGTTGTTTTATGTACTGAACTAATTAATTTCTGGATCACCAGTTGCTAGTGCGCTTCAGAGTCTCGTTCTGAATCACCTCGATCCAGTAGTCATCAGGATCAAGGATAAACGCAACGTTCTTCATCCGTCCATCCGTTAGGCGCTTCTTCCAGTTGACGTTCAAGCCTTCGAAGCGCTCGCAGGCGCCATTCAGATCGTCCACGGAGATACCTAAATCTATGTCAGAAATGTATGGCCAGGTAAATTCTGACGTCAACTTACAGATGTGGCCAAATCCCTGAGGTTCATTGTTACCGTTGTGGTAAACCTGGCCCTCCTGCTTCTCAGTGCCGTAGTTCCACGTCAATTCGAGCAATCCTTCCCATTCAGCAACCGGGTTCCTAGCACCCTCGGCCACCTTGGCGTTCGAAGCGGGGTATCCCAGGAAGTATAGGTTGAACCCAGCATCCTTGTTCTCGTTGGTCTTCAAGAGGGTCATGCCCATGACATCCTGGTAGTATTTCAAGCTCTTCTCTGCGTCCTTCACACGGAGCATGGTGTGGTTTAGGCGGTAGGTGCTAGGGTCCGTGGTAGTGTTGTAATCCTCATCCTTGCGGCGGATAATCTCGACCCAGTATCCATCGGGATCCTTCACAAAGGCAATGTGCCTCATACGACCCTCGGTAAGCTTCTTCTGGAATTGGTATCCAGCGTCCTCGAGTCTCTTGCAGGCCTGCTCGATGTTGTCGACGGAGACGGCGAGGTGCCCGAATCCACGGTGGGGTTCTGTGTTGCCGTTGACAATGCTGTAGTTGGGGTCACTCTCGGTGCCGTGGTTGTGGGTGAGCTCGAGGACGGCATGACGGTCTGTCCAGTGACGGTCGCCCTGTAGCGACTCGGGTCCGTTGTAGGCGAGGAAGTAGAGAGAGAACTTGTTTTCGGGGAAGTCTAACTGCTGGACTTGGTTCAGGCCTAGGAACTTGTAAAACTCAACTGAAGAAGGCAAAGCCCAGTCCGTCAGTGCTATGATCACAATTGTTTTGATTTGCGATACTCACCCGATCGCTTTGGGTCCTTGACCCGAAGCATGGTATCTATGGGAAAATAACAATTCCATTGTCAGCTACAGTTGCGCACTGCACAGGTAGCAATACTAACGGTTGAGTTTGTAAGTGGACGTGTCGGTCGCCATTGTCGCGAGATATCTATTTGTAGCTATGCTCACTATGTCAGCGCTGCGATTGGCCCAAGCGGGGAATCTGTGACGAATGAAGCTTCAGATGACGAACCTGGTAGGATGGAAAATCTTGGGTTGAGGACCCTGAGGAAAGAGGTAGGCAGGGAGAAGAGGGTGCGTTTTCCGAGCATGGAGGAGGGGCAATGGGGAATTGTATTAGTGAGCAGTTGAGGAGAAACGCCGCAGTGGAAGTCGTGCGGGTGGGGTGCCTGCCTATGACGCTATTCCGCCTAGAGCAAATCTACTCCGACATCAGCTTAAAAGTTGTACTGAACGACATAACGGTGTCGGTAGGTTTACACCTTGTAGAGAGAATAAATCTACTACAGCTCCTGGGCAAATGACGTTATGAAAGGAGGGTTTGAAAATGAATGTCTAATAAAATAGGTCTAGTATGTTTTATGGAATCATACTATTCGCTCTTGTAAACACCGGTTAACGGTTGGCAATTCTTCTGTTTCTTATATACCAGCACCCTTATAAGTAATTATTGAAGAAATGGAGAGTTTTATTCATTTCCTTTTACTTTCCTTCAGTCAATGCCATGACCGCGCCGCGCCATCTGTATCAGCTGCGTGGATCATGCAGCCTCGTGGTAAGGAGAAAGAGGGGCCATGGCCCCCTCGAATGCCAACTTTTTCCTAACTGAACCAACTTTTTCCTATCTGAAGGTTCTAGAGTCCGCCCCGCAGTATTGCTGCATCCAAGCATGACAGGCCTTCTGAGCATTACCCCCAGTATACTCTGCGAGCTATTGATTAGCAACAAAGTCACGAACTACATCTGCAATCCCGAAGACTTCTCGAACCAGTGTCAGAAAGTACCAAGCCAGCTTTCACTATTGACAGGCTGCCTTACCATCCTGAAAATCAATACCGAGAAGATGCAATTACCACCAAAAGCATTTTTGTCACTCTGTACGGAAGATCGGTTGGTGAACGGTCTCTAAGACATAACTATAGAATAGGTTGCAGCCTGGTGGGTATAAGAATATTCTTGTTCTTATTCTTCAGAGTGAATATGCAGGTCAACCTGCCCTATTCTTCCTTCTTTGCGTATTCCAAGCTGATATTCCGGTAGTTCCTTGCCAGCTGCAATCCAAAACAACGTCACAACTCTACGCGAATAACAAGAGACGCCACCAAAGCCAGAAAACGCTCGAGACACTCAGCTGGCTGTCCCCATTGAAGGCGATCGCGACTCATTCCGACATCTTCAGTCGATATCAAGAAGGGAGGCTGCATGGTTCAGGAAGGCGAACGTTATAAGGCCTCAAGATTTGTTTGGTCGGTAAACGTGAATGTAATTCCCATATCAATATCCTTGATATAGTAGTTCATCGAGACTGATTGTGCGAAGCTGATACAGGGAAATGCGTCCTCAGTTCCGGCGAAGCTCATCCCCTGTTTCCTCCGCTGTCTATCCTCGATGCAACTGGCCTGGACCTGGGAGATAGTCGTGTTAGCGAAAAACATAGCCTTTGATGCATGATCAAGGTTGGCAAATTGGTCTTGCTCATTGATTTCGTAATTTTCGACGCGGCCTCTGCTGAGCCTTGGAGGATGTTGTGCCCGCTGGATTTAACAGACATTTTCGTGTCAGATGCCGGCCCGAAAAGCGAGGCTCCGGGATGACAAAAAGGACGAGCTTCTACGCTCCTCTGGCAGATGATATGTTCACTCTCTGAAGAGTGAGCCATGCGTAAGTGGCTCCTATCCGTTGGCTGATGCGAGGTCCTTTCGAGAGGGGGACAGTCGTAGTTAACAAAGTCCACCGGTGATTATTACAAACCTTCTGTAGTAATAACCCTACGTTGGGTAGCCCTGCACATGCGGCCATGCATCTTTGAAAAATCTTAAATGGGAACTTAGTCATTCACCCCAAAGCAGACTCGACGGGAATGGACAGGGGTCTCAGGATAACTTTCCCTGAGCGTCCACCTCGAGCCCACGTGCGCCCATAAAGCCCGATTAGGAAATGGACGTGGGAGGGTCCAACTCCACACTGACACCAGCACCTTTCCCTATCCAGGACCTTGTGATGAGGTCTTGAGCCCCCCAGAGCGTTGGAAGAACCTAATTGCGCTGTTATATGCAGATTCTGCTGCGATTCAGAAGATATGGATCCCGCATTATGGGTCCCGCCCCCTGGTGAGTTGGTGATACGCATAGTAATTTGCAAGGTTGCATTCTTCATGTCAGTTGAAGTTGGGTGGATATGAACTAAAGGGTTCGCCCGTCCCGTTCCAGGATCCTTGAGCAGTGGTGGTTCCTGGATACGAGCAGACAAACTTCTCACAGGCGGTCCAGGCTCGAGCAGCTGCTTCTCTGTTCAAGACCCTACCAGCATCCTCCCAGCTCGGTCCAACGTTAATTGGGAACCTTAGCGCCATCAAGAGCAGGTTCAATGGCCCATCTTCACAGTTTGACATTGAAGTGGTAATACGAACTATACCAGACTGAGAAAAGGTTGGCGTGACCCGACAAAGAGGAGGGACGGCAGGCAGAATATAGGACACAGAAAAAAGAAAACATGCGTCCCGACAACTGAGAAAAATAGCTCACGGCCGAGACTCCGCATTTTCAGGCTTTCATGTAACATAATCTCCCGGATACTGGAGACTGGTCTTGGGTTCAGTCGTTTAAACTCGCGGCAGTCACGGATAGCAATTAAAGCAGATGGAGATCGAGCCTGGGCGGCGAGTGACGCGCAAAGCAAGGGGAGAACTCAAAGTTCCAAATTCTTATGCTTTTGTGCTCAGATCCTCAACGCGACTGGCGTTATTGGACGAGAAATACGCCGGGCTGACGGTAACAGTCATGGTGACTCTTTTCCGTGAGTAATACGACGCTTAGCTCGGCAGTCTACTTGTATGATTAGCTTTGCCTCGAGGGCTGTTGCGCGTGTTGAATCAATACGTAAGATTGAATTGGGTGAATCATACGTTGACTCTGATCGTCGTGACTGAGTTGTTCGGTGTGTGTAGGAAGAGTGTTGGTCCGTTTGGCTGCTTGTATGCAGTTGTTAAAGCAGCACTGGGCTATTCCGGAAGCGGTTACCCCACGCAGTCAGCTCGCTCTCCCTCGTCCAACAGCTTCGGTCTCCGCAGTCTTCGGTATACGTCCTCTTCTGACGTCCACTGCTCCTTCATCTGCCGCCAACTGCAGTAGCCCTTCTCTTATTGTTGCGCTGACTCGGTCCATCCTCTGACAGGCTGCAAGGTTCGTGGATCTTTCTCTGTTTCCCCGAGCTCTCCCACTCGGGATCGACTCGCCTTCGCACGACACATGAATTGCTACCCGTTTGAGTTTCGCCTTGACTGTTTATCTTTTTAATTCTTATTTGCTTTTTTGCTTTTTTGCCTTTCCTGTTGTCTTTCTTTGTATTTTCTCATTTCTCATTCGACATTCTCCTCGATACCCAAGTCAACTGTATGGAGCTCTCCGCCCCCCACCCAAGCCTTCTCCCCACGCTCTTAAAACGCCTCACTGCCTGAGTCGTGTGCGTCTGTCAATTTTTAGCCCGTTTGACCACCTCAGGGATGATCATGAGCCTGGATCTTGCATGGCGCGCTCCGTGCTTATCCCCTGACTGGGGAAGAGAAAAGGGCCGTCTCTCCCGGCTTCTTGTGTATCCATCGTGCCACTCTTACTCCCCTTGACATTTGAGTTGGCTGTTGGCTGTCGATTCAGTACCATCATCTGCCTGACTGCGTACTCTTTTCTGCCTATGTTGCCAATGACATAAACCTTATTGTTCTTGTTCTGCCTATATCATATTCTACTGCCTCTCTTCTTCGTGCCGGCCCTTCCATTCTTATTCTACTCATATACTCTGCCCGAGAGCAATATGGCTGAATTCAAGCATCCAGTTAACACTGGTTTCTCCCAGAAACCAAGCATCTTTGACGACCCTCACTATCGTCCTTACTGGGCTCGCCGTGAAGTCCGATACGCGCAGGACCTTCTTGACTATTCACCTGACCCCATCGAGTACGAACACGACGACAAAGACTACTGGGACAACCACTTTTTCTTCCCCGAAGACTGCTCGTGGTCCCCTCCCAAAGACTGGGATATTGATGACAACACCTCCGAAGAAGATATCGCCGCTGGAGAGTGCTACGATCACCACGACGCCACCATGATACCCGGTCTACCCGATATCAAAATGCTCGATGCGGAGGCCCTCTCCGATCTGCTAGAGGACAACCTTTCACCGCCAGAAATCACCTCCATCTTGTACGTACTCTTGTGCTCTACCCCGGCGATCTTACTGACAGCGTACGCTAGCGTCTTTGCCACCAATGGGGCCATCTTCGCCTACTCCTCCCCTCTCCCATCCAGGCAGCTACGTAACCTGAGTGCTACCTATGGCGCTGCTTATACGTGCTACGCAAAGAACGCTTCCAGCGGTAATCTTACCGGTGTAAACCCCGCCAGCCATCCTTCATCATATGTTACAGCCCAATCCGTATCACTGGGCGACGTAGGCTCGATTGTCTTCGAGCTCGACGACCTAGTCGCCGTCGTGACCAAAATCGCAGACAAGGTCCTCCTTGCCGCCGTCGGTCCATCAAAGCCAGCGGATGTAGTTACAGAAAACCATAACCCAAATAATGTCTCAACGTCCAAACCAGGCTCTCCATCATCCGGACCAGACGCGCAACCAGAGTCCTCACACGCCCCGGCATCAGGGAACGCCAGTGAATCCACATCCAACCCTCAAACCCCAGCAAATGGCACCATCGCCCCGCACAACACCAACCGCACATCCACCCCAGTCAACGCCAGCGGCTACATGACAGAAACGCAACTCGCATCACAATACGAAGTCGACCGAAGCCGCGACCTCGATCGCCTAGCAAGCCTCAACCTGTCAACACCGCCATCTACACTCCTCGCCCTGGAATCCAAATCCGCGGCCCTAGGCCGGTTCCTATCCCAAAAGCTTGAAGACCTCGAGAGTCCGGAAGATTTTTAAACCAAACCCATTACAACCGCCACCACCCTTCTCATGATGAGGAAAGTTTTTCCGCATACCCCTGTACATGTCACCCCCAACTAAGCGCAACATCCTATCCACCTACGTCACGTCGCGTTGCGTCGCGTTACGCCACGCCACCAAATCAATGAGAGTTACTTTGCATGCTTGAAGCAAATTATGTGAAATAAGCCATGTCATGTACTGTACGACTTCGATCTGAATTTTCTTTTTGCTTGCCTACCTATCTACCTAAGGTATGTCTTTGAGCCACGTATCCATTCAGTGTGCCTTTGATGCATCAATTATGTCACTGTCGTCGTCATCATCATTGTCACCACCGTCGCATCCACTTTCGGCGTGTTTGTTGGCTGTTTCTTGGTTTGTTATTGACAGCTTGGTTAAGTATACTCATTCTAACAAGGCATGAATAAATACGTTCATCCCAGGGTAAAGTTATAAGTAGTCACTGGTTGTAAGTGAACGTTTAAAATTTCAACGGAATATATACATACGTCTTGAAACAATGTCTGCGTTTATTGCAAATGTTAAATTTTGTAAGTATGCCAAAGGCATCACAACATAAGGCTTGGCAGAGACAAGACAGGGATATAAACTGAGATATAGGGGAGGGAAAATGTGACAGAAATAAAGCATTAGAATATATCAATCAATTAATCAGAACAGTATAATATATATAATATAGGGTAAATATATCAAGAGAAGTAAAAGAAAATAAATAAATGTGATGTGCGTTTTGAATCATTAAGTTTGAATAGAGACATGACACCGAAATCAGGACTTCTCTGAGGGTCCCTCCGCGGTCTTCTCCGCGGTCTTCTCCGCGCCCTTCTCCGTCTTCTCTGTAACAGGAGAAGGAACCTTTTCAGCAGCACTGCCTGTCGTAGCAGTGGTGTCAGTACGACTGACGGCCGGCGGGGAGATGGGGCTCGCAGCGGCGGATCCGTTTTCGTATGCCGGGGGTTGAGTAGCAGAGCCCGGGGATGCTGCGCCGGGACTAGTTGGGGATGTAACGGGGGACGCAGTGGCAGCAGCAGCAGCGGTGGTTGTAGCGATGGGGGAGTGAGCGGTCTCCTTGATGACGTTGATCCATTCCTTTGCGTCACTTGAGGAGTTGGCCTTGAAGACAAACTCGGTATTTGTCTTGAAGGCGTTACCGACGACATTTCCGGAGACGTCCTTGCCCTTGATGGTAAAGGTGTTCTTGACTTCGTCGATCGAGACGACGGTACAGTCGGGGAGGTAGAGGGAGATCTCGGGTTCAGGGTCCTTGCTGAAGTCATCGTTGTCCTTGAATTCGTGCAAGTATCGGGCGTGGGTTACGACGTAGTAGAAGCTGGTGAATCCCTTGAGAGCCATGCGGGATTTCCGTTGCAGTGTACCCTGGATAACCGGTTCCGTAGTGGGGTGGTCCTGGTGAGGGAAGGTGATGTTGGCGAGGGATCTCGGCGGAGCATCCGGGTCGACAAGGGTCGCGTCGTTCCGGGTAATGAAGTTCACCCACTCGAACTCCGGTGGGATTCTCTGAAGATTGCCCAAGATGTCACTGTACATTCCCTTGTGGCGGTCAGTCTGGCCAGTGATGAAGACGACAAGCTGCTCCATGGCAGCCTGGACGGTCTGCAGCACATGGGCTTCGAATTGCTGGAAGTTGTTCTGCACCGCAATGATTTCCTGTCGGTTGTTGTTCTCTTCGATGACCTGCTTGTTCAGACGGTGATTTACACCGCGACGAACAAGATAGGGGTCGTGAGATGTCTCCAACTTGTTCCCGGAAGCCGAATCCAGCGCAGCCGTCTGCTGGCCAAGAAGATCAATATGCTTCTGGGTAATACTTCGAGCCTTCTCAACAGCCTTCGCGCCCTTGGAGGCACCAGTCTGCAGCTCCTTCGACTTGGCCTTGATCTCCTTGTGGAGTCTCTCCAGCGTCGGAAGCACAGAGCTCTTAAGGTTCTTCTCTCCATCAGCGTACAGGTTAATCATTCCCTATATCATTAATTAGCACCTTGAACCCCCCATATCGCAAAAACGTCAGTCGTATGATCATACCTGAGTGTTTGCACGCATATTCTCAAAGAACGAAGAGACGCCGCCCGCACTCTGCGAGAAATGGTGCCCCTCTTTCAGTGGCTCGTTGACCGTCTAAAGCCGTCCAAATCAGTATTCAAGAACGAAAAAGAAAATGGCCGATGGTCAACAAACCTTTAAAACTTTCTCATAATCCTTTGACATTCCCTTCTGCACCCGGGCCGTCACAGAGACGTAATCTTCCAAGTATCCGCACATGTGCTTCCAGGCACGAAGACGCTCGACGAGGAGGTTGGTAGTCTAGAACCAGTATGCAGGGTTAGCATGGTCCATGAAGCGTTATTCGGGTTCTTGCGAGTACATGCCTCATTGCTATCAGAACCAGGAATCGCCTCATCGTCACTCATAGAAGCACGGCGGTAAGTGCCCGTGCTCACAGTCCGCAGGGTATTGGACCGGGTTGGAAGCTTCGATTCCACCGGACTCGAAGTAGCCGACATTGTTGCGGAATATCACGGAAACGTGCGTGGCTAACTGTTCTCGCAGAGGTCGACTGAGATTGAAATATGGAGGTATTAACGTGGGATATTAAGCCACAGTGCACTAAACGTCTGGAGGTGTTTGGGGGGAAAGGGGGAAGAGTCGGAGCCACAATAACAACTCCAAGAAAACAATCAAGCCTAGCTTAGCAGCTTCCGTTGCTTTCCTAAGGCCTGGCCGGTTAAGGCGCTCTTAAGATGCTCGCCAAGTGGAGGGGGTGGGTCGTTGCCGCCCAACCAGGGAGAAGGAAGGAGGGTGAGATTTTAAGAATAATATAGATATAGAAAGGAAAACAAGACAGAGGAGGGGTTGGTAAGGACAATAAGAGGTACTTTCAGGGACAATAGAAAAAACACGAGACAGCGAAGGAATCAATTTAAATGAAGGGAAAATATGATGCAAACGTCCAGGCTTTGAGTGACGATCGAGGAGGGGCTCCTCACCGCCTTAGCCATTGACGCCATCAATTCGCGATCTCCCTCACCTTATCCCGATCTGGAAATTCGACAGCTGGAACTTGGCATTGGCCAATGCCCAACTTCAGGGTCCATTGGCTAATCTTTCTCCAGGTGTGGCTGTGTTGTCCGGATCGACGCCCTTCTCCTTGCTTCGCTGGTTCCCTTGAAGTCCCTTTTGTCTCGATTTGGAAGACAGATCGGGATTCGGGAAAGTTCTACTGATGTGGCTGCGGGTGATGAACAGTGCGTTAGGAAGGATCTTCGGGTTGCCAGGGGCTCTTGTTCAGCGCAGTTCCGAGCGTCGAGGTTTTGGATAGCAGTAGAAGACATGACGGTGAGTTGAAGCATTGCTCATGAAACAGCATCCGTCCGGTTGTATCCAGTAGTTTTGCATTTGAGACCTTCTCCTAACGTCGTCATCGGACAAGTCAATGATCATCACCAATAATAGGAAGTAATACAGAGCTAGACGCCTATGAATCAAGATGAAGATAAAATAGAAAGTGGAAATTCCAATGCTTTATGACATTATATCTATTGACGTAACTCGTTTAACCCATTGTCATCACTTTTATTATCATGATTTCCGTTCCTATAACCCACCCGTCTATGTAAAACGCCAGTCAGACCTCCATAATCTCAGGAAGGAGTAGCTTCATCTTTGAAGATCGACATGCTGCAGGAATATAAATACAAATAAAGAAAAGCCCGTGGGCGATTTTATCGAAGAGGAGTTTAGGAGATTCTATAAACAAAGGTAAACAGCGTCCCGCGCTGAAAGAGTTTCGGTCGTAATGGTGTAGCCATGAGAGGTGTAGATCAGCTTCGGCTGTCGGTAGTATAATGGCTTCAAAACGTGCCGCTGGAAATGAGGCGGCGGGTATATGTTTCGCAGGCACAAATTATCGCAAGAAAGAAACAGTTATTGTAGTTGTTTTCGCGGGAATAAGTTCGATGTCTAGGCCCTGCCCCTCGCTTGATTTAAGCGAACTCTACGCTCGTCGTCGGAATGACTTTGTGAGCGAGAGTGGAGGAAATGAGGCCGGTGGAAAAAGTCCATAGGGGCACTGAAAGGAGAGTCGGTCCCACGACCAGCACCGCGTACATGTGCCTGCTGGGGCGACTGTGGTGTCGACGTAGTAATGTCCTGGGCGACAACGGCTTGATAATCTGGCAAATCATTGTCGTGCGGCCGTACAGAAGAACGGACAGCGGTGGAATAACTCGGAACGCGGCTGAGAGTCTCCAGTTCCGAATAGTGCGGGTGAAACGGTGTTGCCACTCCGGAGGGCAGAGGCTCAGGGTCAACTTCGTCGGAGGGCCGTCGCGGGAGTTCTGGGCTTCCAGGGCTTTGGGTGTTGGATCCTGAGTGAGCTCCTGGTTCCGAAGTGACGCCAAGATTCTCAGGCTCGGAAGGAGAAAGTCGATTGGGCGTGTGCACATCTAGATTTACCAAACGGTTGTGCAACGCGGAAGCGGAGATGTCGGTGTTGGTAATTGCATTCATCGAGGCGAGGTTCTCGGCTGAGAGATTCCGGCTGAGTGTGCCAAATGGAGTGCCTGGGCCGCTTCCGGGGCCGGGTGTTCGGTAGCCAGAAGGGTCGACTTCGCTGTACAACTGGTCAAACTGGTGCTCTCCGTACAAAGGAGGCGCCTGCTGGGCAAGGTCGTTGATCGCTCTTTCGGCCGTTTGAGGTGCTGAGTCAACGAGGTTGTTGTTGTCGTCAATCGCGAGGTTCGGGGAGATGAAGATCGAGACGGGCAGAGTGGCTCGTAACTGAAAACAGCCGTTAGCACACCTAAAAGGTTCAAAAAGATAATTCTTCCATACCTCGCTAATATGGCCGTCAGGATTGAGTAGTTGAACTCTAAACTTCAACTTGTGCCGAATTTTGATTCCTCTTGTATCTGTATCTTGCAGGCATCTTGTCAAGGTCTTGGGCAAATCCAGCACGCGAGAAAACTGATAGCCCTCGGCCGCCTCATCAATTATTTCCAGGTGGTTGTCTCCATCCAGCTGGTGTTCGTCGTTAATTATCGTCCTAGTAGTTTTGTAAGTATTGCGAATCGAATCCGGGTCTTCTGGGTTGAGGGTGAGGTCGTGTGTTTCGACTAATTGCGAAATGATCTGCCCAATTCCGAGACCCTTCAAGAGAGGGATCAGTTTGAAGTCAACGCGGATGCTCGTGCCGAAGATGACCGCCTTGGTGGGCGTGCTAATAGAGTACTCGATTTTGTTTGGCCAGATGTTTTCGACCGACTGTGAAATGGTGTCAGCGCATGTGATCAGCATGCCGAGGATATACAAGGTCCACAAACCATGGCGTGAGAAAGCTCCAGCGCGCTCGACTCCAGGGTGCGAATGATACGGAGGGGCCTCCGAACGATAATGTCCTTTGCGTACTTGCGACCGATTTCTGCTTTGAAGCGGTAGGTGACATAGGTATCCGAGAGACCCTCGACGCTCTCCGGCATCGAGCCTTCCAAGATAATCTCGAAGGGGTATTCGTAGTTGCCCGCGGGGAGAATTTCGGTCTTGCTCTTGCCAGCATCTCTGAATCGCCATGTTTTCTCGTAAAAGACGCGCTCTCGCCAATTCTTGCGCCCGCCGCCTGCGGATGTCGAGGGGAGGTGCCAACTAATGCACGTTTGTCGTCAGCAGGCCATTGCAGGACCCTTGCCGCATACCCGGCGGATAAAAATCCTGGAAGGGGCCAATTACTCACCAGACACGCGAGATACCCGTCAAATGCAGGCGAATATGCTTGATAGAAATCGGTTCGGACAAGCAGAGGATGAGCTTTCCACTCAGATGGGCGCTGGCAGCTTCCTGCTCACCACCGCGAAAGACGATGTAGTCCTCATCGAGGCTGACGTAGAGAGGGGCAGAATTAGCAGAGTTCGGGCGCGATCCCGAGAGGCTGGAAACTCACCGGATGTCAAAGTACTTTGCGTGACTCGCACTGCCGCCGCCGCTGAAGAAACTGAGCGCCATGGCAGCAACAAGGGGATGGAAAACAAAAAGGCAGAGATATGGCAGCCCAGCAACAGGGGAGGAGCGGACTAAAGTATAAAAACCAAGGCACGGCAAAAATCCGAGAAAAAAAATGGAAAAAGTATGACACAGATAGGGCACTGAGCAGCGATCTTCGGGTCCCACCAGGATGTGAATGTGAACTAAGTGGAGAAGACCCAAAACAGCCGTTTCCGTCACGGTTCGATAAATCGATAGCCTGTGGCGATGGCGATTACATGGATTGAATATTCGCTGGCGGGTCCGGATGATGTGACTGTTGACTAAGCTCGCCCAGGGCACCGTGAAGACGAAGATAAGCGGCCTCTTGGTGGAATCAGCGCTGCCTACTGGTACGCGACGTATAGCTGTGCATATATAGTTCAGTCGCTTCAGCCACTGCGCAAAACGCGGTCCGCCTGAAAGAAACCACAAGAGGAAGGAACAAAGCGCAAAAGTACTTGCAAGTTGCAACAAGGTAAACTGTACAAAAGGAAAGGAAATGAATAAAGAAGTGTCCTTTTGATTTCAATTAAATAAGTTCGCTATTTTGGCCCTCGACATTATTTTCCCACCTGGAGCGCCCGCTTTATCACCTCTGCCTGTCAGTCGCCAGGGCCCGGGCTTATCGTCCGTGCTATGGGCTGAGCTCGTGCTGATGCGTTGTCATGAGACGACGGACGCCTAATCGTTTCCCACCCAGTATGTAGTTTACAGAGAGTAACATGGTTCTCTCAGCTGTCCAAAGTCCAAATCCGGCCCTCAACTGTTTTGGGATCGCCCCGGGTGCGATCTGCCGTGAAAGTCAATTCTCCGCGTTCAGGAGAGACAATAGTCTCCCAAGCAAAACTCATGCTTCTCGTAGCTTCATTGTCTTGGTATCTAGTCTACCGGTCAAACTTAAGGTCGTATTTACTGTATACGCTGCGGGGCGGCGATTCGTGTGCTACCTGATATGTAAACGTTACACCAACCCCGTATTATATGAGCTTAACTATGCTAGTATCAAGTATTTCTGGGTAAAATAATACCCATCCAGCGACTACTCATTCGTCGCATCGGCCACGTTGCTGACCGCATCTGCAGGATATTATTGCCTGACTTCTCTCCGCAGAGTATGGCATGATACTCAAATGGCCGATCTATACTCACATGTAACTAACTGCCTGCCCCGCACGAGCTCCTGCTTTCTGCTTCCTGCTTCCGTGCAAGCATCAGTAGACATGAGCATCCGACTCACTGCTGATGAATTCATGCTCAGGCTAAGCTCGGCTCTGCAGAAGGACCACAGTGGAGAGCCGGAAGATCATTCAGTGTGCTCGGTGAACCTCTCGTCGAGTCGTCGACTCGTCATCACCTCACTCTCCACCGGCTATCAAAGCACTGATGCACCAATCTTCTGCAAATCACATCATTTGCATGAGATCTGCGTCCTTGCAGAAACGAAGGAAGAACCGATGACCATTGATGAGGCCCTGTCGAGGGCGACAAAACGGAGGAGGCACTTGGACGACATGGATATCAAAACACCAGGGGGTCTGGACACTGCTGGGGTGTCGTCTGGGATGGAGCAGCCCAGGGTCGCCTTTCGTTTGGTGCGGTTGATCGTCGTCTAATCCATGCACCTCAGAACCAGTTACGTAGCACTTCCTCAGTTTGACCCTGTTGGGGAGCAAGGTACTTTTTCTCTCTCGACAGGGACATGGCACTTCACATTCAATTCGCCAGCAGCTAAACAATTTGAATCAATCTATCCGCTGTTTCCTCCGGTTCTCGTCGATAACTCGATACACGGTACACCGATATATCGGGATCTTCCGGAGCAACATGTGATCCGGAGCGGCGCCTCCTTCTCCGGCGCCAGTCGCTGCTCATCCCCACCAACTGATGCCAATATCATTCTACGATTGCCATCGCCTCAACTCCTCGGATCTCTTAACTGGTCCTGTACTCCAGGTAGGAACAATTACATTCCTCCATTACTATTGTCTAGGTAACGATGATGTCGCCCTATTTCACAGATTCGTCGCCTTGACGCAACCATGATATCATGAACCTTTCTATAAAAATCAACAACCTAAAATAAACTTTGCGCGTGTCTTGCGCAGTTGTGACTCGACGACGAACCCAAGAGTGCCAGGGTTTCCAGAATAATATCGGATGTTGTCCACGATCAATGACCAACCACCAAGCTAATAACCCAATCCCAACGCGCTTCACTCGTCCGCCAATAACAGTTGACTCCCTATAAGAGGCAAACTCAGAGTCCAAAACCGACCGGAAAGCAGCGACGACCAAGTGGGACTGGCAAAGTAAGGGACTTTAGTCTTCACTGCTGTCGTACTTCAGAGTGGGGCCCGTCATGGCGCAATTGCATCTTCGCGATATTCGTAAAAACTCTGTTCCTGTTACTCAATGCATGCCTTGGCCGCTTGGCTTGAGCGTGGCTATTAGCTAACCAGGACATGCAGGGTGACAGTGTACACTACGTTTCGGCGGTATGACAGGCGGAAGATTGCGATGTCCAAACTCGACAAGAGCTTGCAGCTTCGCGTCCCACCCGGAAAAGCAGAAGCGGTACGCAAGACAGAATCTAGACTCAAGATCACCTAGTCTACGGAGTACGGACACCCGGCAGCACCACCAAGCCTGCCACTCGGCATGCCGAAGTCAACCACATCTCCTGCAAAAATCCAAAGAAATACCTGCAGCGCGGTGTCCCCATTCGGAATAGCACGGTATAGCCCGCACCGAGACGGAGCCTGCGTGCCCTGGATGAGCGCTCCTGTTGGTCGATCGGGGAAAATAAAATGGAAAAGAAAAGCCAGTTTCAGGTATCAGCTTGCGATGGTCACGATAAGAGAATTTCAAGGCTAAAAGACGGCAATTATTGGAGCCGCCGGAAACTTCAACCTTCAACCACCCCCTGCCCCTGGTCTTCCGGTGGGTATCCCAGCGCTTATCGCTCTCCTGAATCTCCTCCCCGAGACGAGGCGGCGGCGGATTCTACCGTGAGTTCCACTTCGAAGGTTCAGGTTTTTTATGCCCGCCGGGTCCTCCTGCTCCTAGAGTCCTAGTCCTTGATCTTTGACTTAGGAAATACAACGTCTCTACGGACTTGGTTCGTTATCCGGTCACCGGCAACCGGAAAGAGTCCCGAGGTGGCCGTATATGTTTTGACGGTCGGGTTCACTTCGGGTTCCTGAATTTTAGGTCTGTCGTACACCGTAGATCGTGGCATGGAAAGTCTGGAACAGCCCACCCTAAGCTTCTCGGATAATTTCTCCCGTTCAGCAAGCCATACGAGGCTCCTGTCCGTATCAGTTACACAGAGGTACACATTATGGCATCAACCCGTGCCGGCCTAACCGGCTAATCAATCATCCAAGGCGAAACTACCATCGAAACGATGCAAGCTTGTTCCATCCGCCAAACTCGGCGCCGAACGTCCATTCTTTCAGTCCGTGCCCATCACGCAATCCTGACAGGTCTCAACTACAAGTGGTGCTCACTGAAGTGGTCGTCCGTATAAGGCCTAGCCTGCAATTGCACGATCGGAATTCCCAGAATCGCGGCATACCCAGACCAAAGGCGATGGCGTGACGGGAGTCCTGACACCCTGACACCCATACATTGGATTATTCTGCTTTGCCGATATACGCGACCCAACCAGATTTGCCAAATATTGGCCGCCTAGATAGATAGAGGCTAGGCCTAGGAGCGGTGGCCCGATCTCTCCAAATCTCGGGCTGATACCCGATTGTTAGATACCTGAGGCTACGATGTTAGTACGTTATCTTTCTACCTATACTGTAGCTCTAGAGGCCCGTGTTATTCATGCCCCTCCGTCTTTGGTGGATTTTACTCTTTCTTGAGACGGTATTATTGCCGTAGGTTACCGTATGTATCCTGCCTCTTGCTCAAACGTTCAAGCTTAGTTGGATGGTGTGGGAATGGGGTAGCCTTATCATGCAAGTATATATATGTATATGCATCAGCGGGTACAAATGCCCCCATGGATTATCAAACAACCCATATACTATTTCAAAGGTCGTTTACCCTACCCGGGTTATTTAGTGCCAGGTGTAGCCGTACGAAGGTGGAGTAAAATATATATTCTCATGATATACAGGCAAACAATTGACACAAGAGCAGCCCCATTATTATACAGTAATTTAATATCAGCGTCGAAAGAAACCCAAAGACCTAGAGCAAGTGGGCGACCTTATCTCAACTCGGCTCTAAGGATGCACAAGAAACCACCTATATCCCTCATCATCCTTAGGTACAATTCGTATAAACGGACGTGACTGACGTGACTGACGTGAGTGCAAATTACGAATATCCCGTCAGCACAAATACAAGCACAAGCAGATTGCCAATCTCGCCAGCGAGATCACGCTGCAACATCAACTATACTAAGTACTAGTAGTACACCCCTCTCTCCCCCTCGCCTCCCATTATTATGTACGTACGTACGCATCGCATACGCCCCGAGGCCCACAATAGCCCAGCTAAAACCCAGCCAACGGCCTCTAATCCCAAGTCTGTAACGGAGCCATAACATCAGTCGGCTGGAATATAAAATAAACCACACCCCTAAAAGATCCACCCAAGGATCAACCAAAGCAGTATCCCCGCACCGACGACGATCCCCGCAATCTTCAGCACGGCGACGGTATCGCCCTGCCGCGCCATCCGCGTAAGTCGGGATGCGCTTCCTGTTAGGCCTGTCGAGAGGGAGGAGAAGACTTGGCTCTGAAAGAAATATTGTCAGTTTCGGTTTGCTAACCTGGGGTCGTGTTTGAAGCAAGGAAGTAAGGGAGATAATGAAGATGCTGGAGTCGACTCGGATTTATATTGCGGACTGGTTTCTCGGATAGACACCCAGCTCTGGGAGTGGCAAGATCCGGTCATATTGGATCTCCCCGCAAAACCGCCCCAAGACTCGACCCTTCTCAATAAACAGGGGCCCCAAAAAGAAAAGAAAAAGAAAAGCGAACGCACCGAATGATCAAGCGTTTCCTGATCGCGCGCATTGTCATAGATATCGATCGTGACGTTCTTCAGGGCGGAGACTTTGCCCGAGAGGGAGTTTAGGAGTTCGTTGTTTTGTCTGCCAGCGGAAAGAATACGTCAGCAAATATTTCTAAGTTAGGGCTACTTGCCTGTCTGAAAGAAGCTGGCATTGAAACAGGAAGAGGGGAGAGTTGGAAACGTACTGTTCTCGTCCGTAAGCGTCCGCCATTTTGATCTCCGGGTGGTGATTGCCCCGGTTGAAATGAAAGATCAAGGATAGGGGTCTTCGTATGGGTTTTAGATTGGTTCGAAAGAGGTGGTATCGAAGGAAGTAAAGCTGGTACCGAGACTACAGGGTAGAGCGTGATATTTGCAGGAGGACGGTTTTGTCTGGGGTTGGCGATCAAATCCCCATGTCGATGACGATGGACACCCAATCACGTGATCGCACAGCCACAGGTCCTACCAAGGCCCTCCAAATGATGCAACAACCTACGTTATGTAGCAAGAACTGTTCAATGCTCAAAACTGTAATTAGCGATCCAGTCTACTATTATACAGCCTCTTTCCTACAGAGACCAACATCTGCAAGAAACCGCCGTGTCCCAGGCATGCCGTATGCTGCTCATAAAATATTCGCAAAAGAAAAGACAACGGCCTGAACGAAAGTTTATGAACGATGAGACGTCAGCCGTCATGACACATTCGGAGACAGATAAAAATGTTTGAGAACATAATTCGAAACGGTGCAAAGTGGAACCAATGAAAAGAACCCCAGACGCTATGCGAACAAATCAAACCAAAGTAACAGGCCATGTCATGCACTGCCTTGCCCCCCAAGGAATTATCGGACGAAGCGCTATATAGAGACACAGAATAAAGTGTAGGCACCAGGCAGCTCACTCCATGCTCTTGTTCACCCTGTGCAAATAAAAGCAATGATACACAGATCAAAAAGGCCGGAGATATGAACAGAAGCAGAAATAGAGGAAAAGAATCAGTGTACATGGTCTGGAATTTAACCAGTTGAGGCAAAGGGGGTATTTGCGGGGTGCTAAAAAAAAGTATTAGTAGCAAAAAGGAGGGCGCAGCTCCTATCTGTCACCACATGTCATCGTCATCATCATCTAACTGCACACCGTCACCAAACGACATATGTCCGTATTGGTAGTGGCCAGGCCCATATGCATTTCCGTTGTCGTAGCCCTGGTGTTTGCTCCCTCGCGAATCTTGCTGGTAATTATGCGAATCATCGCCGTAATCATACATTTGAGAATCGTCGTAGGAGTTGTCACCATATTGCTGATCCTGGGACTATGCTCAGTTAGCTATTGAAACGAAAATCCACCAACTTCCGGGTATCATGTTTACCTCTTGGTACCTCTGGTACTGCAGATACTCTTCAGATTGCTCTCTAGCCTTTTGTTGCTGCCGCTGTGATGCTGATGATGCAAGCATCATATGCGGGTGCATTTGCTGGACCTTTGCAAGGTACGAATACATGAAGTTGCTGAGGAGCACCTGAGAGTAAAGAGCACGCCGAGGATTTGCAAGCTTGATATGAGCCATTCTGTAAATGGCTCGCTCCTCCAGTATTGAGAATCGAGTCCAGGGATAGTCGATGTCGGGTTGGAGCAGGCGGACCGGGGGCTCAGGAGATAGGGTCCTGGACAAGCTCTTCTTGTGATGATGTTCGTTGTTCTTCTTCCTGCCACCGCCGAAAATGGAAGAGAATAAACCTGATTCTTTTTCTTTCTTCTCTGCTGATGATCTCCGCGCGTTGTCTTTCTTCCGCTCGTCTTCTAGCTTTGTGTCATGGGTTCGATCGAAAATGGCACTTTCGCGTCGTTGGCTTTCACCGGAAGCTGGAAGAACGCTTGCGGCGTCATGCACTTTGTCCGCCAGCTTCGTCTTCATCTTTTTGGAGTCACTATCTTTCTTCTTCTCCTTCTCCTTATCCTTGTCCTCTGACCCCAGAAACCAATGCCAGCTTGATTTGCGCCCACCTTCTGAGTCCTTTTTATCCTTGTTTCTCTTCGACTCTGATTTCCGGTCTTCCGATAACGTCGGGATAAAGGAAAGACTGTCTGTCCGAGTGCTATTGCCTGGTAAGGCCTGCGGATTACTGGCGAACTCGTTTAGGGTTGATCCCGACTCTTTGTGGTGCCCCAAAGATGCGAGTGGGTGTTTGCTTTCAGGCTTGTGCTTTCGTGGCGGATCATGACTTGATACACGAGGCGGGATGTGGTTAGGCTGTGAACTTTGTGACGGAGTCCCGTGGAACTCGGCTGGAGGAGTCTCAACAATCTCCGGAATCTTTTGATCTTGAGCTACAGAATCTGCCCGTCCATTCGGACCAATGGGAGAATCCCATTGGCGAGGTTGCTGAGATACATTCACCCGGTTTACAGAGTCGGTTAATGGCTGCCCGTGCGATCCTTCCTTTGCATGTTGCGAGTCTTCCGGTATTGAATCAATCGTAGCACCTAGAGGGGCTGTGGTAGGAGGCGGCTGCTGCGCCGATCCCTGGGACTTAGCCAAGGCTTGAGCACGCGTGACGCTCGGGGTTGGATCAGTTGACACTCGAGTCAGGCCTAGTATCGGTTCTTGACTGGATGATCCAACGATCGACTCTAGCGTATCCTTCGACTCGGAGGCTCGGCCCGTTCTTCTTGCACCAAGCGAAGGGCGTTCCTTCTTTAGGCTGCCCGCCTTCCGATACTGAGTTCTCGTAGACCGCCTGAGGCTGTGGCCTGGTGGAGCTGGTGGTAAAATTGGTTTATCGTCCTCAGTTGAGATATTAAGAGACTGAACGTTGTCTAATAAGGAGGTGCTCGGAGTCCGCTGTGTCGTATCGTTCACCAAATCTTCTATCTCGTGTAGGTTTGGCCCCGGAGGGTCTCTAGTTTGTGACCGTTTCCGTTCTAGCCTTTCAGCACCATCCGTATAACCTTGGCCATTGTCAATTTGCTTTGATAGCATAGACCGTTTCCGAGTAAGAGAGCTATTTGAGTTTTGACGGTCAGGGCTCAACGACGAGAAATCGCCCGATCTGCGTTTTATGTGGTCCGATTTACTTTCAAGAAATGATTTGAACTCCTTCGGAGCTAGCTCTGGGTGCAGGCGTGCAGGGACCCAGAACAACCGCGAGGTATCGTTTTCATCGGCAGAGGGAGAGGGGGCTATCGAAGGAACCGGGAAATTGAAGCTTGGGAGATCGGGATCGCCGGTAGCAGTAACATCCATGGACATTCGCCGGATGGCAGCCAGGTTATTGAGTTCCTGTGCCACGGCCTGTGGATCAGACTCATAATCGATATCGTTCAAGGGGAAGGACGTATTGGCGGTGTCGGAGGATCCTGGAGAGGCCGGGGTGCTATCTGATGCTTTGGTTCTGGGAGTAGAAGGCGGGGATTGCCCGTTGGGAAGTCGCTGATAACCGCCATCTGAACCGCTCTGCACCCTTAATGACTGTGGAGAAGACGGCTCGGCTGGCCGGGTCTGGGGAACGATCGATATAGATTCACTCAACGGAGATGATATATAGCTGAGCCGTCTAGAATCCCTCTTATTATCGTAGTCATCGTCGTACATGTGCCCGATGGCTTCGGTGACATGGTGGCTTGGGTCGCTAATCGACAATTGAGGCACATGGCCTCGCCGCGCCGTATATCCTCCGCCAGCCTCTGGGGGGCTCGTCGAAGCCTATAGCGCAAGCGCAACAATAATTAGAGCGGTGCTAATATAGAAAACGCAACATGAAGGCATGAATATTGCAGCCACCCCTTGACCGAGGGGTAAAAGCCCCCCGTTCTTCGACAAAGTGGGAGAACACGAAACAATGTTCTCAAACAAGCGAAATGGTGGAGAACGACAACTGAGTCCCCAGCAAAGGGAGAAATATAAAGAAGAAGAAAAGGAAGACTAATGGGATGATGGGAAATGGCATACCTGCATGAGACCAGACTATCCGGGGATTTTGACTATTTAGACCGGAAATCGGACCAGGAGGCGAACGGAATCTCGCCAGGTGGAAAAGAGGTCAGAGTACCACCACGGCCGAAAAGCAGCGAGAGCAGTTGGTTTTCATGGAATCATGGACATGGACGCGGGGTGGCAACCGTTCGGGGAGAGACACGACCTCCAGGCAATGGGAGGAAAGAGAGGACGACGGAGAGGCCGATCATCCGGCGACCGAGAACGTCGTGGGAGCAGCGAGAAGGTGGATGATAAAAAAAGGCGAGAAGAGAGGGCGAGGGTAACGACGACGGCTAAAGGGATCGCGGGCGGGTAGAGGAGAGGGAAGGGAAGGGCGGGAAAAGCGAGTGGTGAGCGAGCCCTCTGGTGGTTGTGGTGGTGGAAGCAGAGACGCAGTGAGGACTGAGGATGCGGCCGGAAATAACAAGACGGTCCGGGCTGCGATGGCTGTGGTTGGCTGGGCCAGGGCTGGTTCAGGCGGAGCGAGCAGACACGCTCAACTTGCCCTCCTCTTTACCGGTATCCTGTTATTCACGCCTGGTTATGAGTTGATCCCAGAGATTCGTAAAGCTACCTCAGGCAAGGTTCTGATGATGCAAGGTCGATGTTCTGGAGTCGAGGCCGATCGGTAGGATCCTCCTTCATCGCCTCCAGGGCACAGATCCTACGGCCTACACTACCTATGACTACAGACTTGGGACTGAGTTATTCCAGTCGGAGCAGACTCTTTCTTTTTGAAAAGGCAAAAATTCTGGAAACAGCGATCGAATGAAACAGCCCCGTTCGCTTGTGGACTGGCGATCGCAGGGGATCATCACCACCGATTTCCCCGTATTGAGGCTTAGACTGCTGCCAAGGGTCTTTCACCATCGCTTGAGCTCTGCAAGAATGAGGTCATGCTCTTCAGTGAAATATATTGAATGGAAGTCGGCGGCTGGCGTTAAATAAGGCCAGTATATATTTACCCCTGAGCATGTCTTTTGGCTCCAGATGGGTTTGACTTGACCGTCCCGCCAGCCTTCACTGCATATACAAGTTCTTACCCAATACGGAGTACATCCAACGGGACGGTACAATGCGGTCATATCCCAAGCCTCTTGACCACCTTGTCAGTCATCACTTCTTGCCACCAGCCCAGTTGTTGAAAGCTTGACCTCTCCCATTGTTGAATTCCACCCAAGCTTGAATTACGCGCGACCTCGAGTATGTATGTACCCACCAAGTCAAACTCAACCCCAGTCTATGGGCCTGGGATGCCACTGTGTTTCAGCTTTCAGCACAGGCGGCTTACGCTGAAAGAGGCCCAGCCTCCTTCCCCTATTTCTTTCTCGCTGTCTGCCCACTCATCGGAGCATTTTCACTGCCCGTGCCCCTTGATTCATGACCTCCATTGGCAACTGGCGTACTCATGGGGGCCCAGGCCGTGAAGCGAGAGCATAAGCCCGGTGACACTTTAAAAGCTGAAATCGGAGTCATCTATTTTGGTATCCATTTATCCGTATTTACCCCGGGTACAGTAAGTAAGATTTTCAAAATGCGCGCGGCTGGTTAGTTTTGAATTTTGATGTTCGTGAAGAATGCCAGCACAGTTCGAGTAAGTATACCTTATCCTTCCTCGGCGCCTGCCGGTGCCGCTTTGCAGCTGCAGAATGGCCGGCTGAAGAAGCCGAGCTTTGTTTTCACTTTCCCTTTCCTGAATTTTGTCTCTCCCTTGCATGAGAACGAACGCGTCTTGATCACATTCAGCCTTGGCCTGCACAAGGTTCTTCGTTCGACAACTGACACAATAGTAGTACACCTGGTGGCCTGACACCGTAATGTGGATAGATGTGGGAAGACGCTTAGTTATCAATGACTCTCAATTTTTACTCTAGAAACGAAACAAAGGCGTGATTGGAATGACAGAAACTATCCATGGATATATAAGAGCAGGACAATAAGTATAAGAGCACGAGAACGAGACACAGAGGAACTTAGACCGAACGGAACAAAACAGTAGAGGGGAGAGTTCGGGAATCCGCTGCTGTTGCCAAATAAGGTAGACAATGTCGATTGCTCTTTCTCCCAAACGTGCTGGTAAAGTTAACTACCTTCCAACTCCAATGCTTACGCGAGAAGGCTGAGAAGACAAATCTCGAGGCTAAACGGAAGAAAGGACCGATGTTTCCAACATGACCGAAACGCACTCGATTCGAGATATAGATAGAAAGAGACAAGAGGATAGGTATAAATTGAGAAAGGGGGTTTCGAGGTCATGAATTTCGTTCCACATAAACCAATGTCTTGGCTGAGAGTCTAAGCTGAGTCCACGTAGTTCCTGGTCGCACATTGTTAGCAAGCAGCCCCGCCCACCTTGAGCAATTGAGGGAGTGTCTTACGCTGGGAATATGCCGACGCGGTCACCGATTCGCCCCGTCCACCAGTCCTCTTTCTTTTCGGTACGTTTGACGATCGTGATGACCTCCCCCTTCTTGAAACCCAAATCACCGTCTTGGTCTGCATCGAATGTATATAGTGCAATAACTTGGTCATCACGTAGAGGAGCAGCGCCCCCGGTGCGCTGCCCGAAAACAGGCTTCGGCGCTGTAGGTCGACTAGGTTTTCGGTCAGAATACACGTAGTCGTCGTTGTCGTATGTGTTGCTCCGCGCACGGTTAAATGAGTCGAAAGTATCGGCGCGTCCTCCGTAGCGGCCAGTGGAGGAACGACTTAAGCCTCCTCCAGTGGGCCGGTCATATACATCATCAGCCCATGTTGTCGCCCGGCGCGGTCGATCTCGGTACTCGTAATCATCCGAAGAGGGCGCATTGTATCCAGTCCTATCGCGCCGCATCCCCTCTCCATATGCGTCTCCTCGGCGGCCCTCCCAGACGACGTCGTCATGGCGATCATCATAAACAGGAATATCATTGTACATGGAGTCACCGTTCGTGCGTACTCCGTAGAAAGCACGAGAGTTTAGCACTCTCATCAGAGGTTCCGCCGCGGGTGGAGGCGGAATTGTGCCAGTGAGGAGCTGGCGAGCAGACACTCGGCTGTTGTAGAGCTTTTCGTTGGCATCCCTACGTTCGACCAACATGCTTCCTTCCAAACTAACACCAGCGAAAAGGCCCTTGGTTTTGGAATATGCGAATACAGCCGCTACACCCTTGGTGCTTGCGGCACCAGCAGCTTCTGCATTGCGTCCAACCGGCCCGGCTGCGAGCGAAACGTTTCCTCCCAGCGTCAGAGTTCCGGCCTGGGAAAATGTGCGAACTGCGGAAGCATCGTTGAGGATGAAAACAAAGTCGGTCAACTCAAACCCAATCTGACCCCCAAATCCAGCACCTGCGGTTGCGATCGCGGACGGAGCGGACCATGACCCATCGGCCAGTCGAGCAACGACAATGCCAGAGCCAAATCGGCCAGAACCTAAAAACCCAGCTTTGAGGACGGTCAGAATGGCGAGACCCTATGAAGAAAATGGTTAGTGACAGGACTTTCAGTAGAGGGTTCACGAGGGTTCCGTCGCCATACCTTAGCACCAGCCAATATCTCCGGCGGGATGACTTTGTCAGGACCGAATGCTTGTCGCGGATCAACAAAGGATGCGAGGATTTTTCCAGCCTTTCGGCACTCGCCTGTTTGTAAGGGCGAGGTTAGCAGTCAGTTCATGCCTTGCTCACGCTCAGGCTGCCGCCTGCGGGCAACTGCGGGGAAGCCTAGAGACAGCGAAGACTTACTGTTCATGGACGAGGGAAGAGGGTTATGGATTCCGAGAGGCATTTTGGATACGCTCGTCGGACTCGAGGGAGAGTTGTTTTGAAAAGGAGAACAATCGGGGAGAGACAAGCTGAACGTTTAATCGCAGGCTGGGGATGAGATCTTGTCAAAATGGGAGCGACCGGAAGTGGAGTTGGCAATGGACGCTGAGCCGCGGACTCTTCTTCCCCGTTCAAATGCTGCGCTCCACAATGGTGGATGGGAGACTACGCATGCGTATAAATATATGAAGATAGGGAGGAATGAGGATAGAGGCGAAGCAAGAAATTCACTGTGTTTACGGGATAATGCGGTGTTTTTGAACCTTGAAGCACTTCTGGCGGCACTGGCGAGGTGACAGAGCGGAATGCCTCGTCGCTGTCAGATGTGGGCAGCTGCCCAGATTGTGGCTGAGCCGTTCGGGGCGTTGTGAAGATTCCTGACCTAGTCTACAAGCAGGCTCTTATTACATAATCTCCATAATTCGAAGGTAGGAAATATCAGGGTGAGAAGTCTACATTTGGACCGTTTTTTGAGTAAATAAACGTAGCGTCGCGATATACTCCAAGGCCAAAGTAGCTTCGGTTCGTCCTGGATATACTTGGGCTCTGGTTGGTGCACCGGAGAGCCTGAGGCTGCAACCGCTAGCACCAGCCACGCAACCGCGGCGATCGGCCAGACCTCCGTCGCAAGTCCCGGCTCCTTACTGTGACGTCTCAGGCTTCCAGTCTCTATCGCGTTTCTGACGATTCGCAGTAGGAATACCCTCTAGCAATGATTTGAAAAGAACGGGGAGCTTGTTAGAATTGTCCTTTTTGTTGCTCAAATGGCTACAGGTAGGAACTCATCGCCATTGGATTGTCTCCAAAAGGCCAGCATACTGATGCCTCCCAGTCCGGATCTGTGTTTGCGGGGATGAGGGAACGGGAAAATCTAGCCTCATCACCTCCCTTGTGAAGGGTGTATTCGTGACGAACAAGATCCAACCAATTCTGCCGCAGATCACCATCCCTCCTACGATCGGAACCCCAGAGAATGTCACGACAACAACGGTGGTCGACACCTCCGCTGTCCCGCAAGAACGGAGCAATCTGGCGAGAGAGATCCGGAAATCAAATGTGATTCTGCTTGTATACTCTGATCACTATAGTTATGAGAGGGTCGCTCTTTTCTGGCTACCGTACTTCCGGTCCCTCGGTGTTAATGTGCCCGTCGTGCTATGTGCCAACAAGTCCGATCTTGCTGCGGATCACACCGAGACCCAGGTCATCGAAGATGAGATGCTGCCGCTAATGTCCGAGTTCAAGGAAATTGATTCGTGTATTAGAACCAGCGCCCGAGAGCATCGTAACGTCAACGAGGCTTTCTTCCTTTGCCAGAAAGCAGTTACACACCCTATCGCGCCCCTGTTTGATGCTAAGGAGTCAGTCCTAAAGCCGGCGGCTGTTGCAGCATTACAGCGCATTTTTTACCTTAGCGACAAAGATCGGGATGGCTATCTGTCAGACAAGGAAATCAAAGATTTCCAGATGAGGTGCTTTGAAAAATCATTGAGTGAGGAGGATTTGGTTCATATCAAAGAGACGATACAGAAAACCCATCCTGCCTCTGTGACACTATCAGGAATAGATTGCCGGGGATTTATTCATCTGAATAAGATGTATGCTGAGAAGGGCCGCCACGAAACAGTCTGGATTATACTTCGCGCGTTTCAGTACACCGACAGTCTCTCCTTGCAGGAAAGCTATCTCCATCCAAGGTTCGAGGTACCTCCGTATGCATCGGCTGAATTGTCGCCAGAAGGATATCGGTTTTTCGTAAATCTTTTCCTTCTTTCGGATAAGGACAATGATGGTGGGTTGAATGATGCCGAGCTCGCATCTCTGTTTTCTCCAACACCAGGACTGCCGTCCTCTTGGGCCGACGGTTCGTTCCCATCATGCACTGTCCGAAATGAAGCCGGAGACGTCACTCTGCAAGGATGGCTAGCACAATGGAGTATGACAACATTTACATCACCGAAAACGACATTAGAGTATTTGGCATATCTCGGGTTCGAATCGTCAGACCGAAGCAACCCTTCCACAACGGCAGCTCTCAAAGTTACTCGACCCCGGAAGCGGAGAAAGCGCCCTGGAAGGGTGGGCCGGAATGTGGTTCTTGGTCACATAGTTGGGGCTCCGGGATCTGGAAAATCTGCTCTTCTCGATGCCTTTTTGTCTCGCGGGTTTAGCTCCATGTATCACCCAACCATTCAGCCACGAACTGCAGTCAATACCGTTGAGCTTCCTGGCGGCAAACAGTGTTACTTGATCATGGATGAGCTTGGTGAGTTGGAACCTGCAATTCTTGAGAACCAAGCGAAGCTATTGGATCAGTGTGATGTGATTGTATACACCTATGATTCGTCTGACCCTGATTCATTTGCATACATCCCCAAGCTTAGGGCGAAATACCCGCACTTGGAAGAGCTCCCGAGTGTGTACATTGCGCTCAAGGCCGATCTAGATCGCACGACTCAGCGTGCTGAACACCAGCCTCATGAGTACACTGCTCTGCTGAACATGCCCGGCCCCCCACTTCATGTAAGCGTTACCTGGAGTTCGATCCAAGAGGTCTTTGTGCACATTGCCGAAGCGGCGATGGAACCAAGCACAGCGTTCCCGCGAAGCGAGGAAGACGTCGAAGGTAAATGGATGTCTTGGGGCATAGCGCTCGGAGCGGTGGTTTGCGCGGGAGCTGCTGCAGTTATGATCTGGCGACGAGTCAGTGGCAGTGGAGCTTGAGCCCCGACCCAGGGGCGCAAATGCGATAACGATGGAGTTTGATACCCCGAGAATTATTTTCCTGCTTTTCTTTGGATAGATTTGCTCCAAACTATGTGAGCATTGTATATGAATTATGCGCAGTCACGAACAGCTGCAGGCATTGCTGCCTGTAACTATGTGACGTGCACGCCAGGTCGCGTTGGACCTTGCTGTCAAACATATATTAATTTTGCTAAATAATATCTTGTTAGTTGTAAACAATAACGCACAAGCCTCTATTTTCCGTCTGTCATGTCCATCGAATGCTGGAGTCGTTCTTAGCTTGCCCCACGCCCGTCGGAGTTCCACCAACCAGCCACACCAGCAAAGTTCCCCAGAATTCCGCCGGTTGTTAGCGAAGATCTCGAGAGCACGGCTTCCCCTCTCCTATTCCTGCGCTTTCGAACACCTTACACTCCCTTCCTCCCTCTCGTTCCGTGTTGCTGTACCATCATTCAGAAACCTCGGCGCCCCGACCTCGTTCGCTCGTGATTTCTGACCCCGTCCAGGCTTACGGTGAGATTCCAGTGTGCCTTCTGGCGAGCAGTTGGAGAACTCAACAGGCGGCGCCAGCCATTCGTCCTTCCTTCGTCGGCCAAAACCGTCGCGCTGCCCCAATTGATTACGGCGCAATTTTAGCTGGAGATAGCAAGAAACGTTCAAGTGATCCTTTTTCAGGGAAATTTCAACTAGTCAGGCTGCTTCGCGCTATCTGTTCGACGCAACCTTTATCGCTTATCACGCCACAATGTTGTAAGTGATGATTGGTATCCCTTATATTGCAGACACCACGACGGCACCTGGAGCAGTTTCGGATCGCACATCATGTCTTCGTTTAGATCAACTGCCGTAATCGCCGGTGTTAAGCGGTTTTGGGGTATTCATATGTTGACTCTGTGTTTATAGTGTCCTTCCCCCACCTCCGCCTCGCTATACCGTCCCGGTTGCCTACGCAGCCGGGGCATCGAACGGAATGGCAGTTCCAATCGTGGAAACCAACAACATCATTACACACCCAGAGAAGGGTTGTCCGCTGCAGGTTGGAGAAGGTACGTCCTGTATTTTGCAATCGGGCGTGGATTCCGGTCCGCAATGTAACCAGACATCTGCTTGGCATTTTTGCTTTTTGTTTTCCCCGCTGGTATATGGTCTTTCTAACGTTAGACTTCTGTACAGGAACGTACCAACTTCAGGACGACTTGCACCTAGCTACCCCTCCCCCGCATCCCTCTGAAGCGCCGATCATAAACCCGAACCCACTCGCAACCAATCCCAATCCTCCCACGTCCGGTGTCAAACTATCGTTAGTTAGCATTGGTCCTCGAAACAAGACTGCCTTTCCAGCGAAATTGACTGTTACCGCACGCCCTTTCGGAGATGGCAATAGTGCTTTGGCGGCTCCGCCTGTAAAGGATCCTTCGAAGAAGCGGAAACCCAAAAACAACATCATTAAGAGCAGCTCCTCATTTGTATCCCGGGTCATTATCCACGAGGCCAATACGAAACGTTTGAATGACCGCGATCCGGAAGGACTGTTTGCCTTTGCGAACATTAACCGAGCTTTCCAATGGCTAGATCTCAGTTCGAAGCACAAGGACGAACCGCTGTCCAAGATTCTGTTCACGAAGGCACATATGATAAGTCACGATGTCAACGAAGTAACCAAAAGTGCGGCGCATATTGATGTGGCCATGGGGTCGTCGGCCGGAGACATCTTCTGGTACGAACCAATATCTCAGAAGTATGCGCGGATCAACAAAAATGGGGTCATCAATAACTCCCCAGTGACACACATCAAATGGGTCCCTGGGTCAGAAAATTTGTTTATAGCAGCACACGAAAATGGTCAACTGGTGGTGTACGACAAGGAGAAGGATGATGCTCTTTTTGCGCCAGAGCTGCCAGAACAATCGACGGAATCAGTGAAATCATCCAACTGGTCCCTACAGGTGTCGAAGTCTGTCAACTCCAAGAACCAGAAAACAAACCCAGTTGCAGTCTGGAAGTTGGCGAATCAGAAGATTACTCAGTTTGCCTTCTCCCCAGACCACAAACACTTGGCGATTGTACTGGAAGATGGATCTTTGCGGCTAATGAACTACCTCCAAGAAGAGTAAGCTTATTGCGCTTTCGCTAAGAAATGCCCTCTACGGATTGAGCTAACGGAATATTCAGGGTCTTGGATGTTTTCCGGGGTTATTATGGAGGATTTACTTGTGTCTGCTGGTCGCCAGATGGAAAGTATATTGTTACTGGTGGCCAGGACGATCTAGTCACCATATGGTCTCTACCGGAACGCAAGATAGTTGCGCGGTGCCAAGGTCACGATTCGTGGGTCTCCGCTGTCGCTTTTGATCCTTGGCGTTGTGATGAGCGGACATATAGAATCGGTAGCGTTGGCGATGACTGCAACCTATTGCTCTGGGATTTCAGCGTTGGCATGATCCACCGACCGAAAGTGGTATGTTCATCAAGTTCCATTTTCAACTAGATAGATTCGTTGTCTAACATCTGGTCTGTAGCATCATCAAGTTAGCGCTCGCAACCGAACGAGTCTAGTTGCGACAAATCCTCAGCAGCTGAACCGCCACATAGCCGACATCTCAGGAACTCGGATAAGATCAGACTCTCAGCGAACTGGTGAAACTGATACTACATCTGATCAACCAGTACAGCACCCTGTGGAATCTAGGTCGCGAACTGCTTTGCTACCCCCGATTATGGTTCGTTATTTCCCTCGATTGTTGGTGCGCAAATAATCTAACATTTAGGTAGTCCAAATCTGTTGGTGAAGACCCTATCTGTTGGTTAGGCTTCCAGGAGGACACAATAATGACGTCTTCCCTCGAAGGTATGTGTAGTAAGCTCCTATTTCTATGCTACATTAACTAACTGAAAATGAAAAGGTCACATTCGCACTTGGGACCGCCCGCGAGAAAACATTGGAGACAGCCATGGCGATCAGAAGTCGCCTGCCGCAATGGGAACTAGCCTAGGGTCGGGGCGGGCTGCCTCTTCTATGGGCTCACTGTAAGAACTGCAACTGAAACTCCGGTTGGACATTGTAAATATGCACATTGTTTGTTTTAGCATACCCATTTTAGCGTGTTTTGAGTCCAGTGTTCAAATATAGCATATGCTTCGTTTATTCCACCCTCATCTATTTGGACCCGATTTAGGTAGAACAGCCCAAATTTATGAGCATGTCTCATTCTGTATCGTTCAATCACTCTCTAAAATTACATTGATTTCATTAAACACCAAATGATAATTAAGTGAACGTGGGGAGTTGTACTATAAGCCGCGGAACCGGAACATTATTCCGCCGAGCCTGCTGGACGCGGCGTGCGTGGCATCAATAATCGGAATGCAGTAGTGTGTATGGACAGCTTTCACTCGGCCTCAGCTCCCCATTGAAGACCCTCAATCAACCACCACGACAACCCCTCGCTTCACGATGGGGTATTCCCGACTGACAATGAGGTCGGCCCTCGGGCTTCTTTTCCTCCTTTTGGTGCAAGTCTCTTCCGCTCTCAAGTTCGATATTGTGGCTGGGAAGGGTGAGAGATGTATACGCAACTTCGTGCTCAAGGACCAGCTTGTCGTCGTTACGGCTATCGTGAGTGGCGAGAGGGGCGATGGACAGATGGTCAACATGCATGTACGTGAGAACTCGACCCTGGAGATAATTATGTGGGCTGAGAGGATTGGATGCGGGCTTCCCCGTCGACGGGATGATGCATATATGGTTTACTGAAGCAGCCCCATGCTAACAGTACTCTTGGAACAGATCAAGGATGCAATGGGCAATGACCACGGACGGCCAAAGGATGTTGTTGGCGAGACTCGCCAGGCTTTCACGTCTGCTGGAGACACCACCTTCGACGTTTGCTTCGAGAACGCCCTCGTTTCCCGCCGTAAGTTCGACCTGCGCCTACATGCAATGTCTTCAATCTTTCCTCAGTGCTAATCGATGTGAAAATAGGGGCTGTTGCGAACCCCCACCGAACAATTGAACTTGACGTTGATATTGGTGCCGATGCTCGTGACTGGTCAAGCATCCAGGCTCAAGAGAAACTTAAGCCGATCGAAACTGACCTCCGCCGTATTGAAGAAATCGTCGCTGAAGTTGTCAGCGAGATGGAATACCTCCGTGCCCGTGAGCACAAGCTCCGGGACACCAACGAGAGCACCAACGAGCGTGTGAAGTGGTTCGCGTTCGGCACAATGGGCATGTTGATTGGACTTGGTGTTTGGCAGGTTATCTACCTGAGGGCTTACTTCCGGTATGTTTTTACTTCGGCTCGGCGCATTACACTTCAAATTCAATACTAATAACCGTCTTATAGGTCCAAGCATCTCATTTAATCTCATTTCTTCGATATTCCACGTTTTGCGTAGGAGACAGGCGCGAGGTGTGGTTTCTATACTTACGACAAACATGGAGTCTCAATGCATTTACTGCGTGCTTTCCACCTTATGTGGTCTCGGATATTTCACGGTATACTATTCAAATACTTATGATTATTATTATGACACTATACATGAGATTTGTAGGTGCTCTAGTTTCACATGGCTCTGTAGAGTTGCAAGCGACGTAGCGATTAGTCTGCATAACTGGTGGCATCCAACCAGAATATGGGTATTTCGGTCGACTCGGCCTTTAAACACTTTCAAACCCTTCACTGAACGACATATCAGTCCAATTCTGGGCTGGTGTCATGGTTTGAAATCCATCCCTCCGGTTGGTGTTTGAACGCTGCAAACATGACAAACTCAACGGAATGGGTGCCTCGGATGATGTCAATCCCGCATAACAATCATTTCGCTTCAACCCCAAGCTCATCTTCAACGAATCTTTCCATTTTGCTCTTCAATTCTCCAAAGCAATACCCTCTAATACCCAAATACAGAGCTACAATGTCTACAGCCCGCTTAGTCCACCGCCTCGCGCGGCCATCAACATCACCTCTCTCATTCACGAGACTGGCGACCCGTTCGTTCGGAAGCTCGGCAGTTCGTCCGCAAGACAGCAAGAATGAGAATGACAGAGCTCAGTCAACAGTGCCACAGCACCGCGCAAACCAGATGGAGAAGCCGCCGAACCCGGTCGTCCCGAATACAACCTCAACCATGACCAAGGACTTCCCCAATGTCGGCAAGAAGCCATCGCCCCCGGAGCTTTTAAACTCGGTTGACCCGAAATACAAGCCTGTGGACACGTACCCCGGAAAGGTTGAGCACTTCACGGGTGGAAGACAGGAACCCGGCGCGCAAAAGCCGGAGCTTGGAGTTGGTGAGATGGAAGGCATTACGTTCAAGGTTGAGCCGCTCCGCCGGACTGGAGAGGATGTTTCGACCATGAGAGCTCGGCTGCTTTGTTAGTAATTCCACATCTTTGAATGCTTGTCTTGTTTTGAATGATTGTCTTGTCTTGAATGCAGTGCGCAACGCTAACTCTCTTGTTACTATATAGATCAGAGCCGAAAGCGAGGAATTCTCGAGTCAGACCTGCTTCTCTCTACATTTGCTGACGTCTATTTGGCCGACATGAACAAAGAGCAGCTTCAAGAGTTTGACCGATTCCTGGACGAGAATGATTGGGATATCTATTACTGGGCGACCCAAGACCCACCTGAGGAGAGGGATGCTGCGGCAGATGTAGCCGAAGACACTCTGACCGACACATGGCATCGTACTGGCGCCAAGAGCGGCGAGTGGAAGCAAACTGTCGGTGCCTTTAAAGCTGCATACCGACCAGTGCCATCACGGTGGGTAGAGTCGAACGTCTTGACGCTGCTGAGACAGCATGTGCGGGACAACAGTGCGACTGGTTTCCATGCGGCGAAGGCCAAGAAGACCGGCGGGCAAGGCCCGGGCCTCAATAGGATGCCTAACGTCCAGATCTTCAACAACTGAAAGTTTGAGGCCTGAGAACTAAGAGCGCTTGAGCCTGATACTTTGTACAATATCTTTTCTGGCTGGTTTGCGGAAGGACCGGTAAAATTCCGTTTATATAGAAGTGCTTGTATAATTGAACATGACTTATTAGCATGTCAAGTACGTAGTACTGTAGGCTTTAAAGTAATATGCGTACTCCGTCCCTTGGGTTCGTACTGCAGCTGTCTGCATTGTATGCATGCTCCTTGTATAAATAGTCACGTGACTCGCTTAGCTTTAGGGTTCGCGGCCCACACATTCAGCGGCAGCGGTAAGCTCGTTACGTTAGGGCTTCCCGTGTGGCTCTCTGCTCCTCCATCTTCGAAAGCTGTGATTTTACCTCCAGCGCAGAGTCTACGACAATTGCTCCGCCCGCGTTCATTCTCCTCTCACCTCTCGCGGCCCCTTCCATCGTCCCCCCAGACTCCGATCATGGCTGAGCAGCTGGTCCTTCGCGGCACCCTTGAGGGTCACAATGGCTGGGTTACTTCCCTGGCTACCTCTCTGGAGAAGTAAGGGCACCTATCGATGATTTGCACATGGATGGAATGGGTACATGGGTCTACATACGACCTCGTGTGTATTCTCGTATATCCTTTGAATACATCTTTTCGTTGGTTGAATATGGACAATGGTTCTGACTGAAATCTTTTTTATAGCCCCAACATGCTGCTCTCTGGCAGTCGCGATAAGACTCTGATCATCTGGAACCTTACCCGCGACGAGCAGGCATACGGTTACCCCAAGCGCTCTCTTGAGGGCCACTCCCACATCGTCTCCGACTGTGTATGTCTCCGATATCCATCCTAGAAAATACACGAAACCCGAAGAATGCCATAGAGCGGGGGGTTGGCGAAAATCAAAGAGTGCAAAATTGGGATGAGGTTGGCTGATACGTGCGTTTGGATATAGGTTATCTCCTCCGACGGTGCCTACGCTCTGTCCTCCTCTTGGGACAAGTCTCTCCGCCTGTGGGAGCTCTCCTCCGGTCAGACCACCCGGACATTCGTCGGCCACACCAACGATGTCCTCTCCGTTTCCTTCTCCGCCGACAACCGCCAGATCGTTTCCGGATCCCGTGACCGCACCATCAAGCTCTGGAACACCCTGGGAGACTGCAAGTACACCATCACCGACAAGGGCCACACCGAGTGGGTGTCCTGCGTGCGCTTCAGCCCCAACCCCCAGAACCCCGTCATCGTCTCCGCTGGCTGGGACAAGCTTGTCAAGGTACGTTTTCGAAATTTTCCTCTGTACACATTGCGTTCAGTCCGTCCAAATGATGTTTGCATTTTCTACGTATTTGCTACTTCAGAGCCTGTTTGGCCATGAGACAAAAAATCACCATATGCCTGATGGACACGCCAATTTCGGTTTTTGCTATTTGTGTTTCGTCTTGAGATTTATATCAATATTCAAGAGAGACCGCAGCTAACGAAATCAATAGGTCTGGGAGCTCGCTTCCTGCCGTCTCCAGACTGACCACATTGGTCACTCTGGCTACATCAACACCGTCACCATCTCCCCTGATGGCTCTCTCTGCGCCTCTGGTGGCAAGGACGGTGTCACCATGCTCTGGGATCTCAACGAGTCCAAGCACCTCTACTCCCTCCACGCCGGTGACGAGATCCACGCCCTTGTCTTCTCCCCCAACCGCTACTGGCTCTGCGCTGCTACCGCCAGCAGCATCACCATCTTCGACCTCGAGAAGAAGAGCAAGGTTGATGAGCTCAAGCCCGAGTACATCGAGAAGGGCAAGAAGAGCCGCGAGCCCGAGTGTGTCTCTCTCGCCTGGTCCGCTGATGGCCAGACTCTGTTCGCTGGTTACACTGACAACAAGATCCGCGCTTGGGGCGTCATGTCGAGGGCGTAGATTGGAGAGTTAGGGTAATGAGACAAAATAAATGTGAGGACTAAGCGAGTGAGTTTGAGAGAATGAAGAAGAACAAAGATAAAGCCTCTTAAAGCTTTTGTTTGATATCAAATTTTTTTTATCATCTCCTTTTTTCTACCCCCTCCAAAAATTCGGGCAGGCATTATTGGTTGGGATTGTATGAGCCATGAGCAATGAAGCACCTCGCGGGTTCCCATACCTAAGGTTACAAAGAATCTAGAGGTTTTCGAACATGTCTACCTAGCTTACTTGATTCAACCCCCTCTTAAATCTGAAGCCTGGGTTCTCGTGATGGACGGCGCGCAATATTGTAATACCATCTAAAAAAGGCATAAAAATTTCTTGAAATTTCGTTGTCCGAGGGGCGAAGCCTTGCTGATGTCTCTATATAAAGGGGTACCGTAGATAAAAAGTAGTTTTTCCATGTCTTGAATTGTTTATTTGGGCGAATCATGCTCTTCAAATGTACCCGGTGATGATATATATTATTGTACAATGTCATAGAAGGTTACACCGAACAGCCCCTTCGTTTATTTCTTCGACACTCTTGCCAAAGAAGCCTCCAACAGAGCAACTAGATCACCACTTTCGGGGTCATCGGCCGCCCGCTGAGCATAGTCTTTGGCGCCATCTAGTGCCTGTCTATACCACTTCTTAGCCTCCTTCAGCTTCCCTTGCTGCTCCGCAAACTCGCCGAGAGTATACTTCACGTGGACACAGGATACATAGCAACCCTCGTCCTTTTCACCTTCAGGGATCCTCTCATTAATTTCGAGAGCCTTCGCCGCCCACTGCCTGGCATTGTCGATGGTCTGCGCGCGAGCAGCCTCTGGGTCTTCAACCCGGAATGGTAGTTGGGCTCGACCACCCATTGCGGCAGCAACGTCGCCTATAAGCATCACCTGTCTACAGGTTGGGTTGGGTCCTTCTTCCTGGCGGAGGATTTCCAAAGCACGTAGAAAGAGAGGGATGGAAAGATCCGCCTTGTTGTCCGAGGCAAAGTAGGTCTGGGCTAGTTCGACAAGAGCAATCACAACATCTGTCCGGGTCAGCCAGGCGATTTTCTCATCATCACCGCCGGAGCTGCCATTAACAGGAAGGCCCGAGCCCTGGCGGTACGCAAGCTCCTTCAGGCTAAGTTCGACGGCTGCCTCCTGAGCGGCCTCGGCCTTCTTGGGGTCCTGTATGAAATCGCTGTCGTAGAGATCCGCTATCTTTATACAGATACCAACGGCCTTCTTCATAGCCTTGTCGCGCTGCTGCTCATCGTATTCCTCGCGCCGTTTAATTTCCTCATATGTGTCTATAATTTGCTGGTTGTTGATCTCGAGTTTCGTTTGTACGGCATTCTCAGCCTTGGTCTTGTCGAGCTTTGCCTTAGCTGATTCTTCGGCCGTCTTCTTGTGCTTTTCCTCGTTTTCCTTCTTTTCCGCAGCTGCTTTTCGCCCGGTATCAACCCAAGCTAACAACTCCGCCTTTGTCCGCTCCAACAGGTCAATGGCTGGTTTTGCCATCCCCGCCTGCTCTAACATCTTCGCAACCTGCAGTTTAATTCCAACCACCTCATCCGAGTAAGGATGCATGCCAACTTCGAGCGCAGCTTTCAAAGCCGATTTGTAATATTTCAGCGCGTGCTGCGGGTCCAGGACTACATCCGTGTAGTATACTGCCTTGCGTAGTTCGTTTGCAACTGTCGGCGGGAACTTGTGGTACTGGGGTGCGTTTTGCGTCACCTCGATGTAGGCGATGTAGGCGAAGAACAACGTCGCACCAATGACTGACACGATGGCGAAGGGTAGGAGGACGGGGTTCTTGCGCCAGATTCCTTTCGACGCCTGTCGGAGGCCGAGTCTCGTGCGCTGCAAGTAGGAGAGGGATCGCGTTTGGTGGGAGGGGTTGAGGACATGGCGGGTGAAGGTGGGAGGTGAGGATCGGAGATGATTGTATGCGATTGAAGCATTTGACTTTGGTAGATGCTGTAGCGGGCGCGGGCGCGTTGAGAATGCAATGGTGCGTGAGGAGAGGGAGGTGGGTGTTCGGATGAAGACGCTGCCTGTGCGGCGAGCTGCTGCTGCGCTGAGCATTATGGGAGATGTAAAGTGTTTTCTGCTGATGTGTACTGTGTCATAGAGGGTTATTGTTTCTGAGAAGGGCGAATCTGGGGTTGCTCTGATATGTGTTCAATGCAGGATGGATGGTGTTGGCGAAAGAATTTATGAGAGCGGAGCCGATTGGCGATGACGTCCAAGGCACCAGGAGCTCCGATCTACTACTGCCTACCTCTCTCAACATCGCCATCCGCTTCGTTCAATCATCTTTTATTTTTGAATACTGATTTTTACTCTGATTTAATTTGCCAACGAATTATAATTTGCATTTATCAAACGTCGAGACTGTAAACCATGTGTGGTCGCTACGCCCTTGGCGTTGTATGTCCCCCCCCGAGTACTCCACAAGACCATCCATCTAACAAGACACAGCGCATGAACTTCGTCCGCCGTCGGCTTCAAGAGCAAGGAATGCCAGTCGACGAAGCGCCGGAGGACGATGAGATAAGGGAGACGTATAACTTTGCCCCCGGGAACATCGGCGCCATCTACCGTGCCGACACCCCCAACTACAGTGCTGAAGCTCAGCCTGACAAAGAGGCAGAGCTAACAGACACGACTGAGCTTGCATCACAGGAGAAGGATTCACGTATACAATATAAGCTCCAAGGCATGAAATGGGGCCTTGTTCCGTTCTGGACAAAGCGGCAGCCGGACTACGGCTCGCTCATGCGAACCATCAACTGCCGGGATGATTCACTGATTGAAGACCGCGGAATGTGGACGTCTATGAAGCGAAAAAAGCGGTGTGTTGTTGTATGTCAGGGATACTACGAGTGGCTAAAAAGGGGGCCTGGAGGGAAGGAAAAGATCCCGCATTATACACGGCGCAAGGACGAGGACTTGATGTATCTTGCTGGGCTTTGGGACTGTGTCACATATGAGGGTAAGCACAATAGTGGGACTTTTTTATATACGCATTTTTTTCTTTTTTTGCTGGACTAATCGAGAGGAAGGCTCTGGGGATAATCTCTATACTTTTACGGTCATCACGACCTCTGCCCGTCAGTCACTGAGCTGGCTTCATGATCGGATGCCGGTGATTCTGGAGCCAAATAGCGAAGCCTGGAATGCCTGGCTGGATCCTAAGCGGACGACCTGGTCTAAAGAACTACAGGGGGCCTTGAAGCCTTATGAGGGCGATTTGGAGTGTTATCAGGTCCCGAAAGAGGTCGGCAAAGTCGGGAATAACTCACCAGACTTTATAGTCCCTATTGACAGCAAGGAAAACAAGAACAACATTGTCAATTTCTTTGCGAATGCGAAGAAGAAGCATGAGCCGATAAAGGGAAAAAGTGAGGAGCCGCCAGTAAAGAAGGAGGATACGGCGAAACCTGTGTCAGGAGTTAAGAGGGAACATTCAGACGGAGCTCATATTGAGGCGGGCGAAGACATCAAGAAACAGAAAACACAGAATTCACCTGCGTCATCACCAACGAAGCCTTCAGAAGCGGAGTCCCCTGCGAAACATAAGCAAATGCGCAGTGCGACGCATAATAAGAAACCACCGAAGAAGCCGGAGCCAAAGAAGGCCAGTGCTGGAAGCCAGCGTATAACCAATTTCTTTTCCAAATAGGAAATCCGTGTTTCACGATGCGATGATTTAATTTAGCCTGGGGATAGGAGTTTGGATGATTCTGATGCCAACTGTCCAGCAGGGCGGAGTATTATACATTTCACAATATTGTACAAGTACGGTTTCAACGACATGTATTACAGTGATTCCTCCTCGCGTAGTCTCTGCACCAGCTTTTCCCTCAGAAATGGGCTTAAACCGAAGCTACATAATTGTTAGCTTCCCTAAAGTAGCAAGCAGTATGGAATAGGCACGGCTGCGGGGCAACTTACATTCCATCCCGTGTGACAATTCGATAAGTTCCTGGTCTCGTCAGCGTCGAGAGCAGTTTTACCCTAGACAGATGCCATACCACTCGCTTGATAATTCCCAGTACCACTCACAAACCCCCCGTCACCGTCAACTTCCAAGCTTCCAAAAATGTCCTCAGGCCTGTCCACATTAGCACCCTGCTAAAACCATCTCCGAGGGGCAATTACCATGGAATTCGCCCATACTCAGGCGGTCGTCGCTGATCCGACAGATGTATCCACCCTCCTCTCCCAGCAGATCCAGCACCACCTTGTCCACTAGCCCCGCTGGTCATGTCAGCATCGCCGCGGCGCTTCCGAGGACGGGAGCCGGGCATGAGAACACCACCCGATGCGATATTAGCGCCCGATGTAGATGCCATCACTTGGGCCTGCGAAATTGCGTCGGGGTCTTCGTGTCCATATTTAGTCAGGACCTCTTGCAGAATCTCGAGGAACCTCGGATTTTCACGAAAAGAGTCTGTGGTGGGGGGAAGCTTTGAGGTGATTCCAATGGATAGATCAGGACTAGGCGGTTCGGATGGCAGGAGTGATAGAATGTGAGTCCCATTGTTTGGGAATACATACTGGGAAACTGTATCAGCAAGAGTGGACGTTGGGGTTCTGAGCGACTCACGATGTGAGGATGTCCATCTAATGTCGATAGAGATCGCACCTGAGTCCACCTGGGGATCTGGCGAGAAAGGGGCCTGAGAGGTCTGATCGCCCACATCTTCTTTTTTCAACGGGTTTGTTCAATTGAATAGCGACTAGAAAGTATCCTGATGTCTGAAGCTCAACTATTTTTGATGACGTAGAGACAAACAAGACAAACTCATGTGACCTCACTGCTTGACGGGGTCTTCAGATGGAGCTAGCGATTGGCGGTTCATTATTCTACCTTAGTCCTCACCATTATTATGGGAACGAGCAAGATGGACTCTCTGATACAGTAGGAGACACGGTGCTCATGACTCTGGATACTCTCTGTTTTACCTTAGCGCTTGGACGACACATCGGTTCTTAACTGAGGAAATTGAGTGGTGTTTACTGGTCCCCGTTTCCGCGGTGTTTGAGATGAGCTTGCCCAGCTGCTCCGGACAGAGGTATTCGCTGTTTGCCTGACTTGGGTATCAACTTTGCTTGGTGAAAGCTTTCAATACAGGGCATTTATATTATTGCGCGTGAAATCGCAACCATGGCAACCCCATCTTCTAAACCGAACCCAGGAGCAACCCCTACGCACCTTACCTCGTCGCCTCGCCCGTCCGGTGGTCCAATGAACCGAACGATATCACTGAAATCACCGTCAACGAGAACCCCGTCGGCTTCGGGACATGGCCAACTGAACCAACCCACCTCAACCCAGCAGTACGCTACTCCCATCGGGGTAACCGCAGACAATGATAATGCTATCTCATTCAGCTCACCCTCCGCTCTGCTTCTCGGCGCCTATCCCGGAATCAGCCCATCTCCTGCCGTTCACGATGCACTAGTTGGACCGGGGATGAACGATAGCGATATCCAGGCGTTGGGAATGTCGGGCTTGAAGCTTGGTAATGCCCGAGATAACGATGAGGAGCGCAGGAGGCATATCAGCGAAGTGGTTCAGCTGTTACGATCGCGTGTAGCAGGCAGGGGGGTGTGTAGAGAGGGAATCGAGCGATTAAGTGACCTCGAGCGGTTCGAGTCTATTTGGCAAGACGATAATCTGAACATTGCGGGCAACTTCGTTGATCTGGAAATTGATTTCCACCGCGGACAGAATGTGGTCAAGGACGTTAGCTTGAAATATGCCACTCCGGAGGCTACTGAAGGAGAACGTCGTGAGGAGGCTACTGCTGTTTTGAAGCGCGACTTGATACAGACACCTCAAGATGGTCAGCGGGGTACTTGGAAGAGTCTGGATAACTTTCATAAGAACCTGCAATGGCTTGCCCGGCATGACAAACTTAGCGAGGAGGTGAACTGCTTTCAGGCCATCGAAGGTCTCTACGAGAGTATGAAACGCTTATGGAGCGAGGAAGGCACCCAGCGCAAGTACTCCGGCGACAACGAACATCTCTGCAGCGGAAATGTGGGAAGGCCAAGCCTTCATAGAGGGGGCAGAATTGGTCTTTGGTTAGATTACTGGGTGCCCCGATCCCGAGTCCTTGACGCGAAGCAGCAAAAGTCCTCCGACGCAATGGCCATAGATAACCCGTCTGAATATCCCGCTAATGAGGCACCGGATTATACCAATGGAGACTGGAGAATCACGGTCGAGTGCGAGGAGGGGTATCCATCTCTTCGCGTATCCAAGGACTGGATTGGGCCCGATGCTTTTACTGTGGTTCATAACGATGCCGAAGCGTCATCGTCAACCAACCCGCCGGAGTCAGATGTCACGGTAGTCAACTGGACTGACCCGCCAGCGACTTTAACCGGCAACCAGGGGTCTTCTGAGAATATGGACCTCGACTCTGGCATGTTGGGCTCGTCTTCTCCGAACCGTCGGTTTGTTGCTAGGCTGGAGCCACCTCTTGATATACCGTTCATGGTAGCGGACCAGGTCTACCGACACCTAAATATAGAGATGCCGCAGGATTACAAAATGCTAACGTACGATGGGTTATTGGCTCCGGGCTGGTCCCCATTGTCAGCTGCGGGAGCGCTCGGCCCAGAAGACCCTACCCAAATCGACCGGAAGAGAAGTAGGATATCCGTACCGTCGCTTGATGAGGAGGGTAAGCCTTGCACGAACTGGCACAGTTACACGTTCCAACCATTCGAATCTGCGGGTGGAAGGACACTCAGAGACATCCCGTTCTCGCACCCACGGCAACTCGCAGATATCCTTCCGGTAAGCCTAAGTCTCGGCGCTGGTAGCCTACTTATCACTGACTTGCGATCTTTAGACTCTTCGACAATATGCCCTCCTAGCAAATATAGTCCGCGGTACATTCCCTCCGGCGTCAAAATCAGACGACCAAAAGAATTCAGATGAAGAGGAATATAAGACGGAACGCAACGGGGATGTAACTCTATTGAGCAATGAAAATTCCAACATGAAGAAGCTCAATACGTTGCTGGGCTTGAGCCAAGCAGACGAAGTTGACGCGGACGATCTC